TCGTCCTCCAATTCCCAAAGCTGACAAGTCCGCAGGTAATCTCTTTGAAGGGCATTATCAAGGTACCTCGCTCACCCTGGGGTTCGGCGAGCAAGACCGATAGAATTGCTTTTTACAGGTCCTTTTCTAGCGGCGTGCCGCAAGATGCAGCGCGTTCTGGCATGATCAATGATCAACAGAGTTTGCTTTCTCATATGCAGGCCTTGGCCGACGTCCCACAGGACATGCAGGTCGATGATAGTCGGGCCTCCATGACGGGTCGTCGACTCACCACAACGCGCAATGTCACTCCTCCAACTGGGGGTTCTGGTTGTGATCCAGGTCTTGTCTACTGCATAACTCATCACCACATCATCAAGCTCGGACAGGTCGGAGACTCGGAAACGCCTTTTCTAATCTGACGGTTCGTCAACTTGACTCGTCATTGGTGGATGCATCCTTCGAGAACAACCCAATCTCGGTGGTTGGAAGATCTGACAAGCCCTGGCCCGACGTTATACACAGACGACACCAATGCACCAGCCAGCCGGGACTCGCCGCACGCCAGGTTATCACCGGGGCCGTGACAGGTGCTCTCAAAAGGCATCCAGACACGTCGTACGAGGTGCAATCACCCAAATGAGCCCTATGCCATATTCGACTCCCTACATGCAATCAAGACAAATCATCTTGTCCGACCATCCCATAGCTCTGGGGATTCAGTGGATACTTTACGACCACGGCCGTCGCTCGCGAGGTACAAGTGACGGCGGTGACAATGGTTTCCCCTTCTGGAGCTCCAGATCGGATCTTAAGGCGGCAGTGGTGACCCTTGTCACGGCCCTGTGTATCGCGTCGCGCAAGCTGCTCCCTATTAAGTAACACAGCCGGTTGGGACGGCCGTGCTGGATACAGTACCGCCCTGGCCCGTCGGGGTCCTGAAAGTGACACAGACATATCAGATGGAGATCAAGAGGTCCACCGACCGGTAGTTCCATTCAGAACAGTTCTCGTGTAATCGGGAACGGCAATGTCGAGTTGTCAGCAACGTCAGTCGTTGCAGCCGCCTTCGCTCCGCATGTCAATTGCAAACCTTCAGAGTGACAGCAACGGTCAGCATTAGCGTCGCAGGGGAATATTGTTCCTGGGCTAAGATTGAAGCCTAAAGGACCGCACGCTCTTCAGCCGGTAACATCGGGCGCGTGTCCACAGGGGGAAAGAAAGGAGCAGCAGACTTTGTTCACAGCCTGCGGCTCCAATCTTGCCATCACCACCTTCCACATCCCTCACACCCACAGGGGCAGAAGCGTGTTTTGCTTGACTTCATCGTCCGTCGTCGGTAATGTTGACCGACTGCAATCATGGACGAAATCTTGGGTTTTGACAAAGATCGACCGCAGGGCTGCAGACTACACAGAAGGGAGGCGAGGTCCAGGCCCAGATCCAAGCGCACGACGCAGAGTCAGGAGAATCGTGCAAAGATAATTGGAAAGCCACCTATATTAACACTCCACTGCAGGCTGCTCTGAGGACACTTTGACGAGATATCTCGGCTCATTATGAAGTCATTTTTTGACGGCAAATCTCGCTGGCCGGCGAAGGCTCCATTCTTCAACCCCCCAGCCGATGGGAGTCACATCGATTTCCTACTCCCCCACCGCCCACCAAAATTGCAAAGGGGATCTGTCAAGTTTGACAGCCGCAAGGGGACGACAGATCCAACGCTGATGGATCGGACAAGGTCGGTTCGAGTGGAGTGGCAAAGTGGCTAGGAGGTTTAACATCCAAACATACCCTCTGCCGACACCATGTTCCCCGTCTCCTCCAAGGATTAGCCAGGAAGAGGGGAGCAGCGGTCATCACTCTGGACGCAAGACTGGCGTGACTGACAAGGATTCGTGGGGAGTCAAAAGAGGGCTCTGCCTCTTGGTATTCCCGGCCCCTGAGGCCGAAGTCAGGGGCCCGTCAGAATCTCACCCACTCGCAACTTGTCAAGCCGCCCCCGCGGACAATGACCGCAGGCAAAACTGGGCTCGCGGCAGACCTGGTCCCGGAAGCCGTGCTCAATTGCCAATCTTCTGGCGTTGCTTCCGGACATCTGAAACGGAACAGGCAGGTCCGACCGGTGCCCAAATGCTGCTTGTTCTCCACTCGTTTGCCTTGATCTGATCCCGGCCAACCGACGTTTGGCTGCCAATCGGGCCCCTGGGGGAGCCCTTGGAGACGGAGAGCAGGCCCAGCAGGGCCAACCATCACGACAAGAGTTCACTTCACCCTCCTTTTCTCTCGAGGCTTCCCGCTTCCTCACTCTCCGCCCCCCGGTGCCAGAACCCAGCCTTAATGTGGTCCAAGCGTCCTGTCAAAATCGTAAAAAAACTTCAATTGAACGGGGGTGGTGTCAGGGGGGATCCTAGCACCTGTCACGATTTCTGGCGAGCGAATCGCATCCCGTTCTCGCATTCAGTCCAGAATGCGAAATCCCAACGACAGCACAGCGGCGGGCCTTGACTCCGTCATAACCTTCGACGACGTCTCATCAAAGGCACAACTCCAAAGCCAAAAAGACATCAAAACATGGGACCGGACCAAGCGCAACGCTTACGCACGGTAAAAAACGACATGTGTCTCTCGACTGCAGAAACCTTTGACAGCCCCTCAAACGGGATCTGCAGTGTTTCTTCAACCTCGAGTTAGCGGTTTTCTGATTTGCCTCTCGTACAGATTCTCGTTATGATGTTATGTCGTGCATATTCATGACCCGCTGCCAAACCACCGTCTGTCGATGTTCGGGTCCTCTCGCCTTCATCATCCGCCCGCCGACAGGGATAAAGCCTCATACTTTCTTTTTCCTTCACTCTCACAAAATGGGACGGTTTGTACAGGATCTCGCTGCTCATCCTGTCCCATCGGACCCCTCACACGCACACGCCCACCCCCCTCCTTTGAATTTGGCAGAAAAGGGGGGGCCAACTTGTCACATCCGTCAGCCAGTCGCAACTTGTAGATTTTTCTGGCAGGACCGTTGAGGCTGCGGGCTGCGGACTGCGCCACCCTTTGACTTGTCTCGAAAAGAAACATCAGTCCGGCCCCCAGGGCCCGGATGTTCGCTGAAGTGCTTTCTCTTCTGGACGACACTTGCGAGTTTTGAGGTGAAGCTTGTCACAGACAACCGACCAAACCCAACACGCCGGCCACACTCATAACTCTCGCGTGCGCTGTCAACAACGGACGTTTTTGACACCCGGTCAGAGCAATTTGTCATTGATCATCTTGTCCCAAGGCCTCGTCTGCCCGCACACGGGATTGGTCAGTCGGGCTCTGACAGCTCGGCAGGAACATTGGACTTTGGGCTTGCATTCACCACACAGATGCTGTCTTCCAAGCGTTTTCTGCCCCGGACGTTCGTCCATGCCATGCGCTCTTCCCGCAAGAAGGCTGAGCAGACAGGACCCGTAGACACTAGACACCACACACACATACACATCAGACCAGGCACTCGAGACACAACAGCTGGCTGCCGTGCCTGGCGAACTTTAGACTGAAGAGAGACTGAGCCGTGACTAACACTAAACGTTGTTGCCCCTTGGTGTACATACTACTGCTTTCACCTGGGATGCAAAAACCTGCCAGATGGGCGAGGGGCCCGAGCAAGTCGCGTTGTGCTGTGCTGTAGTAGCCTCATTACTGCACATAGCCCTATATCTGGCCTACCATGTATCCGTGATATAAACAAAACGGCACTTGGGAAAACGCGGCACGGCGGATCACCACAGATGAATTGGATCGATACTGTAACTGCCGCAAGCTACTAATCAATCTAGGCCCCAATTTTTCTGCCCTCCCCCCTTTTTTTTTCTTCAGACTTGCCCTCCTACTTCCTTGGACGGGAACGCAATGAATTGGCGGAGAATTTCCTCGAAGAGAAGGGAAGTACCTTGCGGCCGTCGAGAAAAGGGAAAATCGGTCCAGCTAGTTACAAGTGACTTTCCGCCCGTCGTAGGTAGACTTCTCCGTGTACTGCATAGTATTGTGTGTCTGGTTCTGTTGCCAGATTCTCTCAAATCCCGAGCGAAGAATGGATGACGTGATACCCGAGCATCCGGGAACAAGGAACAAAACCCAAGCTGCGAAAACAGAAGAAGGCAAAAACAACAGAAAATCCAAAACGTCCCAAAAGGGATGCGATTTCGCCAGTGATTTGACATTCCGTCGAGACGAACGGGCTACTCCAAGTGGATGTGATGTCTGTGTGTGTGTTGTGTGTGTGTGCGCGCCCGTCCGCCACCCCCGTGTCTTCGGGATGTTTCTGTCTGGGGGCCGTTGTCAGGCGGAAAGAAGCATCTCTCGCGCACACGGGACGCGCGCGGGCGGCCGGTGGAAGGGATCCCCCCTCCATCGCATTCTGCCTCTCCCAGGCGCAACTCTCATAGGGTGGCGGGAGGGTATCTCCCTGTCACGCAAGGGGAAGGAGCGAAGGAGGACGTGCGGACGGTGATGTATGTACTCGAGTATTTTCTCTTTGGGCGGAAAAAGGCTTCGTCAAGCAGGCTTTTTCGCTGTTGGTGGCTATATCTCCAAACAAATATGCTACTCCCGCCCATCAGACGAAAGGGAAGAGGAAGGGTAGAACCCTACATACAACCTCAAGTGGGAAAAAGAGAAGACGAAGACGAAGATGCCAAGGTATAGGGCGTATATGATTGTCCCGATATTTTGTCCCGATGCAGTCCCTGTCCGACTCCGAACACCCATCATCATCATCATCATCGCCAACGAAAGATGACACGCCAACCTTACCCGGCCTGTACCCGAACTGTTGCGAACACCCGTCCACACCATCCATACCCCCAACCAAACCGTCCAGCCTTTGCCCTTGTGTGTGTGTATACTTGCTGCCTCCCTGATCCCAAACCGAATGAACATGGTTACAGTCCTTTCAAATAGTGAAGATACCAGACAACCCCTCCTAATGGAATGAAGGGCCAACTGAGATGAACCTCACGACGCCGCCCGCTCTAAACTCATGCTCGCCGCAGAACCTTATTTAGGAAACCGCCCCGGCCCCTTTTGGGCGTTTCATCCCCCGTGACGACTGATTGTCGTTGCTGCTGCTGCTGGTGATGGTGGTCCTTTGTCGTCCCGTCTTTTCCTCCGAGGCCCGGATCGCTCGCTAGTTGCGCATCTCCCCTGTTGATCTTCACGTACGAATCGTCCGAAGACGCCCCAGCCGCCGCCGCCGCTGCTGCCCCTGAGTCGAAGTAGCAGCCCTCGGCGGCGAGTTTCGACAGTCCCGGTGAAGTGTCGTTGGTTGGAGGTGTCGTATACAGGGCAGCAGTAGCTGTGGGTGTCGCGGCAGAAGTAGCTATAGACGAGGCTTGGGCGGGTATCCCCTGCCGGATGTGAGAGAGGCCTCTGTCGAGGTACTCGACGAGCGTTGCCTTTGTGTCAAAACCAAACGTTGTGCCACAGTCCTTGTCGCCACCCGCTCTGTCACTTCGCGTGGCAGGTGAGCCTGATCCATCATCGGGCTGGACAGGTGCAGCGGTAGGGGCGGCAGCTGGCGTCACGGGTGCGGAGGAGGCGACGGCGGTAGGGACGCCGCTGCTGCCGTGGACGACGTCCAGGGCTTTGCGGTAGAGGTCCGGGACGCGACGCCGGAACTCGGCTTCGAGGTCTCGTTCATGCTCTTCCATGGCTCGCGCGCGGTCAGAGCTGGCTGTAGGGTTTGACGCCGAGGATGAGGGGTTCACCCGTCCCTCCTCGCTGTCGATCTGAGTCAGCAGGTCATTGTATTGTAGCCGTCTCGCCGCGTCATCATCTTCTGACAGCGTGTCTGTTGTTTGTTTATGGGCGTCCCGGCGGAGTGCTAATTCCGTGCGGGCTGCCCTGGCTTCGTTGGTCATCTTGGAACTCTCGATGGAGTTGCTATACGAGACCGAAAATTCCTTGTAGTGGCCCTTGAGCACGAAACATCGGCCCGGCCAGCCCCAGCTCTTGAACTTTGTAAAGAGCACGTCGGCAACGGGACACTCCCATACGGAGTCGACGGCGCGGGCGTAGACAACCAAGCAGTGTGCAGATCTCCACTCTCCAAACTTCCGTCCGCTATCATGGTCGGCGAAGGCACGCTCAATCATGTCAAAGGGGGCATCTTGAATGAATCTCGGGGGCGCGCGGAGGTTGATTGCACCGCGTATGTGAGACCTCTCGAATTCAGTCGGAGATCGGAGGTCAACCAAGAGGATCCCACTGGGGGGAAGGATATCAATTATTTTGTTGAGATGATGAGGTAGAATCATCTGGGCTCCTTGAGACGCCACGGGGGCTAGATCATCAATCTTGAGATTCTGGAATTGATGAGAGACGATGTCTCGTTCCCTTCGATGATGGAACCAAGCCTGAAAGGTCAGCATATGTTCCTACACAACACACCGTAGAGTACCCACCTCGACATGCCACAGCTCAACGCCTAAGTTGGAAGCAACAAAGTTCTTTTGATCGTCATTTGGCAAAGGTTCCTGATCGTAGTATTGTTGAAGCAGCGTCTCAATATGCTGCGAGAACTTGGGTGGTTCGGGGATATCCTGGAACACAGTCCTCCGTGAACTCCTCTGTTGGTTTGGAATCATTGTTCTCGATGTGATCTCCGCAGATGTCTGAGAGGACGACGAAAGCTGCCGCTGAAGACTGGCCAGGGATGCCGAGGAAGGTCCAGCTCTCAACAACCCAGCAGGACCGCTCGTCGGCGATGACGACGGCGAGATAGCTTCGGTGGACACCTGTTGCCTTGTGCCTATGTTCCGCCTAGAGGCTCGCCCCTCTCCGAGCGAATATGAACGCATGTCAGCCAGTTGCTGGCCAATCATGCTGCCATGGTCTGTCGGGGCATAAGTGTAGGTGGTGTCCGAGAAAAACGTCTTCATTGACGCCGAGTCGGGCTGTGTCCTGTCGAGCGTTGCACGAGAGACTCCCACAGGCACTTCGGCCTCTGCCTTGTCTTTCTGACCTCCCTGTAGCATCATGTTGTTTGACCTGATGAAGGCTATGAAGGAAGTCGCATGGTCCTCCGGCAACAGGTCCCAGACCATTACCGGCATCGACAGCAAAAGCAATGTAGAATGGCTTTTGAACACCCCTTGAACCTTAACGTACTTTGCCATTGCTGGGAAATTCGAGAGCCACTGTTCCCAGGCATTGAGATCCAGCTGTTGGTTATCCTCCAAAGCGAGGGAAATCATGACATGGGGCGTGTCCTCGTTTGGGTCTTCGGATACCGGCGCCCCGGGCCCTCGACCACCTGTCAACTGATCCGGGTTATCGCTTCCGTTAGCGGTCGTGTCCTGAGGAGGTGAGGGTGGTCGAGCGTCCGGGGGGACAATCCGTGACATCTCGATACTGGGTGCTTTGTGATTTGTGGTCATCATGAAGTGGACTGGCGTTGACCTTGCCTCAAAGAGCTTGCCGTTGATAGTGATTGGCCTAGGATGTTTAAGACGAGCAAGAACCTCGGCATGCAGCATAGCGGCAGAAAAGGTGCGTAGCCTCCATTCCTGCAGTACTTCGATGAGGGCGTTGGTGAAGGAGTAGCGACCTGGATCCGGGGCAATGGCGTCCCAGCTCGAGGCTGAGATGGTCTCGGTGATACTGTTGCCGTTGGGAAATGTAGCACTCGCAGCTCCAGCGCAGCAGTCAAGAAGGATGAGAACGTCAGAGGCAGAACGTTCTAGCAGAGTTTGAATAGCTGACCACTGCAACCACGGAGAGTCGGGATTTCGTGTTCTAACTCAGGTTAGAACCATCTACTACAAGACTTCACGTCACTTACGCGCACCAGGTGCTTTGCCTGGACTCGTCTATCCTTGCGTGGCCGCCGTAGTACACCAAGAAAAGCGTATCTTGGGCCTCGTGGTCTTTTATCAGCTTGCCGACTTGCATCATGAGCTCAAGATGTGAGTTTTCGGAAGGAATGGCGAAGATGTCCGTGTTAAAGGCGTAGTCCTCGCGGAGGCAACGCTCCAAGTCCTCCAGCTCGGGCAGCACGAAGAGGTCATCGGAGCCCCAATGAAGCAACAAGGCCTGGACCTTTTTATATCTCTGTGATGATCTGCCCCTATTTGGGAATGCTCGGTTTGCAGACTAGGTGGACATCAGGAAAAGGCTTTGCCAAGAGGTTTCACGGCGACTTACATCCTCCAAGGTCTGCACGAAGCTATCGAGATGTTTGACATGGTAGCTCACGCGACTTGTGTCGTGGGTGGCGGTCCGGGGTGCATCGCCGGAGCTGGATCCATACTGGCCATCACCAGCTTGTGAGTGTACTCTTCGCGACTGGTGAGTCGTGACTCTAGCACCTACAGTCGAGTCTGCACCACTGCTCACGCTGTTTCCATCGTACGGCCGGCGAGACCGGATGGTCACGTACGGCTGGTGGTCGCCCATGTTTGGCTGTGTCCCCTAGTGTTCGGTCGCAGTCCTTCTCCGTCTCCCCCTCTTCAAAGATTGGATGTAAGCGTCCGCAAATGCTGGAATATAGAGCGCGGGGTGTATTCGCTACTCGAGGTTGGTGGTTTGCATGGCAATTGTGAAAAGTGGTGTTCGCTATGAAGGCCGAAGGAGCCCAAAGGTCTTCATTTTCAATACGGACGTCTGATGCATTGTCGGTGAGGATCGACAGATACCCCTCGGTCTCGAAAGAAGAGGGTGGACGTCGCCGGCGGTGTTTTCTGACGAGGCCTGGTTGTCTTCGGTCGGCATCTGGCGGGCTGAGGTGCATCCCACTTCGCGCCAGCGTCGGTAGCCAAAGTGGTTTAGCGCCTCCCAGACGCCGGTGACCTAATGAGGTCGATTGGCAGGGGTCGGTGCACCGTTGGTGCCGCTTTCTGCCACGTGCGCAGAGGTACTTGTGTGGCGCTGTGTGGCCAATGAGGGAGCTTGGGCGCGTCGCGGCACTGGATGACCAGTGACATGTCGTTTGTACAGAGTTCAGCCACAAAACCCACTGGAGCTCAACCTGAGTCGCCCCAATCTACTCCGTACGTTGTTGTGCACTCACCTCACTCTTTCGGTACCGAGGGAAGGTGTCCTCAGCAACGGGTCCGACGTCGATGCGGGTCAATCTGCGAGCTGCTCACACTCATACACGTTCTTGCCCTTCACATCACCGAGAGCCCACATGACGGTGCTACCTTGAATCTAATCTGATCCAGTCGTCGTCGGAAGGACTTTTGTCAACACCACCTACCAGGATTTCTGCTTGGGGCACAGTCTATCAACATGCGTCAACGAATCACCTTCATCCACAAGCCCGGAAACGGAGTCCCCTTCGAAGCTCTCGAGGTTAGCGATGCCGGCGTCAAAGGCCCGGAGATTGAGGCCGTTCGCGAGGACAGAGTCACACTAGCTCTGGAGGAGCTTCCAGCCGAGCTCTCTCAGCTTCTGAGCGAGAGCCATGAGCTCCATATCCGATGGGTCACTCCTGAGACCTACGAGACTGTCACTCCCTTGAACTCAAGGGTGTCACCGGGCTTTCATCTGTTTTATACCCCCAAAAAGGAGGGGCAATGGGATGCGTGGGTATTTTTGTCATGTCATGAAAAGCTTTATACTAACGTGATCTCAGAGTCAAACTCTGTGAAGCTCTCGGCGATGCATTTGGGGCCAGCGGATGCCCTTCGTCAGAGGTACGTGATTGAATACGACTTGAGTATTGTTTCTTCTAAAATTCAAACAGTCATTCACGAGTCTCCCGAATGACAGATTCTCTCACTCCGCAGCTCTCCAATACTACGAGCCGCTGGACAACCTCACAAAGTTCATTCATTACACATCCGAGACGCTATGCCCAGCGTCAAACACGGCCTGCAAGTCCCGCGCCGAGGATCTCAAGACGGCGGCGTCCCTCGATATTTCATACGATACCATCTCGCACGCCCTCAAAGTCACGGCACAATGGCCGTACACTACCCATAAGATCGACGTCGCCTCAACACCAAAGCACAGGACCGAGGTCGGCGTTCTCACCACTGACTCCTCCGCAAAGCCGGAGCCTCACGAGATCGGTATGACCGGCGGCCTGACCGTCCTCGGCGAACACACGAAGCCCTCGCCCGTTCTGTTCAACGTGCCCGCACGCCACCGCCGCCATGACGAAGTGGCCGCCGGCTCTTCCTTCTCCGCCAAGTTCCTCGAGCCGACAGGCCTGCACCCCGCGCTACAGCTTACAGTCAGCTCTGCCCGGCCTCCCGTCGACGACGCTTACTGCGCCATCCACGCGCACTTCACACTCCCCAAGACCATCTTTGCGGACCGTTACCAGCTCGCAGACGACCTGTTCCTCCAATCCAAGAACCTCACCGCCTTGCGCTACTCCAGCTCGCCCGTCGACCTCGAGGCGCCAGCCTACGCGACCAAGCCGTGGGGCTCGGGCGTTCTCCTCGAGCTCGCGCCCCCAACCGCGCAAGAACAGGACACCGAATGGACGGCCGAGATCCCGCTGCACCTGCGCTACCTCAAGCCAGCCGACGGCGGCTACACGGATCTCGAAGTCCCCCACCCAGCCGTGTTCTGGGCTTGCTCCTCGGAGGAAGGCACCAAGTTCCCCAGTAGCCCATTTGAGCGCGTCAACCTGGGCTACGACGCGCTTTTCGGACCGCGAACCGTCTTCTGGCACGTAGAGCCGGTCGGCGCTGCGGAGGGCGGCGGCGGCGGCGGCGGCGGTAGTCGGCTTACGAGCTCCGTGCGCGTGCCGGTTTTGGAGGCCGGACAGGCGGGGTGGGTGCGGATGGGGACCGCGGGCGCGGTGATGCTGGGCTTCGCATGGGTTCTGTGGAGGCTCGTTGCCGCGCATTTCCGGACCGGATACGGCAAGGGTGCTGCTGCCAAGGCGGAGGAGAAGAAGACGCAGTAGCTTAAGCTGTTTTCCCGGTTTTTATCATGTTTTCCTTGCAGGATTTCCTTGGAATATCAACGTCGCATGATTGCTTAATTAAAATGACGATGCACCGAAGAAACATGTTCCGAGCTACAGTGTTGCGGCGGATCGGCACGGTAAGGTGACAGGACGGATGTGGCGGAGCCGACCACTGACGCGGCGCAGCGGGACTTTATAGTGCCTACCTTGGGTATGATGTAGTAACAGCAGCTAGACCTGCTGGAGCTATGTAAGCGCCAACGTCAATCTCAAAAGTGAGCCGGTCTTTTTTTTCATTCACATATAGGGGCCTATCTGTTCGATGAAGCTGTCTCGTCGCCGGGTTCCGCCGTCGATGCAGCAGACATGCTCACGTACATTGTCGCCCTCGTGGCGTTCGTCGTCTTCTTCTCCGACCCGCTTCTCCGGATGCTGTCCCCGTCCGGAAGTCGTCGCGTCGTCCGCACGCCGCGGCCGCCAATGAATGAGTCGCTGCTCGCAATCGAGCACCCCAACGCCACGGTACTATCGTGTCCACCAGACACCTACACGGTGCACATATTTTCAAAGGAACCTTTGGTGTTGTACATTGAAGGGTTCGTCAGTCCGGACGAGAGGGCGCATCTTTTGGATGTTAGGTGAGACTCCATCCCTTGATTCACTCGCTTCACACATCGTCCCATGGCAAGTTTCATGATGAAGTGTGAAATTGATTCTTGAGCTGTACAGGAGGCTAATGTTCAAACAAGTCAATCTCTGTTTGAGCCATCAACCATCACCCACGATGGTGCCGGCGTGCAGCGCGACACATCGATCAGAGAGTCCGAGGTGGCCATGATCCCACGCACCGACGGGGTCAGGTGCATCGAAGCCCGGGCCCGGTCGCTGCAGGGCTGGAGAGAGGAGCTGTGGATCGAGAGGCTGAGGACGCAGCGGTACGTCGAGGGAGGCCACTACTCGTACCACTTCGACTGGAGCTCGAACCGCGGGGGATGGGGGCGGGTGAGCAGCATGATGGTCTGGGTCGATGCGCGCGGCGACGAGGAGGGCGAAGAGCTGGTCGGGGGCGGCACCGAGTTCCCGCTGTTGAGCATCCCAGGGCAGAAGGAGCGATGGTGTCGCTTCGTGGACTGCGAGAAGCGTGGAAAGACGGCGGCGGCGGCTGAGTCTGAGACGGGGGCCAATGCTGGCGGCGATGAAGACAAGGGGGTCGTGTTCAAGCCTGTCCCGGGGAATGCGGTATACTGGGAGAATTTCCGCGCTGACGGGAGCGGAGCGGGTTACGAGGAGACGTGGCATGCCGGTCTGCCTGTCGAGAAGGGCATCAAGGTTGGCCTTAACATTTGGAGCACGGGAAGGATAGACTAAGCTGGCGGATCCGGCCGCGAGAAGCTGCAACGTAATTTTAGATGATGGTGTAAGAATCAGGCAACACAGACTTCGAAACCGAAAGGCTCTGCGTCACGGTCTTGACATGTTCAAAGATCTTATAAGCGGCCTGTTCCGGTGTCAACTCCGTGACGTCCAGTTCGAGCTCCAGATCCCCTCCAAAGCGAAACATCTGCTCTTCCTGCCTGATATCCTTCAGGATGTTGACATCTGTTAGCTTCCCGTTTGCAGCTCCACCCCGACCGCTCCTCGTGACCCTCTTGATGTTCTCTTCCAACTGACACTCCAGGGCGATGGGAATGAAAGGCAGACCCCTCCTTCTGGCAGCGTCCTCATATTCTTGAGCAGCGGCGCTGCCAAAGGGACTCGAGCTCCGCGCGTCCGTGAATATGTACGTTGTGTTTTGATGTGAATCAGATGTGGCGATGGTGAGTAAGGTGTTACGGCGGTGGAAGGCTCTCATCAGGTTGTAGTCTGGATGGTCTCGGTCGATGCGGACGAGGTCGATGATGCGGTGGTCGTCCCAGACCTCGCTTCCTGGGAAAAGTTTTGATAGCTCTCTGGCTATCGTGAGCTTCCTGACGCCGGGGTAGCCGTTGATGTAAATGTATTGAGACATCGTGATGGGTGGAGTTGTCTGCCAGGATATAAGTGAGGACGGTCTTTTCGCGCAAATAGTTCACATTCACGTTGTAGTCGAGATATATTCAGATAATGCACAAAGATCTACCCGGATGGATTATTTTTCAGAATTTGACCCCTGACATATTGCGAGTCACCGACTGTTTGTTTCTCCTGCGATCCGGGTACATGTTCCCCGCGGTGAGTCAAGAGCCTGGGGCGGCTATGTTTTTCTCCCTTCAGCTTTCCGCAGCACGTACGAGCCGTCAGAGAAAGCCAAAGTTGCGTAGTTGAAAATAAAAACGCGTAGAAAAATATAACACGATGCAGTTAGAGATGACTTTTTTTTTTTTTTTCGAAACCGTCTATGCGCTTATACACTTCCTATACTATGAATATTTCCAAAACTATGAGTATTAGTATGAGAAGAGAATGAAAACAATAGAGTTAACAAGAGTAAAAACCACGATATTAGAGTCAACAACAGCAGAAACGACACTAGAAATATCAGAAACATAGGCACTATACCACAGTCCAAGTAAGTGTCTTCAAATATTATGGCGCTTCGCTGACTTGACTAACTGGGTGATCGGACGGCAAATCTCACCACAAACCATGGACGTTACTATTGCACTCTTAAATTTCCTTCTTGCCGATGACCCGTAAGGTAACTCGCGAGCATTTTGAGTCTTTCTATCACCAATCCGTACCCCAGCTCCTTCGTGCCGGCCTGCATCAGACTCCCCGTCGCGACTACCAACCCTATCACCAAAATCCCCACCATCACACCGAGACATCCACAATCCTTCGCCTGTTACCTCTCCAACATCACACTGCCTACCGCTAGGATACTCAGCCAGGCAGCTTTTTCATAGTCCAGATGGCAGCACACGGGATACGGTCATCCCACCAGCAGCCCTGAAACCCCCAATGCCTTCACACCGAGTCACAGAAATCTTCACACCCAATGCGACATGCGGTTCCGAAAACTTGGATTCACTAGCGTGTGATGTGTGCCGTGATTCCTCGCATCTTGATTTGGTCTTGATCATATAATCCGGGATCCGAATCGGACGTTGTTCCAAAAACAAAAAAAATGAGGCGGACGATCGCTGTGGTTGGTCCGGAGAAGCCTCACCCGATCAGCGCCGATGCACGAGAGAAATGCGTTGGTCGCCTCGTCTTACTACGTCACCTCGTTAACGGATCCGTGGCCGGCCAATAGAACAACATGGATGCACGTCGACGATAACAATATTTCCACATGCGCATTGTTATTCTCATGCAGCAACATGAGGCTTTCGTGAAGAATACGAAGTTCGATGCTGAAATATTGATGAGTGATACGATAATCTACCTAACCCCCTCTTGAACCAACCCGCTTTGCAAACCAGACATGACTACCTATCCTACACATCGCGCACAAACACCGTCCTCGCCAACACCAAATGACATTTTGAGAAGTGAAGGTGATACCAGTCACGAGACGCTCTCCGTAGCCTTGCCTTATGCAACCTTGCCCATGCACCACGCCCTTTTTTTTGTAATCCGAACCAATGCAACAGACACCCTTGATAAACCCAATGCAAGGTAAGATTGTTGTAAACACAGATTCGAAGATAATTGGAGTCGATGTAGTGCCGGAGACTTTGCATTCTCCCCCTCCTGCTGTTTTTCTCATTCTCGGCCAAGGTCCGTTTCCCAGGCGTGAAGTTACGACAGTGACGGGGCTTCAAGGGAGGATCCAGCCATACAACGTCGGAACGACCGGACATGCTTTCGCGGCCGCAAACAGCCCCTGATCACGCCACACCATTCATCACACCATGGGGACCTCCCCGAGTCAATGTTGACCGTGGTGGTGCGTTGGTGGAGGAGGCGGGGGAGGTGGGACGATGCTGGCGTCGTGGTCGACTTCAATCTCGAACATGGGGATCTCGTCCGCCTTGAAGTACATGCTAAGGTCGTCGCCCGCAGAGGCAGAGATGGAGTACATGTCGTTGCCAAAGGCAACACGCCTCACCTTGGCACCGAGACCCCAAAGGCGTCCGGGTGTCATCTCCTGGGGAACAACGTTGTCAAACGACTGCCAGTTGGCGCGGACGTGGGCGAGGGCCGTCCTCTGCATTGCGCGGTGGCTGGCCTGACAGTGCTCGACGATCTTCTTCTCTCCGTGGCCTGCCCACCCGATGACGAGGCGGACGGGCTTGCCGGGCACCGACGGAGGTGGGGGAGGCGCGGAAATGGAGACAGTCCCCGGGGGTGGGGGCGCCATGGAAGGGGGACGCATTCCTGGTGGGAACCTGCCTGGGGGCGGCAGGGGAGGTGGAGGCCCTTGGCCGGGAGCGCGAGGATAGACGCGCGTGGGGGGGCCTCTCCAGCCAGGAGGTGGAGGGGGAGGCGCCGAGCTGTTGATGGGAACTGCCGGGATATAGGATGGGCGTGCAACCAGGGGAGGCGGGCGCCTTCTCGGCAAGTCCTCTTCTGAGGAGCTATCTTCCTCAGAAGAGGAAACGTGCTTCTTGGACTTTTTCTTATCCTTGCGGCGGGAAGCCTTTGTCTTCTTGCGACGGGATGATGGGATCTCATCGTCTTCGCTCTCGGACGAGACAGCAGATAGAGAAATAACCTCATCCAGTGTCGAGGCTTCGCTGTCAGAGCTATCCGAGTCGTTCTTCGTGCCGCGAGGGAATCCGAAGCCATTCAGCTCAACAAACTGGAAGACTTCCTGAGCCGACTTGGTATGGAGTGTCTCGTAGGCGTCCTCGAGGTCGCGGCCTGTTGCTGAAAGAACCTCCTGGCGTTTGCCCTTGTGCACCTTCACTGCGTAGATGGTGTACGACTTGTTGGGATGGCGTGAGGTATAGATGTCGATGAAGGCACTGCGGCCGGATATCAGACGCAAGTTGTCTAAAGCAGTGTTGGCAGGTAAAATCTCGAAATTTCATTTAGCCGTGACGAAGACTTACCCATAATCTGCTCGCGCCAGGCGAGGCATAACGGGTTAGGTGCCATGGTCGTCGATTTGGGACAACGAGTTGGTGGTATTGCTTCGCGTATGTCGCTCAGAAACACTATCATATGCAAGGTGGAACCGAAAGCTGTATAGACCATGCAGGAGGAAGAGAACAAGAGGGTGTAGGTCACATCTTATACAAGCCTGCCGAAGATGCCTCCCCTTTCCATCCGTCCCATCTCAAAAGGCTGGCATGTTTTTCATAGCTGCGAACAGTAGTGGCCCATGATTCAGCCAGGGCGGATAGATGAGGCGGGCAGGTAGGTGTAGCCTGATGTGTGCAACGTTGGTCTAAGACAGGTGTGATGAATATCCTACCTTAACAGTGAGAGGCATTCCACTGTGGCCCAGTCGACGAGGAAGAAGCTGATGCGCTATGACCCATCTGGTCTTCGGCTTGGCCAATGTACGGACAACCTGCAGATAAACAGCCTGCAAGGGGAATGGGGACGAAAAAAGAAGGTATATCGCCCGGGGTTGGAAGGGCCTTGGGCTGTGACTGGACGGAAACGGGAGAGCACAATAGCTGGAGGGGGCTGAGAAGCAAGGCCAAGGCATCAGTCCAATCAGGCTCTACAGATACCCATGGTATCAGAAATTTTGCTGCATGGTCATCCTTTCTTTTTGTTGGGTCTCCAGGGCTACTGTACCCTGCATATCTTGTCTTCACGATGTAGTTTTGAAATCTGAATGCGTGTGAGTGCGAGTATGGGCACCTGGAATTGCACTTTGCGGTCGACGCGGAGCCGCATATTTGCCGAAAGGATGACCAGCCGACCACGCTTTGGATCTGGCGTCAGTATAAAAACGGTCGTCCCAGATGTCTCTGCTGGCACGAGTAACGCTGGGCAAAATTCCACACGGCAGATCCTTTCGGCAGAGCCCGAACGCAGCCCAATCTCATCGTCGTGGCAGCTCGCGAGCCTCTCGTCCATTTTCGAAAACATCGGTTCCGTCCTCGTTTCCACGAAAACCCATTTTTCGTTTTCGGTAAATGCCGAGCAGCTGTCGTCATCTTCAGGCCGCACCGCCGTGACAGCCCTGTGGAGACGATTGTCCGGATGCCTCGAGGCCCAAGTGAGACATCCCGCGCGTTGATGGTGGTGGTTACGCTCAGGTTGCGAGAGGGCAAGCGGCGTCATGACTTTTGGTACCAAAGCACTGAACTGAAGGGGAAAAAAGCCCGGCGTAACAAGAACTGAGGTAGTTGATTTTGTGACCATCTGATGTTTAGTCGGGGAAAGCTTGGTGCGAGGGTATGCCTGGTAAAGTATGGGCGATCCCGCCCTGCGACTTACAGACAGGGAAGTTGCTGCCGCTACAGCTACAAACGGCAGGGGAGGTCCGAGATGAAAGTGTCAAGAACTGACTGCGGTGCGCGTTTGGAAGACTAGAAGCGAGAAAGAAGCAAACTGCCAGACGTGCTTTGAAGGCACCGCTATGCACAACCTTTTTTTCCTCCCACGAGGACGACGGGGCCCGACCGCCACGTCTCAATCTCAATCAGTGGAACAATGCCCAAGGAAGCACTGCGTCGTTACGCTGCAGGTCGGAACTTGGTTGTGCCCTTCTACCCGTCCCGCACAGAGAGACATAGCAACGGCTGCGAATCCGGAACGACGCAACACAGTTGGGCATCAAAGTGGACGATTTTAGTGTTGGTGTGCACCCTAGCTGCAGAATGCAATATGCAGGCAAGACCGATGTCGATGTGATAGGTGAGATCAAACGAGGCGGGAGGCAAATTCGTTCAATTGGCCGACGCCTGCAGATAAGTCAGTCTAGAATCACACTGTCGATCTGACACCCGACGATCAACTCAGACATGATCCTTCCGTCAACTTCAACGACCACCAGCCAGGCTCAAGGCTACGGGCGTATCTAGCCAGCATCTCCTTGCGATTGACGATACTTAGCAACTGGGCGCCACAGCCTCGACGACAATCGTTGCCCGAGTCAGTAGGTCTTCGCTTGGAATCGACTTCAAAGTCAGGTAACGGTGCTACTGAAACGAAAGCCCATGATGCTTCACCACATGGTTCGTCGCCCTGTGCGAAGTCAAAAACTGATGGCACCTGACCCTAGTTGCTTGCCCTGTGCTTCCTGGGGCTCAACCGCGATGTGACGAACTCATGTTGCTTTGAGCACACAACCTGAGACGATGTTTAACGTAACAAACGCATGGTATCCTGTCATCCTACCTATCTATCAACCCCGCGCTACCCCATTCTATGTCTGCAGACGCTCCAACCGCGAAGTGACAGCCTCGACTAAAGCCGTCTCACGCGACAGTAGACCCATGACCTGCTGAAGCTTGGCCTTACGGATCTCTGACGGGATCTTGAGCTCCGACGCCTTTGACGGCGACTCCTGGACATCAGTGCCGTCGGCTGGCTTCTGTACCCGCTCCACCTCGGCCACCAGTTCATCTCGTAACCGCTGCACGTCCTCGAAACGTTTCTTGAGCAATCTTTGTTGCTTGGCTCTCGGACTGTCCTCTGATGATCCCAGCACGCTGGCCTCCATGCTCTTGACTTCTTCCACAAACGCTCTTTCCTTGGCGCTGAGCTCTCGAGTTGCGGCCTTGCCGACATATTTTCGGACACTCTCGAGCCTCTCATTCAACCGCTTTTGGCGATCCTGCGCGTCTGTGATGCGCCGCTCGAATCTGGCTTCGTCGCTTTCACCCTCCCCATCCTTGCCGTTGCCCGCAATCTTATCAATCTTCTCCTTGACCTCGTTGGCCTTCTGAATCTGATCACGAAGTTCATCTTGCAGAGTGCTGCAGCGGCGGAAAATCTCCGCAACGGCAGTACCAAGGCGGTAGGTATCCTCGCCCAGGATGCGATGAGCGTCTGTGAGAATTTGCAGAGTCACTGGAGACAAACGAATCTCTTGGTTTACAATTGTCTTGTGACGTGAGCTTCGAAGCCTGTTGATGAGCTCTGGGAGGTCGGATTGCTGCTCAAAAGCATGAGACGGCTGGAAGGCTGGACGAGGCTCGTAGAAATCTAAAGGTTCCATCGTGACAGGCTTCTCTTCGTACGGCGTCTCATGGCGTACAGGGGTAAAATCGTCTTCGGGTGTCTCAAAAGTCAGAGCGACCGGTTCGTACGGGGTGGCTGACAAGAGAAAGTATCCGAGATCAGGGTCGCGTATGGCGGCACTCGCGGCGAGGGGCACAGTGACATCGTTCGAGGACTGAGTGTAGAGTCGGTCCCGAATAGAGTTCTGTCCGTTGACGAGAAGGCCGAGACGGAAGTCTGAGCCTGCCTCCGACTCGCCTGAAAGCTCACCCTCAAGACGAAAGATCCAAGGAGACAGAGAGAGGAAGGTAATGCCGGCATGCGAAGTGACAAACATTGAGTACCGAGACATGACATCCGACGAGAATGTCGGCCAGGAGTCCTCCACCTTCATCTCGGTTGGTGCCATGGTGTCGACGCATTGAAAAGTCAGCAGACTGGGCAAATCGGCCGCCGACAGGAGACGTCCGAGTCTCGACTTGTTGCGTGGTGGCAGCCATTGAGCCTCGATCCCTTCCAGGTCTAGGTAGACTCGGACCTGGCCAGTCTTGGATAGCAAGCAGACGACGGACAGTGAAAGACCCTCCTGGTCCCCATCGTCAAAATCCAAGTCCTCGTCTTCGCCCATCATGAGGTCCTCCGTGTCAACCTTTTTACCGATGACCATGATATCGGTCAACGAGCTGTCGTAAAAGTCTTCGCTGTCGGGATCGGCGATAAAGTCGAAGGGGCCTTGCAGCCGCGGCACAACACCGGGCCGGGAGGGGCGCGTATAGACTTCCACCGGCTGCTCGCCCGGTGCTGTGTCGATGACTTGCGGTTCCTGAGAGTCCAAGTCACCCATCCACTCGAGCTGTTGCTGGGCAAGGAGCTTGTCGATCTCCGAGACTGCTGGATCGTCTTCCAAAGCGGCCACCTTGGAGACAATGGACACAGACAGTGACGGAATCAGAGTTGGGGGCGGCGCCCACTTCTGGGGTAGGAGAGGGCAGAGAGCGTAGACATCACCCTCCCTCATGGCTACCCAAAGGGTCATGGGACTCCATCCTCCGGATCCACGGCCAGCAAAACAGGCCGATGCGACCTGCATCTCCAGAGAGTATTGCGAGAAGCTGGCATTCGTGGCCGCAGTGGACGCCGTGAAATCTTGATCAAGTGTTGTGCCATCGACGAGCTTCTTGAGGTCGATAGACAGAGTAGGAGAGTCGAAGGACCAGCGATCGGTCATGGACAGCTCCCAAACACGGACAATGGCATCGGTGGTGACTGTGACCAAGCAGGATCCCTTGACGCCAAGCGGGTGCCAGATCGCCGAGGCGACCGACGCGCGCGAGGTGACGTGGGTAGTAGGCCCAAGTGTCCATATCTTCGGTCGCAGGGGACTAGTATCTTCGGCGGTGAGGTGGGATGAGTCGGGAACCACGCAAATGTGAACGGTGTGTGTCGTCACGATGGCGAGGTAGTCGGAGTTCGGGGAGATGACGAGCTGCCGGATGTCATCGGCGACGGGCGTCTTGATGGTCTGTCACGAGATGTTAGAGATTGATTCCAACGTCTTGGTATCCATAACCCACGCGGAAACCCTGCGCGGTGGCGGCCTCCTCGGTCGAGGGGATCGCATCCTCGAATGTTTGCGTCGACTCCTCTCGCTTGACACGGCTGCCCATGCGACGATGGCCATACTTTGTTGACCACTTCTCCTTCAGGTACGCTAAATCGCCCCATCGCAGCTCCTTGCCTACCGCGACAAAAACTTCGGTGCCTCTTCGAGCAATTGTCCGCCTTGGTCCGACAGTCTTCTTCTTTTTGGGGTACGGCGACGGCGCGCTCAGCGCCTTGGAGTCGGTTGACGGCGCAAACAAGCTGTGGCCGGGGCCATGGGACAGCCACGGAGCCGTGTAGCTCTTAACTTTGGGCATTGCGTGGCTGTTACCCTTTTGACGTGTCGGAAATATGTGTCTGCAGCTGCGCGCGATTTCGTGGGCCTTTCAGGGTCGCTGTCGAATACTGAGGTCGTCGGCCGATTTTTTCCAGACGTCTTTGATGGCTGGTTGCTGAAATGTTCCTGGACAAAAATCCAGAGAAAGTCGCGGTTGCTGCAGCGAGACCCACTTTGAGCTCCGGGCTGACCCAGCACCTCTGTTCCGGAGCTGAGCCAATCACAGTTGCGCAAGCTTAAACTTACAACACGGTAATTCGCAGTGAAGTTGAGAACATCAGCCTGATGCTGCCTAACAAGAACGACGGACGATGTCTGAAGAGCAGAGCATTTCTGTAAGTTACTTGAAGAAATTGGTTCTTTACGAAGCCTTTTACGATGAGAAGTGAAAATGAGCCAGAGGCCCCCGAAGACTATAATATTCTTACTAAAAGTTCTAAATCTCTAATCGGAAAGTGTAACAATAAACAGTTCCAGGATGTTTCAAAAGAAGTTAAGTAACGACATGGCTATACTCAACTTACTTCACCTGTGGTTGAAATCGGGAAGTAGACCTTCGTGGTCACCCATGAGGTTGCATGCACGGACCACCAGATCCAGAGCACTCGAGGACTCTCGCGCAACTGGAGCCTGCCTCAGGTACCTCACCTCGTCAAGTACCTTGATCTCAGAACCAATCTCAACCAGCAAAACTGTCGGCCAATCCTTCACATTGATCCGACCTGCGCAACACCAAACCAATTGCTATCTCCTACAACCCTACAAGCTGCAAATATGCGGTACGGCGTAAGAAACACAGTAGAGCGTCTCGATAGGCCGAGCGCATACTACCACAGCAGGGTACGCCTTCTCACTCTTCCCTTGCACCATCTCCTATGCTAACACCAGCGCTCTCTCCCCAGAACAAGCGCAGAAGGAACGACCACCGCGACGACGAGGACTCTAGGCCAGCCGAACCCGCCGAGGACCCCCTTGCCCACGCCACGACGCTCTACGTCGGCAACCTCTCCTTCTACACGACCGAGGAGCAGGTGTACGAGCTCTTCTCCAAGTGCGGCGAGATCAAGCGCCTCGTTATGGGCCTCGACCGCTTCAACAAGACCCCCTGCGGCTTCTGCTTCGTCGAGTACTACACCCACCAGGACGCCCTCGACTGCATGAAGTACATTGGCGGCACCAAGCTCGACGAGCGCGTCATCCGCACCGACCTCGACCCCGGCTTCGAGGAGGGCCGCCAGTACGGCCGCGGCAAGAGCGGCGGGCAGGTGCGCGACGAGTACCGCGAGGATTACGACGAGGGCAGAGGCGGACTTGGAAGGGCCATCCAGGACCGCGGTGGAGAATATGACGAGGGACGGTAAGACGTGGTGCTGACACGGCAAACTGTGGCGCGCATATCTCTGAGAGAGAGAGAAGGCAGAGAGGGAGGAAGAGAAGATTATAGAGATAAGAAAAGCATTGGGTTTTTTTGACATACCATATAGGCGGGTAAATATGCTTTCACGGGAACAGGATTCGGGATTCGATACCCTCAATTTGACATCATTCGGGACATGATTGGAGTTTGTGCTCGTTCTGAGCACGTGTGATTCTACATGGCTTTTGCAGCATACGCGGTTGTTCTTGAACCCACATACATGCATAATTTACAACAAGCAGCGAGAGCTCACGTCTTCGCTGTTCCCCGCGACAGAGCGTTGGCAGCAGCCAAGTGTGTAAAGGACCATATGTAAAGGACCATACAAGCGCCCGCCTTCTGTCGACGATCCTCTCTATCCCTCCCTTGACGTCCTCTCCATTCAAACAAAACATTCGGCATTCGTCTTCGTCGTCGTTTAGTATCCGGGAGGGTTCAATCTCTGAGAGACTCTCGTCCATTTGGGCAGCTCTGCAGATATCAAAAGTTAGCCATGCCACTCCCTTTGGAGACACCCCATTGCGGAACAACGAAGCAGGCTGGTTGGGAAGCAACATACTGTGAATGCCCTTGCGGTACCTCTTCTCCTTGCGGTCGAACATGGTGTACTTGTCCCTCGGCAGCATCTCCGCCTCGGTGGGCATCTCCGCCTTCCACCGCTCCACGGCGGCAACCGTCTCGCCCTGCCTCGCCAGCGCCGCGTCCACCGTGGAGACGACGTCGTCGACGGCGCGCAGACGCAGCCTGTGCCTCCTCTTCTGGAACTTGGACAGCCTCCAGGGGATCTTCCAGAGCAGACCGCCCGACAGCGGCGAGGTGATGCGGAACGCCCCGAACATGATGTGTGTATGTGTGTGTCTCCTGCCTACCACGGCGGTGACGGCGGTCTTCTGTCGGTGCTTCGCTGGCGTTCTCCGGCTACTTCACAGGTAGGCCTTTCAATCGTACGCGGTTCGCCGTGAATGAGTCGTCGTCGAGGGAGGGGGCGGGAGTCGAACAGCTCGAGGGCGTCAATTGTGCAAGCCAGACATTCGATTCTAGGAAATTTCGGAGCTCGCACCAAAAAGAGTGGGGCCAAATTGGCTGCCGCAGCGCAAGGTTCCCATTCGCGCGCGGAATTTCCCACTGGTCGCCCGCCCGTCCGCCCCGCGGGCCTACCTTAGCTGGCAGCTCTCGCCGGGTGCTCCCGTGACTTCGGTGAAGGAGCGCGAAAGGCCAGCGAGAGAGAGTATCCCGAATCGCTCGAGAACATCCTCACTCCACGACGACAAAACCCCGAATACGATCAGGCCGTCTGCTTTGCGCCGCGGGCCTAGAATATCAATTCACTCAGCGAGAGCACGGCGAGACCCACTGATGTCGCGGTGAACAATGTCGTACTACTTCGCCATCGTCGGCACGCAAGACAACCCGCTCTTCGAATATGAGTTCGGCACCTCCAAGCAGGGCGGCGACGGCCAGTCGCGCTTCAACGAGCAGATTCGCCATCTGAACCAGTTCATCCTGCACAGCAGTCTGGACATCGTGGAGGAGGTTCAGTGGGCACAGGGTCAATTGTATGTCCAGGGGTGGATGGAGGCTTTTGGTGGTGATCATGCGCCTGGCACATGCTGACGATGGAATTTCTGCCTAGATACCTCAAGGTCGTCGACAAGTTCTTCAACAACTACGTCTCCTGTTTCGTGACGGCAGGCAACGTCAAGTTCCTCCTACTCCACCAGCCATCTGCACCTTCCAGCACCGCATCTTCACGATCATCAACAGCCATCGGCGCCAACCCGACGAGTCCTGCGACGGAGGAGGCGATCAAGAACTTCTTTCAGGAGGTGTACGAGAACTGGGTTAAAGCGATAATGAGCCCATTTTACAGGCTGAACATGGAGGTGAAGAGCCCAGTGTTTAGAGCAAGAGTCGCAGCGGCAGGAAGGAAATACTTGTAATATCTAGACCAACATGGACAGAAGCACGATGCCAACGGGGATAGAGGCGAGAACACTCGGCGCAATGAGTCATCTGGGGTCCTGCAGCCTGCAGCCAGACTGAGGCACACGCAGTGGAGAACACAGGCGGCCCAGGTAGAGAAATTCTGATGTAAACAATGAGACGCGTCACGATTCATGCACAGTGGAATAGGTTTGGTATGTTCAAGTCACCATTTCGGTGTTGTTTCATTCAGACAAACGCGTCTGCCTATCGACGCCTCGAGTAGTATCATTCCCAGAGTCTCGTGTGATCCCCAACGCCTTAAATCAACGTGATGTATCCATATCCCATTACCGATGAGAAAGACCAATGAACCATCCGCACCAAGCCTTGCCAAACGGCTTTCCCGGCTGCTTGATACCAAGAAGCTGCAAAACAAAGCTGGACCGTGTCGTGATGACACGCTTAACCACCGAAACCGTACAGGGTGCGGCCCTGGCGCTTGAGAGCGTAGACAACGTCCAGGGAGGTGACGGTCTTGCGCTTGGCGTGCTCAGTGTAGGTGACGGCGTCACGGATAACACCCTCGAGGAAGGACTTGAGGACACCACGGGTCTCCTCGTAGATCACTGGAGGGGTTGTTAGATCTTGCTGTAGGTTCGGTGGAGAGCAAGGGGAACTTACTAGCGGAAATACGCTTGACACCACCACGACGAGCGAGACGGCGGATAGCGGGCTTGGTGATACCCTGGATGTTGTCACGCAAAATCTTGCGGTGACGCTTGGCGCCACCCTTTCCGAGGCCCTTGCCGCCCTTGCCGCCTGGAGAGATGGTCAGCACATTGTCCGAGATGCAATATAGTTGTGTTGATGATGCCGCTTGGTATCGACGCGACCTGAGATGCGTGGTGACGCGTCCAGGTGCGGTGGTGCATGCCGATGGGCCTCCGTAGGCACCCAACCGCGGGGTATGCCACGGCACCTAGCGGCACCGAGCACCACGACGGTAACGATGGAAAAAGGAAGCAAAAGTTTACTTACGTCCAGTCATGTTGATGAAGTTGTTTGAGGTGGATAGTTAAGTGGATGTAGTTGTGTCTCGAGGACGAGATGTTGATGACGTTGTTTGGTGATGGATACGTTGGGGTGTGTGAGAAGAGGAGTAGGAATGGGGAGAAAGAGGGGGAGAGGAATAAATAAGGCGGTGCTGCAAGTCTGGGGGACGGGTTACTGATTGTGTGGTGCGCTGAGGTGCGGTGCGTGCAGTGGCAGCAGAGGCAGGTCCGGATCAGTAGGCTAGTCCCAATTTGGACTTTGGAAAAATAGCGAAACGGTAAGGTCCCTATTTTTTGCCGCGTATTTTGCAAGTCACTTGCGGCCTGTTGCAAAGCGTTGTTTTAGCAGGCGCGTTGGGTCTTGTGTTGTCAATTGCAATGGGGGCACCCGACTTGCCCCGTGCACCGCCTTTTTTTCCGACCAGCTGGAGCAGCAGGCAGGGGTGCTCGCAGTCGCAGCTGGGCCAGTTGCCCAATGCAGGGTGTGGGCGATTTTTTGAGTGGACCGAGCTCTTTGCGACCGGTCTCTTGTCACGCGTCAGATGTCCTCCCGCTGCCTGCCGTCCGCTTAGTTCTTTCGGCTGCCACTGGAATGATTTTTCATTGGCTGCATTTTTATCTCTCCACTGAGTTCATGCAAGGGGTCTCAGTCTCCCCCACCATCGGCCATCAATCAACAATTGCGATCTGAGGTGGGCGCGTTCTGGAAAACACAGGTGATGAGGCGCCTTCTGAATGGTTCAATGTTGAGTACCTTGGCTAGCATAGGATTCATTGGTCCGTACTGGGATGAAAGTCGATTGCACTGCAACAAGATGGGGGTCTGGAGACCAGATCGAATGGGTCCTAGACTTGGTCTGGCTAACTATATCGATAAGCATAGCGCGCGAGCATTCGTATCATCTCTCGTAAGCCGCTGCCGAGGCCCGCTTTCCAGCACCCGCTCGCACAACAGGCCGTCACGTCAGCCTCTGTGATTGACAGCAAACGTAGCAAGAATGCCAACACAGCGTCGTGAGGTGTCGCGAATAGTGATGCATTACTTTTCTCGTCACGACCTATCTACCGAGGAACCTGGTCAACGCGAGGCCGTTGCTATACAAGAGGACACAGTGTGTCCTTCCTAAGCCAGTATGCTCTCCCTGCTTTGCTTTCCCAAACGCCGGTGCCATGCAGCATGCCGATAAACATGAATCCGTGTCATCGTGCTGTTATACCATGCCTAAACCCAAGCTTGGCGGACTTGCCTCGTTCCGTCGTACCCAGACTCTTCTCCTATACTTGCACAACCCCTAAAAATGCAGAAATCGCTATTCTCTGCCTCGCAGGGCAAGCCCTGAATTGAAGCCAAGAAACTCATATGCCATATACTCATGTCATCATCGAGTCCTCCATGCTCATGTCCTCCTCGAGGCTTTCGATCGCTTCCTTGATCGATACGCTGGCCTATCGATGTGGTTAGCCAAGGACTTCATCACTACACGCGGATAGCATACCTTTGGATCCAGAGCGAGCGCGTTGCTGAAGCAGCGTACAGCCATCTGCTTCTCCCCGGCGTTCCTGTACAGCCTGCCCAGAAGGAAGTGCACCATCGCCTCATCTGGTGCCATGTCCTTCACGATCAACAGTTCCTTCTCCGCAGCATCTATCTGCCTGAGAAGCATGAGTGCGCGGGCTTTCCGATACCGGACCATCGCAGCCTTGGGCGCTAGCTCCACAGCCTTGCTGAAGAACTGGAGCGCCGGAAGAATCTGCTTCTGCCTCTCCAAAATCCCTCCTATGCGACAGATGAGAACAGCATTGGTCGGGTTGATGATCGAAGCGGTGTGGAAGTGTGAGTATGCCTTGTCGTAGCTGCCCAGCTTCTCGTACACACCACCAATGCCAAAGTAAGCGTTGTAGTGACGTTTGTCGGCAGCGATGGCGCGGCGGAAGGCCGCCATCGCCTTTTCATACTCTTCATTGGCGACGTGCTCGTGGCCTTGCAGAGTGAAGGCGTACGCAAAACCTGGATCTAGTTGCGTAGCCCGCTTAAAACACTTGAGTGCTTGTTCGTGGTCTCGGGAAAGAGAGGAGGCATTGCCCAACGCACACCAGGCCTGAGGCGAGTCCCAGTCGGCATCAACAAGCTCGTGGGCCAGGAAAGAGAGGTCTGTCTCGCGCTTCAAGTGCCAAAGAATGGTTGAGTAGATTTCCATATCTTCCATTCGCGTTGGAGCCACAACACGCAGCTTTCTGAAGAACTTCTCGGCCTCCTTGTACGAGCCTTGCTCGTGGTGCGCCTTACCCATCTGGACCAGAACCCAGGGTGTATCCTGTTGACTGCGGGGCAAAGTGCTGTAGGAATGCAGAGCCTCCTGGCATCTGAACTGCTTAAGTGCAAAGTAGCCAGAGGCGAACTTCTTGAGCAAGTCCATAATCCATTTCAAAGCCTCTTCAATCTTGACGTTGTCGGGCTCCCCAAGAGCAGCTCTTGGCGCAGCATGCTGGGTCGCGTGAGGCTCCCGTACTCGAGTGGTCTCGGCGTGGTCGACGTCCATGCCGTTATCTTCAATGGGCTTCCGGTTGCCACTTACGACCCTACCGACACTGGAGCCACTAGAGCCAGGCCGCATGATTCGAGAGATTTGGGGTCTAGCCTTCTTCAACTCGCGAGTCCCACCGCTGATTGTGGCAGCGCCCGAGTTCGCCTTGGTAACTGACGGCTTGTGAAACATGTTCATATTTAACCTTGCGCTCCTCCTTTGCGTGGGAGCGCTGACCTCTTCGGAATGCTGTCGTGACTGAACAGGGTGCCCCGAGACTGTCCTCTTTCGTTCCGAGGGTGCTGCTGTCCGCAAGACTCCGGGACCGGTGCCGGTGTCAGAGTGCAACTCGACGGTTTGGTCCTTATCTTGACTCCTAGTGCTTCTCTTGGCACCTAGTCTGTAACTCATCTTCGGAGGTGCTTCCAGGAAGCCTGGCTCCACGGCCTGCGCCGTCCGTGTCCTCCGTGGTGGCGCTTGAGGTGGTTCAGCAGCGAAGTTACGCAGTGTCGGAACCTCGGGCATCGATACGGGACCGGTGGGTGTCTCCATAAGATCGGACTCGCCATTCGCCGTGGCTGGCGGTGCCAGTCTCGCCTTTGCCGCCGTGATTTTCGACATGAAGTCGTTCTCTTCCGCCTCGGCAGCAAAAACGTTGGCACTAAAGGGCATGTCTTGGTATGTCGAGGATCGGTGAAGGTTGAAAGGATCTGATGAGTCCATCATAGTCCGGGCCGAGTGCTTCTTGGGTTCAAACGAGTTTGATGTGCCCTCCTTGGGCTCCTGGAGAACCACACTGGGGTCTTGGTCGAAGCTATGGGTGAGTGAATCGGTGACCTGGAAGATGTTGGGCACCCTGACGTTGACGCCCATGTCGCAAAGAGCCTGGAAAGCGTCCCACATGAAGGGGTTGACCCTGACGGCATTCTCAAAACACTCGATCGCCCTTCGGCGGTCGTCGTATGCACGGTACAGCTTCCCCAACAGACACAAAACCGCAGCTTCGTCCGGATATAGTGATCGGGTTGTTGTGGTATGTTTGCCCAGGTTCGTCTTGCCAATCCACTTCTCTCGCGCTTTTTCCAGCGCGTTGATGCCGTCCTTGTATCGTTCGAGTTTGAGGCAAGCCTGCGCAAAAATCCAGGCGGCGCCCAGGTTGGAGCCTCGAGAGGCAGACGGCCTGCTGACCTCGAAGGCAGTCCTCGCATCGCCAAGACGAAGATGGCAAAGCGCCAACAGGTAAGCCGATTCACTCGACTTAGGGTCCTGGGCATTCAGGCGTTCGGCGAAGAATAGGGCGTTATCGTAGGTATGATGGTCGACATGATAGTATATGACCTGACGCAGCAGGCCGGTGATGGCTGCGCTGGTGGGCGCCATTCTCACGGCGTGGTGAAGAGATGCAGGCGGCTCGGTGGAGGGGGTTACCGTCGACAAGAGATTGTGGCCATGGGATCGCGCGCAAGTAGTAAATAGTCGTCGGGTAGGATGGCTGGAAAGTCAATCTGGGTGGCCAGCGTCCCGGGAGGGCGGGCGGCTAGGGTTGGCAAGCGTGGTTGAGCTCTGGCGAGCTTGGATGGTGGTTTCTGTGCAAGCGCAAAAAGTTGCGTCCGTGAATTTCGAGGTTGGGGGTCGCGCGGAGCCTCAGGGCTAGAGGAGCAATAAGGGGACTGCGGTCGAATCGATTCGGCTTATTGAAGGCATTAACAATTAAGAGCCGTAATGAATGGCCGTTGGAGATGAATTGGCGCCGTAAATGCTGAAAACAAGCGACGTTGGTAGCGATGGGTATTGTGGTGTTTCTCTGTTGCTGGTACTGTTGTTACTGGGCCTGTCGAGGCGGAAAGGCCGTTGTGGTGGGTCCCGTGAATTTGTTTGGGTTTCCCTTCTGGGGGGCGTTGCAAGTCGACGTAACAACGAACGGAGAACTCTGTCCAAACTTTTGCGTTGTTCACTCCTCGCAGCAACCAAAGAAGAGACGGCAGGCCATTTGGCTGACTGGGTCGCGTCTTGCAGAAAAAACGTGGCTACGAAGCGCACTGAACGGAACGAGAGGAGGAAGGAAGGAAAAGGTGTTGACAGAGGAAGAGGGGTGGAAGCTGGGAGACCAAAGACCAGAAACTACCTAAGGCAAGCTAGAGTCACTATACCACAAGATGGAGGGGGCAGGCAGGTAGGTGGTGGGCGGAGACAGCGGCAGACGTCCAGCCGTGGGATGGCGGGAGGAGGGAAGACGAGAGCAGAGAGACAAGGGCAAGTCCCGTCGTCGTGAAGGTGTCACCTCAGGTGAGGTCAGTTCAGGTCAGGTCAGGGACCTTGTCTAAGATGGACAATGTCAGGTTGCTATTCCTGTTCCCTCCGTGCCGTGTTGACCTGACGGCAGCGTTTCCCTCTCCTTTCAGTCTCCGTCGCGGGTGGTGTTGTGGTGCGACGGCCCTGATTGGCTCACGCGATACCGCAGCGACCGCTATCACCTCGCCCAGCAACAGGAACAAGCGCCCACTCAGCGGCCTTTCTGCCTGCCAACCCCCTGTCGTCACTCGCCAGCCCCCCCACGGAGTGCCTACCTGAGGTACGGACACCCGACCGGCGTCTTGCGCCAGAGACATTCACCCGCCACCTCTTCCCTTCCAGGCGGTGCACCGTCTTCTCAGCAGTTGGAGATCCACTTGATGCCGTCCGTACCTTACCTAGTGCACTGTCATTGGATCCCACGCCTGAGCCACACTTCACTTTGTGGAATTTCGTCACTCGCATCCTTCAGCCTCAACACCGTTTGCACGCAACCTGTCTTCATCCTCAGGAACGTACCGGTCCTCATTCACATTCGTGCCACCTTGCGCCGGGGCATTGACCAACTCAATTGACCTCAACTGCGTTTCTTGTGCCCTTCGACGGCACTAACCATTCCTCACCTTTCCGAAAAATCGACCCGCAGCAACCTCGACACAACCAACCGTCGACATGGCGCAAAAGGCAAAGAAGGATAGGGCCAAGTCCAACGCCGCCGCCCTGAACAACCTGCACATCGGCTCAGCCATTGTCAATGTCAGCTTTCTTCTGTTCCACTTCTTGATCAAGTCGAGGTCTCTTTTCTGGTTCATTCTCCTCTCTGCCCCCGCCTTGATCTGCGAGTTCGTCCTCGAGAACGCGGGACGTCCCAAGTACGATGCGGGAGGAAGCCTTAAGGCCTCGGGTGAGGACCTGGCAGCCGCCGGCTTGACTGAGTACATGTTTGACGTCGTCTGGGTCACCTGGGCATCTGTTGTTCTCGTCATCCTGTTCGGCAACTGGGGCTGGCTGCTGTGGCTCGCCGTCCCGGCATACGGCGCCTACGCTGGAGTTGGTCTGCTCGGAGCTGGCAAGAGAATGGCCCAAGGTATGCAGGGTGCTGGCAACAACGAAGCTCCTGTGCCCGCCAACCGCAAACAGCGCCGTGCGGCATAACTTGACTGAAAGTCTATTCCAGCAGCTCGACGGCTGATATGGTGTCTATTCATCTCTACCGGGTCTATCCGCTCAGTTCTGTCTATGCCACGGCTGCTCTTCGGCCCACTTCTTGATGACCTCTGCGTCTACATTTCTCACCAAAACATGGATGTGCTCAAGAGCCCGCACACTCTGCAAAGCAACCCAGTTCTTGAACCAGACAACTCTGTCTGCTCCACCATCGCCTAAGCTTTCAACAAAGTACTTTTCGACAAATCTCTGGGTGATGCGCCTGCTCTCTGGCGTCATGTCTCCGGTCACTGCATCAGTAGGGATGATGGTGCGCGACCAGACCACGATATGGGTGATCTCGGGGTCAAGTCCGTACGGCCAGTCGTTGACAAGGACTCGGTAGTCGGACGGATCCTCAAAGGGAACGAGCGACTTGGGGGTGAAAGGCGGCTCGCCCCAGGTCTTTGGCAGGCGGTTCACGAGGAGGTACTTGGTCATGGAACCATACTCGGCCTTGGTCTCGGCCGTCCACTTCATGTATCGACGCAGGTCTGAGGGCTTCCGCTTCAGAACCTCCAGCTTGTTCGTCTCTGTAGACCATTAGACTCTCAAGATACAAAGCCAAAGCGCAAAAAATATGACGCACTAATAATCTCCTTGAGCTCCTCCCAGTCATGCTTCTTGAACTCCTCGTCCGTCTGTGAGAGGACCCACTTATCGACATCCGTCAGCGGGAAAGGGGCTTCTTCGACCGGAACGTCGCCCATGTTGACTGTCGCGGCTCTGAGGGTGCGGTGATTTGGGGAAAAGACCAGACGGCGGGGTTGAGAAGTGCGTCTCACATACAGCCACGGTGATGACTTGACGGAGATGGCAACACGAGGTCGACTAATTGGCGGGAACGGCATCCACCTCACACGGGCGGCGGCCTGCGGAAGATCAGCGGTCCGGTTTCCCCAATCGGCCGCTAAGGTAACTGTTGTTACGTTACACAGGTGCTAGAGAACCATCAACGTGGTGAAGTGAGAGACAAGAACTTCGTCTCAAGTGCGCTATTCTCTGCAAACAATATTTACTACCGTGTACTTAACCTGTGAAGCAGACTGTTTCTCTTAGGCCTTAGTTCACAACTTTTCTCTCATCTAACAGGCTTCTCAGTGATCCAATTTGCACGTATTTTATCCGGAGGCCAGCGCCAGGCACCTCTCAATGGCGCCGTCTTTTAGAAGGGCAGCTGAGATGCAACTAAAGCAGACATGCGTGTGAGAGGAACCAGCAATAACTCCCGCCCTCTATGAGATTTCAAGCCGCCTGAGAAACCAGTTCAATATTTGACATAACCAGGTCTCCTTTTGTTTAGAAGGAAAAATGCATTGGACTTTAAGACCAGGCCGAAAGGATATGCTGTGACCATTGATTCGGCCGGCACCTAGGTGTCATTTTCCACCGTCTTGACCGCCGAGTTACATCGATCCTCCAGCATCCTCACAACCAAATTTTGTCGGCCAGCCACGCGTCAAGAATCAAGCCCAAAACCGAGATATACGTAGCCAGCAATGACTGAGTCCATCCCGCATAACATGAATGACCCGGCCGTCGACTTTTCGGCCAACGTGGCTGCTCCCGCACATCCGTACTACCCCGTCGACGCCCAAATCCTGCACTACACCGCGAACCAAACCTCCATCCCCGTCCTCCTCATCGCCTTCGGCGCCGTTCTTGCTCTGGCCGTTGGAGCGGCTGTCCTGGGCGCCAGGAAAGCCCACCCTGCTCTGTCGAAGGCAGATCTCTTCACCGTCGCTTGGTTTGCACTTTGTGCGTAGTGGCTCTCGGCTGCGGCGCTTACAACAGCTAACACGACGCAGGCGGCTTTCTTCACTGCTTCTTCGAGGGTAGGTAACAACCCAATCTTCCATCGCATCATTTCTGATCAGTATCTCATCCCCTTGCAGGCTACTTCATTCTTTACCATGAGAACCTAGCAAGCCTGCAAACTTTCTTCGGCCAGCTCTGGAAGGAATACGCCCTGTCCGACTCACGCTACCTGACATCCGACTCTTTTATGCTCTGCGTTGAAGGATTCACCGTGGTAAGAAACCCTGTTTCAACCTCTGAGCGAATAGTCAATAACAGGAATTAGGCGGTATGGGGTCCGCTGTGCTGGTCCATCGTGGTCGCCATCGCAAAGAGGAGCACCCTGCGCTACCCGTTGACCATCATCATGTGCGTCGGCCACCTGTACGGCGTCGTGCTCTACTACTCTACCAGCTTGACCGAGTACTTTCTCCACGGCGTATCTCACAGTCGACCCGAGTTCCTTTACTTCTGGGTCTACTACATCGGGTTCAACGGCCCCTGGGTCGTGGTGCCAACGCGTATGCCATCCCTCTCGTTTGTCGATACTGATGGTTAGAGCTAACCTGTCAATAGTCCTTCTTTTCAGCAATGCAATGCATATCAAACGCCAACTAGAGAAGGCGGTTGGCAGTGAAGGCGCCTTTGAAGCAGCTCGGAGTGTGACTCGCGACGTGAAGAAGAACGAGTGAGAGATGGTGGTGCATACGGCGACGGGGTCCTTCGAGTTGACCTTGATGGATACCTTGAATCGGGCCCAACGCCGGGAAATGGGGGTTTTCTGGGAGGTTTTGGGGCTCGTGTCGCGCTGGTTCAAGAATCTGGAGGACCAACAGGCTGAGATCGACAGGCGTGACAGCGAAGTTGACTCTGGACCGTTTCTGTTCGCATCGAGGCGTTGGCTATTCTCTGCACAGAATACGAGTGCGTGCGTCACTTGCTATGTGGTGAATTTCCCTCCCAGTTACTATTCAAACTTACTGAGAGGTCTGCGAGCGAATGGACATGCACAACTTGCCCCAAAAGTAATTCGATGCTGCGAAACCCAATCCGCCTCGCCAAAATTCCAAGTCGGCGACACAAAACGAGCGCGGCGACTCCAACATCCTAGAGCCATTACAGGAATGAGACCAGAGGAGAACAGATAACTCTGAGAATGCTCACTGCCAGACGTACGAGTGTCTGAGATGCCTCCCGTTTGTGATACAACATGCCGCGCATCGTTGTTGGAGTCAGGACTGGTAGAGCCCGTTCGGAAACATACGAAACATACTAAATGCTCAGTTCGCGAGTATCCTATAGCTGTTGAGCGTCATTCACTAGCGGCAACCTGCCCATAGATCATAGCCTCACTTGCACGCACGGCACTCGGAACAGGTACTAAAAACTTTTCATATGGATATCATTCATCTTATTCGGTATCCTATCTCCTCAAGAGGCAAGCTATACCTCTAAAACGCTGCCTCCCCATCGAGTCATGTGTGCCCGAGAGATCATTCCTCGGCTCTTCATTATCAGCAAGTCGTCTATACAACCACAACGCCGCCCAGATGCCTAGATGTATGCCAATGCCCCAATGCACGAGTTGTTGACCAAGTCCCATCATCACCCATCTAGTAGATGCCCTGCGTTCTATACTGGAAGGTGTCGTAGCTGGCGGACGTTAGCAATTGGACGTGTGTCAAGAGTAGAGGAAACCTACAGCCGCGTGTAATAACTGCCGAGAGACTTGCCGATCAAGTCAGTCTCGACAAACTGCTCCGCCTCGTCCGCACTGAGCTGCAATTGGAACCGTTGGCGAAGGTTGTGCGTAGCTTGGGCTACGCCAGCAGAGTAGCAGGGCATCTTCGAGTCACGTCCCATCATGGCCACCAGATCAATGATGTTATCCGCAGACCGCCGCAAGGCTGAAGAGGTTAGCTCTGTTCAAACACTCCTGGTGGGACGTAACTTACCTTGGAAAGCCTGTTTGCAGAGCTTCTTGTAGTCTTCGTAGTCATCAGATCCGATGCCTCCCAGCACCTCAATGTACTCCTGTGTCAGCTTGAAAGGCGCCGCTTCAAAGCCAACGGATCCCGGAGAGTTGGACAACATGAAGCCGAAGTCGATGTGAACGATGTGGCCCTCGCTGTCGATCAGGACATTACCGTTATGTCTGTCCTTCAGCTGCAAGATGTATGATATCATACTGTACGCGGCCAGCGAGCGCTTAAAGGCGTCTACTCCAGCCTTGTACGGTTCGCTATCTGCGGCACCAAACGCTTTGAGAAAGTGATCTCTGAGAGTGGCGAATCGACGTTTTTGGCCCGGGCCCGCCTCCATTGACAGAGTCAGACTTCTCTTGATAGAGTGTAATGAGACGCCGTTGGTAATCGTCTCAATCAAGCCCGACGATTCTCCCGTGACAAGAATGCGCATGAGCTTGACCCAGACATTGACCTTCGCATCGACCCAAATCTTGTGGCAAACGTCGATCAACTGGCACGCGAACGCTTCCTGACGCAGATCGGCCCCCGTCTTCACGATGACGCTAACCAAATCCCAGTTCTTCATCCAGCCATAAGGTGAGGTCTTGCGGACACGCTCCTTCTTGGCCTCCCAGGCTTCACCAAAGACTGCTGCGCTCGGATCGTCACGGTCGCCCTTGGTCTGGATACCACCGGTCTTGATGTCGTTTTCCATTCTCGCCAGTCCAGCACCGGCATTGGCCCCTGGCTCAATAGGTGATTCGCTCTCCACCTCAGGCTCAGCATTTACTTGTGCAACGGCAGCAGCCTGCGCCGCCTGCGCAGTAGAGGCCTTGGCCATGATCGTGTCAAATGTTGGACCCTGCTCATCCATATCGAAGCTCTGCTCCTCCAGACTCTGCATGCTCGCAATGATTTTTGCCCTGATAGCTTGCACCTCATGTCTTGGCCGCTTGCCGCTCGTAGCCTCAAGCTGGGCCAACATTTGTGAGGCTGTGCGCATATGCGTCGCGAGTGCAGAAAAGTCGGGCTGCTCGGCTGCTGGAGCACCACGGCCTGATAGCGTCATCTTGCGGAGAGGGCCTGGGGGACTGCTAGATCTCGAGGTAGAGGCGCCTGAGCTGCGTGGAGTGGTCATGTTGTCGGAAATTGTACTTGACATCGTGGTAGTGCCGCTTGGGAGACGCTGTGGTTGCGCCGGCGAAACCTGTTTGGCTTGGAACTTCGAAGATGGATCTTCATCGAATGGCTTCAGCATAGGAGAGCTTCCCAGGTCGCCGGAAATGGGCTCGAACACACTGTCGATGACGGGCTCCGGAGTTTTAGGCGCGATGGGTATGCGCGGCGAGTCAGACAGGTCGAAGATGCGTCGATTGGTGCCCTGCTCCGTAAGCAAAGTCGACAAAAGCCTCTTGTTGTCTGGCGTCTCTGGATCGAATGAGAAGTCATCCCTTAGCACCTCAACCATAAGTAGATATGGCACCTTCTCCGCACTATTAAGAACTGTTGATTCCCCCGGGTTCAAGCGCACAATTCGATGGTGTCTACTCTTCGCCGGAGAGCCATCAACAAGCGTCGGGGGGCAGATGACTGGAACATCCACCTCGGCCGGAAGATCCTGTGCGATGAGAGCCAGCTCCGCGCGAAGCGCACTGAGGCGGGCAGGCTTCGGCACAATGACTAGCCGGTTCGAAATCCCCTCGAGCGCCGTCAAAAACTGCGTCTCGCACCTGAAGTAGTGTTGTCGCAAAAGCCTCGTCTTCTGTAAAGGTGTCAATTCGGCGCCGGCGGCACTGCTCTTGAAGTGATGAGAATGTCTCCTGTTGAGAGCATCGTTCGGTCGTGGCGGGAGTCCTGCAGACACTGGAGTTGCGGGCCGGGTGATGGCCAACCGTGGAGACCGCAGCTCGGGAAGAGGCAGCGAGGATGAACTAAGTCGGGCGTCCGCGTTCTTCATCTCGAGATGTGACGGTAACCTCTTGACCTCTACTGGAGTCCTCGAGCCCGATGAACCCTGCCGCGACGGCGTTGGCGACGGGTCCGTCGCCCGGTGAGGCAAGTTCGAAATCACAAGATCCGGGGCGCTCGTGATGCGCCCGCCATCTTTCGCACGCTTGGACCTTGTGCTGCTCGCGGCCGTCACCGTCTGGGATCGTGTCACCTTGGGGTTGTTGTCCTGTGTTTGCGAGTTGGATATCAGGTCGTCGGATGGTTGAGGCTTCCTGGCTTGTGCAACGGCGAGGGGTCCCGCCCAATGCGGGACGAGAGGGACCGCGACACTGGCCAAGACGAAGCTTGCAAGAACCGTAACTGGCAGGATGTTTTCCTTAATCTTGTCATGCCGCGCGGCATCTGGGAGACCGAATACGATGTGCTGCACCTTGTTGTACACCCTACGACACGTTTGAAAGGACTTGGATTGAGGATTGGATGATAGGTCGTGTAGGTAGGTTTGGAAGAGCCAGAAGGTCTAGAAAGTGACATTAGACAAGCCATCGAGGCGCAATGGGTTGACAGAGGGTAACTCACAAGGAGGGCGGCAGTCACAGACTCCTCGCACAGGTCCAGGAGGAATTCCTCCAGGGCCATGGACTCATTGTCGACGCTAATTATAAGGTGGCATAGCTGCGGCAAGAAGAATTCAATGTCCTCGTAAGGGAATTGTCGCAGCTTGTTGCAAAGGACATAGTGAATTCCCACATGGTCGGCATACCGGCTGCATCACAAAGGAGTCAGTTTTGAGTGTCCGACGTCATGTGTCAGCGCCAATTGGGGGCGCAACGGACGCTGCGACAACTTGGAGATGGCGGGAGGAGGGGGAAAGAGCTCACGATAGGTAGGAGACGGAGAGAAAAGGGTTCGAGTTGAAGACGTCGGACTCAAGGAATCGCTTGAGCAGGTCCCACGACATTGGTTACGCCACGAAGCGGAAAGAAGGATGCAAGTACAGTGAGGCTCGGTGCCTCATTGATCATGGACATGAACGGTATTCGCAGCGAGAGGGACGGTTTCGCATGGCTCTAGAAGCTCATATGTTTGGGAGGTCGGTTTGCGCAGAGCAGCACGCAGATTTGCAGATGCAGCAAGCAAGACAATGGATCGAGTCGAGTCGGCGGAAGGACAGGTAGGGTAGGTACACGCGGTGAGGTGGCCGGTTGCTCGTCGGTGTATTAAAGGAGTCCAGTTGTAGGTAGCTCCCTCCTCGGCCGTGGATTTGGGGAGGTCGATTTGTCCACTAATGTGAGGGCGTGACTTGGAAGGTGGGAGGAATGCCCCATCAGCCATGCACGACCCGCCGTTGCAAGTGCCTAAATTTTCGGGCTTCAAATTAAGGTACGCCGGGTTACCTCAGCATGAGCATGCTCAGCGCCGGGAACACTGGGGCTCAATCCGCAATTGCTAGGTACCTTACCTTACCTGGCCTGCCCTGCCATGCCTGTAAGGTACCTTGCGGGCTGGGTTAGGACTGAGCACCGGAACTTTAGGGGCCACCTTCACACAAAAAGGGGCCGCAGTCCGTTGGGACCGAGTTCGCTACCTTCTTTACTCCGCAAGCCGTAGGCGCCTGCGGGAGTTGGAGAGGCGAGACACATTTGCCCAGAGACTGAGGCACCGAGCCAGAGAAGCTACCTTACTAACTTGGAACCTCAAGGTGGATGACCCCTGCCGGCGGGGTATCGTCTTATATGCATATGTGACGTAGGTGCATAGGGGGCGGGGCGAGAGAGCTCACCCTGAGAGCTGACGTACTATGTACAGTTGGTAGGTGATTTGAGACAGAGAGGTCCATGGACTTGTGAGAATGAGATGAAATTATCTTGATATAATTACACAAATTTGCGAGCTTGCTTGGCCCCCTATCCCCCATTGATTTCACAGCATGAGGCAAGCAAAGAGACCCCGCCGAGGTGCCGTGCCGCGCCGGGTTGGTGAGAAGTGAGTTTCAGATGGCCCACGGTGTAAGTCAGTCGGTATCAGCAGCACATGCGAGAATCATTTTGAAGCGCAACATAATCTCTTCATTCTAAAAATGTGAATGTGAATGTGAATGCTGTTCAACGACAGGCCCAATGCGCATACAAGGAAGACAAGCCGTCCATGGCATGCAAGTGTGAGGAAGCAGCGCTTAGTTCCTCCGTGCCGTGTACCCTATGCCCCCAAGTGACAAGTTTTCGTTGTGTCACCCAACGCCGATGTAGATGCTAGCCAGTCCAACGCCAGTCCTCATAACCCTTTCATAGTTCTCGTCATTCAAATAATCTCGACCCCGATGCGATGTGCAGAAACAGTTTCTCACGTGGCCTTCTTCTTGCGACCACCTTTGCCCTTCTTCTTCGTCTCAACCTCCATTTCCTCCTCACTCTCTGTGTCAGCCTTGGAGCGGCCACCCCTCTTCTCTTCGTCGCCGACCTTGAGGGCAATATCGGCCAAGAAATCATATTGGCCGTCTCTTTCGATGACTTGCTTCAACATCTGTGCCGTTACACGCTTGGAGTTCTTCTCCTTGGCGATCTCTGCGCTCTTACTGACAACTGCAATCATAAATAGCTCCAGGGCCTTGCCAACGGCGATGGGTGTTTGTTGAGCCACCTTGCCGACTTCCTCATCGGCCTGCATGATGCGCTTTATCCTGGCAGTGGGGAACTTAGTCCGAACTGGAGAGGGCTCGACTGGCGGCGGCGAGGGAGCCGACTGTGTGTTCTTCCTTGGAGGCATGGTGGCAGAACCTGGTGTCTGGGGCAAAGCTTGATTGTCGGAATTTGGGTTGTACGGAATGTCGTAGAGATTGGGCGTTGTGCCGTACTGTTTTTTCTCTACGTATTGGTGGCTCTGGGGTGTTGGTGGTTGATATTGGAGTTGATGCTGATCTTGATATTTGATGGGTTGCTGCCCATATGGGCTTGGTGGGGGTTGCTGCGGAGAAGGCTGCTGCTGCTGTTGCTGTGGTGGTGGCTGCGGCGGCTGGTGGTTGTACTGCGGCGACAGGTACTGCTGGTGCGGTTGGTGGTGGTGCTGGTGGTGCGGGTGGATTTGCTGCACGGGTGGCTGATAAGAGGAATATTCGGACTTGAAAGCCGTAGAGGACGGGTAGTGGGGCTGCTCGTGTTTGATGTGTACAGGAGTAGAAGTCGGCTGGTGAGGTTGGTAGGCGCGCGACGGGGACGAGGAGTATTCATATACCGGCGGCGCAGGTCCTGAAGTTTGCAGTTTGCTCAGGTCCAGGTGCTGCTGCTGGTGCTGCAGATTGTGCTGTGGAGGTGTAGGCGGGGCGGGTGCTGCCGAATAAAAGGAAGAGAGGTCTGGCGACTTGGGAGCGTAGGCAGTGTCGTCCGCCATTTTTATTTTTTTTCCCTCTCCCTCTCCCGGCTAGGTAGGTCCTGCTCTGGCGCTGTTCTGGAAAAATTAGAAGGCCGCTATTTTTTTTTTCGTCCCTCAAAGTGGAGGACGAATGGCAGGGGGGGGACTTGGCTGGGTCGGGTTGGGGTGCAATGGCCAAGGGTGTCCAAGAACCGCCTATGGCAGCGTGGGAGCGGAGACAGGATGATTAAGCGAGGAACAGGGGGGTGGATGATTTCTTGGAGAACAAAAAGCACCTGCTTCCCCTCTCGTTCGGCTTGGGTGGTTTCCTTCAATGACTTGCGTCTCTCAACGCGAGCAATCCCTTGTGTGCGTGGGCGTATGCTCTTCAGTGGTATAAACAACTGACTGGACTGGGATATAGACTGGGACCGGCCAAGGCAATCGTTCCGTGTTTCCCGGAGTCTGATTTAAGCCTGGCTGCCGCGTGCGGTATGTATAGGCACTGAGGCAGTGACAGCTTGTCCCAGCGCTACGTCTGCTGGGATGCGTGAGACGGGATGGTGTCCTTGGGACGCGGGGCTAATGCAGTGTCGCGTTGGTGGTGGCAGTGAACGAGGCAGAAGCAGTAAAGATGCTGTAGGCTCGACTCGCGGATGACATGCAGAACGAGACAGGATGGAGATGCGTGCCTGTGTGCGTGTGGAGGGGAAGATGTCCCAGTGTGAGCTGCGTGCAAGTCAGCCTGAGCCAAGGTGATGGGCAGGGCTGAAGTACACAAGCAAGTCACGACAAGACAGAGAAGAGCGAGGCACGTCTGAGAAGGCCGATAAGCTCCCACATTCTCTGATATACAGACACACGACAAGAGCGCCAGGTTGCTGTTACGACCAGGGCAGACAAGCAGGCAGAAGGAGCCTTCTCGCGACTCAAGTCTCAGTCCTCAAAGTGAGAGGAGCAACCTGATGGAAAGACGTCTCCGGGCCTCGAAGCAGGCAACAACGTGTTTGTGGTAAGGCTGATGGATGCAGACAGTACCAGAAGCTCGAAGCGACGGGAAGTCGTGGCTGAAGAGGGCGTGGCCGAGACAAGAGGTCTGCTTGTGCGACAACACGCACTCTCGACACAGACACAGCTCGTCGATGAAATGGAGAAGTCGCGATTGGGCCCGAGCGCTGAGTCAGGAAAGACTTTGGCGATATGGCAGCTTCGGTACGATAAGGTTTCGGTGTGAGAGGCGAACCAGGATGCAACTGCACTGGGTTCGGGGGTGCTGGGCAGGAGGCGGTGGGCGCGCAGGTCGTGGTGCGGTCAGGCGTGAGGTGCGGGGCAGCGGTATGTTCGGCCGTGATCCAGTGAGGTGTTGTTGGCGGCTGCAAGAGAGACAAGAAGGAAAAGGGGTGATGAAACGTGTGAATGGGCGTGTTATGTCGTCAAGATGGGCCAGTGAGGCCAACGCAGGCGCGGCGTGATGTCTTGCTTGCTTCCCTCTGGCGGACTGGCAGGCAGGCACGAACGGCAGGCGGCAGGAGGCAGTTGCCAGGCAAAATGGCAGCAGGTGCAGTCGCAGGTGCAGTTGCTCTGCGCTGGCTGCTGTCCGCCCGGTGTTTGCGACGGTTGGTTGGACGGAGGCGGAAGGTCAAGGTGACGACGGCCCCGTGATGATGGCAGGTGTGGCCAGCGGGTGTGTGGGCTTTTGGCAGGCGGTGCGGGTGGTGTAAGGCAGCTGGACTGTGGACATGGACCTCGCGGTGGGCAGAAGCGGGCTCCTTTCATAAGGCGATGGATTCGCAGTGGGAATGCCCACCGTTTATATGCACGTCGCGGGTCACAGCTCCCCTTTGCTCCCCTCTGCCTTCTCCAAAAAATCACCCCCAGTTGCAGGGGCCACGCTGTTATCCTGATTGGACCAGGATCCTCGACCTCTTCTCCCGCGCTTTACCGTTTCCCCCTCCAGTGCCAACACTGCCTCCCTCTACCTTACCACCAATACTTCACGCTCAAGTACCTACCTCCATGGCTAGCTTCTCCAGTACCGCCCTCAGGTACTCAAGCTTGCCGTCTAAGCTCCAAACTGTCATCTGCCACCAAATCCTCGTCTCTGTTTTTTTTTTTTTCCGACCGCGATATTTGTCCACGCCTCGCCACCACCTTTTCGTCTTCTGTTATTCTCTTGTCGTTCGTGGCGCAAACCTCACTCATTTTCCAGTACAAACCTCATCCGTCACATTGCCGGTTCGTCAACGGCGCGAGCGTCTCGCCCTCCCCACCGTTGGCCCAGTCTGCATATTGCAGCTTCGCGGATGCACTTGTACCTTGCGGCGCACCCGAAGTAACCTCAAGCAGGCTGAAAGAGGCGGCTGGCTCACTGAGGTAGCCTGGCTGGCTGACCGTCCATGACAACTCAGCTCACGCCTCTCGTTGCCTGCCTCCCAGCCAATATTCGCGCACTCACACACGCGGCCTCAGTAGGCTCTAGAGGGACAGCTCAAATATCGCACGTCGAGATGTCATGTCCAAACGAGTCTGACCTCGCGGCTTCGCACCGGCATCAGCTCCCACTCGCTTTATATCGATGAGACACATCGTCAAACCCCGCGCCGTCCTCTTCAATGCTGCCTGGAGCTGGCACCCTCCCTGCACCTTGGGCTCCTTCGACCCTTTTCGCCGCACACCGTCATCAAGGGCCCCCATCGTCCCAAGTCAAATGGCCTTGCCCGTCGCAAAACGTCGCCTTCATCGAGTCGCTGACTGTCTAGGCCATCCATGACCTCACGCGAGACCCACAACAGCTCCTTACCTTTACCACCTACCCGTCTGAGCTTTGCGACGACCCTCCCGTCGCGAGTCGCACTTGTCTCCGCTCGGGGGCTGGACCTGTGCGCAAGAACTCATCTGCATCTCTCAACGCGTCTCTGCAAACACTGACATGTTTGCTCGCGATCCCTCGGCAGAAATCCCGCCACTACCGCTGCAATCTCCCACTTGGCCAACGGCCTGGTATGCAGGAACGCACTTCAATCATGCAGGTAATCAAACCACGAAATCAATTCTATTGTTTGCGCACCCGCCCCAGCGCCTACCTTCTATTGGTCGTCACGGATGATGATAAAGATAGAGAAATAGCTGGAGACCAACAATAGGACACGACTGCAGAAGCCGAGTCCTCCAGCTCTGGTTTCGAGGTTGTGCGCCTCGGTCCATGACAGTTTTTTACTTGATCTAATCTGACCCCGACCGGCATCCGCCCCCTTGGCAGACGGCTTACTGAATGTGCTTCCGTATGGCTGACGTTAGTGTCCGCAGACCCTTGAGCCTCTTGTCCTCTGTGCTTGACAAGAACAGCGATACTACGGGCCAGGCGTGGATCCCGCCGTCCTCGCTGCGGCTGTCTACCTCGGTACTCTTCACCAATGTGTTGATCAGGTCCTTGATATCCGGCGCAAACACTTCCTCGGATCCGTATGTGATGAAGAAGCCGCATGGCGGGCTAGCTTCCGCCCACACCCGATGATCGCCGCACTGCCCGGGAGACGCCGTTTGGTCGTAGGCATGTGTGTGTCCGGCATACTGTGTCGCGTATTTCCACAGCGTGTCGCGGTCAAGGTAATCGCTGGCCGAGTTTTCGTGTTTGGTTGATATCAGTCGTGCCCATGGCGAAATTAACACGCAGAATCCTGGGAGCGGCGATTCCGAAGCTCGCCGAAGCGACTGCTGGCTTTCGCCCTCCGATGGTGCAGAGTCGTCCCCTTTCTCCTTGAATGCTCTTGCTTCATTCATGTGGCCCAGCTCCAGCAGCAGCGTCAACATCAAAGTCCCTCCTGCCGAGTCCCCTGCAATGACCACTTTCTTCGGGTCTCCCGCAATGGAGAGCACATGCTTATATCCCCTCAAGGTCTCGTACACCTGCGTCGGGTACTTCTCGTCGGGAACGAGCGTGTACTCGAGCGCAAAGATGGCTGGGTTCTGGTAGCCTTGCTGAACCAGCAGCGCGTGCCACGACAGGAGGAATTCGAGGTAGAAGTAGGCAGAACCCATGGCGAATCCGCCGCCATGTGCATAGTAAACGACAACATCGGGTGGTTTGGTAGCGTCCTTGTTGATCCAGACGCCCTGGAATCCATGGCGACCCTGCCATCGAGAACTAAGCCACCGCATCTCACACGTGAAGAAAATGGGGCAAACTAGACTTACATGTTGTTTGTACTCCCGCCAGCTGACGGGTGATCTGATGTACCCATGCCGCAGCATGCGGAACCGTAGGAACGGCAATGAGATGTACTTTGAGAAGAAGACGCGGCCAATGTTGGTGGGCAGGTTCGCAAAGGCGTAGCGCACGCAGCGGATGACGAGGTCTTCGAAGAAGCTCGCCCGCTGCACGAACGGCGACCTCTCGTCCGGGCTCAGCAGGAACCGTTCGCGGAACAGCGAGCTGGGCAGCTCGAACAGCAGGAAGGGCAACGCCTTGATGGCCACCACCGCCGTGGGGAAGAAGCCGACATTGAGCAAGAGCTGGGGCGTCAGGAATATAACAAAGACCAGGCAATCGAGCAGCGACACGGGGCCGAGAATCATGGTGGGCGGATGGGGGAAACTTGGTGTTACTAGGTTGTTGGAGGGCCAATTGAATGTATCACGGACGGATGTGTAAGTTGGACGCGCTGAGGAGGGTCATGGCAAGGAGAATAGTAATGGGACAGGGCAATTGAGGTTCAAGATTAGCTCTATCGGAACTCCCAGTGTTCCTCCCTTCGCCGCCGGCCGGGTGGTTCGTCGTCGCTGCTAAGGTAAGATTGGGAAACTTTAGGTTTGTGACGTCTTCGAGGTTTGCGGAAGCCCGTGCCTGGATCGGTCCCTGCCTGCCCGGGCTGGCTGCAATGGCGGGGTGCTGCCGCCTGCGTGCTGCTACTGCCAGGGGCGCCTATGTAGGTAAGGCGGGAAAGCCAGCCAGCTGCTGGCTATTACCTGCCCTGAGTTTGTTGGGAAGCTCCTGAGGGAATCAGCAGTGACGCGGGGCTTCGTTCACATGCATTCTGTATAGCTCGACCATGCATGCGCATCTCATAGTAGGTACCTTGGATCCTAGCTGAGCTAATCGCTAGTGCTGTACGGATACTTTTTTTCTCCCTTGCTCATCCGAAAGTTGCCAAAACGTGCCCTTTACGGTTCTGGCGAGAAATGATAGCCAAGACCTTGCTGAGTCAAGGTGAAGGGGGCGCTGCGCTGCGAGACAGACAACCCCTTGGCTTCTTCTTCCTGTTTGGCTTGTGAATGTGGAACATACTCGTCAACAACCATAATGCATCATGTCCTTCTCCGAGCTGCGTTATTAAATGTGGTTATTTTGTTTTCTTCTTCGCTCGACTTGTATAATAGTAACAATGACGACCCTGGCGGGCCATACCGCAAAATTGATGAACGAATCCCCTTGAGTCCGACCCATGCCTGATATCCTGAGCTGCAAACGCCGAAATAACTGCTATCGTGCGCCTATCGAAGCCCGGCGCCCCCAAAAAATTGTTGAGACCAAGACGCAATATGATGTTTGCAAAAGAAGAAGAAGTCTTGCGAGCTCTCTTCTCTTTTTCAGACCGCCATCACCCACTCTTTTCTCGGCTGCCAGCGTAAACACCAAGACGCCTCTGTCGCCCGTACTCACACACACACACACACACACACATACAAACCCTGCCGCTCCAGAACTCGCGAAGCCTCCGGACAACCTCACTCCGGGAGTCGCCACGGGATGTTTTTGAACACGCGATTAGCGGGTCGCTCATCTCTTCCTCGTTTTCCAGCAGTCTTTGATTCCCTTGGCCGCCTCAGCTAGGTCCTTCTCCGTGACGCGGTCCTCGATACTCTCCATCACGCTCTTGATCGTGGAGATGTGATTGGCCTCGGCCTTATCATCGCGGAAGCGGATGACCCTCCACCGGTTCTTGTCGTCCTTGTGGCACTCGACGATACGGTTGTTCAGCGGATCCCCAAGGGACTTGAGCGTCTCCCACTCATCCTCGGTGATGTGCACCTCCGAGAAGAACTGATACTGTCCGTCGCCCATGAAGCTCCACAGCTCCGAACGCGGCACACTTTCGTAGTCAATGTACGGCTCCGTAAAGTCGTCAAAGTTCTCGTCCGGGTGGACCGTCGGAAAGTTCAAGCGTAGCCGGCAATCCACCGTGTTCTCTTCAGGCGGCTTCCACTTGAGGATGTGCGGGTCGGTGCCGTGCTTGTAGTCGGATGATACGCACGTGAAGATGAGGCCGTCGTTGCCGTGTCGCAGCTTGGGCAGGATTTCGCGAAACATCATTTCTATGCCGTACGAGAGCTGCATCGACTTCATCTCTACGAGAAACGGCTGGAAGTCCTTCTCCTCCGGGTACTGTTTGAACAAATCTCGATAAGGCTTGTAGATGTTTTCCTGGAAGTACGCCAGGCGCTTATCGAGGGTGCGCGACATGAGGTCCTGGCCGTCGAGAACCAGACAATCGAAGACGAGGAAGCGAGGGGCCTTTTGACCGCCGCCAACGTCGTCCATGACCAGCTCGCCGTCGACGATGGTGCGCGTGTGGTGCTTGCCCACGTCATCTTTGCGCGGGAAGTGGAAGCTGCTGTTCTTGATGAACCAATAGTCGTTTTTGCGGTCGATGAGGTAGTGAATCTCGCGGCCGCTCTCGTCCTCGGTCAGGTACAGCAGGTACCGGATGCCGTCCGACTTCTCGCAGACGTAGTAACTATTCGTCGCGTTGAGTCAGCAAATCTACTCGCGCGTTTTCTCATCTTCTTGGTGTTGTCCGACTCCTCTACGGCAGGCGAGAGGGATGGGCGCGGGCGGGGAAAAGGTGCACTCACTCTTTGTTCCGGAGCTCATCCAGGTGCTTGCGCGCGAAGCTGACGGGCTGTGCGCCGGGGAAGCTCGTTTGATTGCGATGCAGAAGATTTGCAACCTCCCGACGCAGGTCGAAGAGCAGCTGCCCCTCGGCCTTGATGCCGGGTTCTGCGATTGAGGCGATTGGGCCCTCTGGGGGCGGCTGTACGCCGTCCATCTTGTGTGTTGTGTTGCGCAAAGGAGAAAGTACAAACAGGTCCGGCCTAGCCTCGCGACGACGAAAAGTCTCGGAGCTTTATCGGTTTCTTATCGATAAGCGATACCATAGGGAGCTGTGCCGTACCTAGGTAGGGTACCTAAGGTGTGCTGGAGCCTGGAACTCGCGACAGCCCGAACCTGCTAGGAACGTTATGAAAAAGGATATGCCAAGCTGCGCCAAGCCATTTTTAGTGTTTACGAAATGGCTCAACTACTTTCTTTCAAGGTGTCACAGTCACAAGATGAACTCAGTCTGGAACAGCAAGCTGAACTAATCTGATTATTTCATGGACTATTCAATGGCTTTTACGAACGGCAAGCCCTCGTAAACGCCAAATGACCTTCGTCGTTTCGCCAACTGACGAGCGAACCTCAACCAAGCCTGCAGAATCAACGCCTCGTCAAATTATAGGAACAAGCCGGCAGCTTTGAGCTGGAGCTGTTCTGATATCCACGCGCAAATTCATGTCCCGTTACCTCAACTCACACCTAGCTCTCGTCAATCTTGCTGACCTCGGCCTTGGCATCTTCCCAAGTCTCCTTGTTCTTCTTTGCCCATTCGATCTGGCTCTTGGCATACGCCAGCTGTTGTCGTGTTAGCTACGGTAATGTCATAGATACCGCAAAACTTACCATGTAACGGCGCAAATCCTCTTCCTTCTCTCCCTGGAATCTTTTGAGATCCTTCAAGATGCTGGCGCTGGCCTCCTTGACGTCATGTTCAGATACCACTTTGGCCTGCTCCAGCTGCTCGATGCTCTCTCTGGTCTTTCCGATCATGTCGCGGCGCGTCCTCTCAGGGTCGACGTCTGCCACTCCTTGAATCGCATGGCGAATCGGTCCGAAAATCTTGTTCGTGATAGAGTTGCTGCTCGCGGCCTTCTTATGACCTGGCGTTGAGTTGCTTCTCTGCGGTACTCCCTGGCTTGCTGATGGCGCCGGCTCACCGTGGGTGGGAGGAAAGTCGGAGTCGATGGATGCCGTATCTTCGGCGCTACCCTCACGTTGATGGTTCGACGTTCCCGCCTCTCTAAGGCTCGTTGATCGCTTCGGCGGGGGTGTAATCTGTTGACTGCTACTCAAGTACTGCTCAATGCGTTTGGCTTCTTGCTCGCTCCGCTCCAGCTGATCAAGCAGCGCAATCTTCTTGTTGAGTTCATCGCTCGTCTGCTCTTGCTGCACGCGCTTCAGAACTCTGTACTTGAGTACGCTGCGGACAACGCCCGCAAATTGCGCATTCTCGCGCATAGGCTCCGCAAAGCTTGCACCGAGCGATCCGGACAGTTCTTCCGTTGCAATGTATGACGAGTCGGCGGCCTGTCCCACCCTCTCAAGCGCAGGTCCCAATGACGGTGCCTGTTCCGACAGCGCAAAAGCGTTGAACTTGGAACCCAGTTCGCAGAGATCGGCAGCAAGGGCTGACAGATGGCTGAGTGTCCGACGGTTGACCTTTTCCATAGATCCAGACAAAAGTTGCTCCAGTTCCTTAATCGAGGCTTCATACGTGATGAAGTACGGGTCGAGTTCCTGTTCGCTAAGGTTATGGCTGTCGGGGGGGAATCGGCCAAATACATGAGAGCCTGTTCCGGCAATGGCGTTGGGATCGACACCTGGGCCTCCCGTTGTTCTCAACTTCGCGGAGCTGGCTGGTACGGGAAGGAAGGCATGGGCGGGTGTAGGATTCGCTGGATCCAGAGGGGGCGCCTTCAGGACGGACTTGGGGACTGAGGCTACGGGGTGAGAGTGCAGGACCTCACTCTGAAGAAAAATCAGCCACAATAATACTATCGCAACGATGACATGGACTCACCCAGCTAGCATTGGGGTCAAGAAATCTCCACCACACCCCATCGACTCGGACTTCTTCCATGCGCCGGCAGCGGTTCAGAAACACAGCGAGCATGCGCTTGCGCAAGTCAATAATCTGCTGGTCTTGCTTCGCGTTCGTGGGGTTCGCGGCGTAGTCGGCCATTGTGTGCTTCTCGGGAATGGGGGGTATGATCAGGGTGGGGTGCAGACGGGTAAGCGCTTCTCGCAGCGAAGCGAACTCTGAGTATCGTCGGCGGACCTCGAGGTTCTAGTTTCTTGTCAGCACACAGCCCCGTATGAACTATTCAACCAACTTGCCCCGGTGCGAATGGTGTAGACAATGTATCTACCACCACTCTCTGCGCTCTTTCCTGCATCCGTAATGAGGATGGGCATCGACGGGTTCTCGTAGAGAATCTGCTCGACGCGACTCTCGTAGCCACCGGGCTTTGGGCGAGGGACGATATCGCCCCTGTCTCTAGCAATAGGCTCATTGTCACTGCTCTCAACCTCGCTCTCGTCGTGGCCGAGGCCGCGATTCTGGGGAGCCTCGTCGCTTGTAGTGGACGGGGTCTGAGGGATGTCGAATCGCTGGTCTAGAGTCTCCCAGTCGGCATCAGCACTGTCTGAGGAATCATCCAGATCTATGGTTTCCATCATCTTGAGAATCTTGCTGGTCGCCTGGTGTTGTATTGGGGGGATGGTCGCAACATACACTCACGAGAGGTAGGAGAGGCCGGGTTGGCCGAGGAGGAAGTCAGGCTGTCCCGCCTGTCGAAGCTGGTCCCATAGGGGTTGTTATCCTCGTCGTTCCACATGATGCTAGCCGTGACTGAAGACAACAGCAAACAAAGCTATAGGCTGTGATTCAATCGTGCGAAAGGGTTTGCGGTCTCAGTTAGGCTGCGCGCCGGGGGATGCGCAGCTGAGCCGGGTGTAGGGGGGGAGGGGTGTGGAGGCAGTCGTTAGCATGCGACAATCAGCGATCGGGTGATTGTGAGTATCGGAGTCGAGAAAAAAATATCCCAGTAGCTCAGTGATAGAACCCAAGTCCCAGGGAAGACTGTGGATGCGGTCGAAGTGCGGACAAGAGGTCGGTCGGGCGTGGGGGAAAGAGGTTGATCAGTGGTGAGGTTCGTGTGGTGGTTGGACTAAGGTAAGCTCCAGGGTGCAGCAGGTGCAAGTGCCATTCCGGCCGGAGACCCAGGCAATGACGAAGCCACCTCCGGGGCCTGCTTTGGCCTTACCTACCTTACGCACCCGGACTGGGTGGTACCTTCCATTCCCCAGTACCTCAGCAGGTACCTACCTGTTTGTACCTCACCTCACCTTACTCCACTCACCAGCTCCAGTTCACCTTCTCAGCCAATGGATGCCCCCAAATGTGCCTTACCTCACCACTTTGTCCTGCTGGCGCACAGGCCAGAGTGACACAACTACCTGACTTACCCCTGCTTTAGCAACCCGCAGTGCCGCTGTTTTGTTCTGGAATATGCACATCTCGGCACATCTCTGAATTATGAATGCACACATGCAACTGTCAAGGGGAATCTTTGTTTGTATTGGCTTGGTTGAACACACCCCTGCGGTTCATCTGCCGCCGTAACCTGACTCCATCATCTGAGCATCCTGTGGACCTGTCAAGCAACCCTCAGACTCCTGAGACCACTCCATCCATCATTAAAAATCCATGCCAAAATGGATTCGTACCAAAAACATGTTTCTGCCATGTCTCTTGCTTCCCATGGCTAGTCATCTCAGAACGACGTCGTGTTCGTTTCAGCAATTTCACCCAACTTTGTCTATGCTACACGGCGAAGCTGGTCCGGTGCGTATCGACCGCCGCCTTGATGAACTGGCCTTGGCGGAGAAGGCGGCGGCGAGTCGGTGTCGAATTCCTCAGCGCTATCCGATTCATCATGATACGGCGTGCTGCATTCAATTGTAAGTTTGGGAGCAACCTCTAATGCTTAAGTCAATCATACCTGTACTCCTGTATCTTCGGAGGGTCTCGCTGAGGAGTGACTTGGTTGTCGCGAGTTCCCTGTATGGGGTAACTGAGATCACCCGTCGAGAGCCGGCCAACCATTTCAACTGTGCGAAGCGTCACCTCCATCGGATCCTTTCGAGCTTTCTTGGGTGATCCATCCCTGTCGATCTCCGTCTTGCGTTTGACGACTTTGTGATTTACATTCTGTCTGGTGGTTGTGTCAGCCTTCCCATCAATTCTGATAGATGAGCTCTCGTAATCTGGGCTTTTGGACTGCCCGCCTTCCACAGCCATTGAAGATGTCGCAGGTCGATTGTGTGAAGGTATGTCGTCAACTCTAGGGAATTATCAGCAGATAGTAAGGGGTTGAAGGTCAAGGCACCAACTTGGGGCTTCCTAGAGCACCCGTCATACGCGGAGAGGTCTCTAACTTGGATCTCGGGATGGCTGTGACCCGCGTTTTGAGAGCACTTTCTCTAATTAGCTTTGCTATCTTCGCCTCCGTGAGGTTCTTTTCATACCTTCTCATTGGCTTGATCTTAAGAGGGCTGTGACGAGGCTCATCTCTGTGGTGGCTTTGACCGGCAGGGATGTCTTGTTCAACGTCAAGCTTCGCCTTCTCTTTTCCCTTCTTTCGATTCCTCGTTTCCTCAGTTGTCGTGTGCACCTTCAATGAGGTCTTGGACTCGATTGAGTCCTTCTTGATTGTTGCGGTCTGCTTCTTTCCTGGTTTGCGCGATGGGCCGTCGGGTCGCTCGGCGGACAAGACGTAGTCGTCGCTGGCAACAGTAGCTCCGCAGGGAGAGGCAACGTTCTGTGTGCTGCGACTGGCTTCGGGCTTTTTACGTGTTTCTGGTGAGGGGGGAGTGGTGACGGACGTCATTGACAATCTCGATTGATGGCTGTCCCTTGTAGACACCGCATGGAGAGAATTGGAGTCTGAGCTCGCAATGGTTGAGGCTCTGCCTACCGGGGTGCTGAAGATTCCGAATAGCCTGCGGGCGAGTGACGGCCGTCCACCTGACGCCTCTTGTGGACGCGAGTCACCTCGAGGATGTGTCCATGGTTGGTTTGACCACATGTTCTGAGAAGGCGGCTGCGGTACTTGTTGTCCTTGACGGCTGTTTTGGGCGACAGGAGCCGCATAAGTTCTCTGAGGCGGGAACGGGTGTTGATAGCCGCCTTGAATAGACACGCCATGGTTTAGATATGGCTGGTAGACCAATGGGTACATAGGTTGAGGCGGAGGTATCGGCGCCGGGATCGGCATCGGCGTCGGTACATAAACCGGAACGGGCGGTGGAGGGGGTGGGGGAATATGAAAGAAGGTCGGGGGAGTGATCATAATTGGCGGTGGCTGTTGTATAACAGAAAGTCCGTTATGTCTGAACGGAATCGATGGCTGAGTAACGATGGAGCTGGCCCGGCTATCAACTTTGCGCCGACGGCGGCGTGCCTTGCGGACGAGAACGAAATCTTGATCTGTCCATTCCTTCTTCTTTTTCTTCGACTTGAGGAAGAACCATAGAGAGAATGCAAACACAGCAAAGACCACGGCGATGCAGACGATAATTCCGGCCTGTTGAGCCTCTGTAAGACATCCCCATCCAAAGCAGGTGGTGTCTGAATCTGGCGATGTGGGAGGCAGTGGCCCGGTCGGCTCCTCGGCTTGCCGTGCGAAAATTCGACTCGAATCTTCAAAATGTGATCTGAGGACCCAAGAGTTGAGTCTCGCCCCGGATGAAGAGATGGCTGGCATGATGGAGTCTTCACAGCTCAAGTAGGATCGGTGATGAGGGTGGAGGCGTTCTGATTTGAGATGAGGAGGAGTGGGAGAAGACTGCGTATGGCTTGAAGTGGGATATCAGAGAGACGGTCGAGAGACGGTCGAGAGACGGTCCAGACCTCAACTAGGAGCAATGTTTGGGGGAAGGAGGTGTTAGTCGTTCTTTACTGCTCTCTTCCAATTTCAAACACATTCATTTCACTATTGAAAAAAAGTTTTCCGCAGCCTCCGTGTGAATTGAACTATGAACCGAAGTTGGATCAAAATCTCACTAGTGATTCCATCAAACTCAAGCTTCACCTTCATATTTTTCTTCGTGATTCATGCTGGAAGGGAAAGAACGACCAAGTGTATGGTAGTTGTAGGTGCGTGTAAGTGAGCTAGCTAGGTCCTCGGTACCTGAGACGCAGGGCAATAGTCTGGTCTTCAAAAGTACTGTCTACTTCAAATACATCAGCCAATCAAAGCATACATTGGCAGCAGCTCGGTGAATGCAGGAGAGCCCCACTAGTGTCTTTACAGACCCACCTGTGCAAGGCCAACGCGACTGAGTGATCCTTTCCTCAGCCTCATCCCAGCTCCCCCGAATTTCTTAATTACTGCTTTCTCGTCAACCCATCCCATCGCCATATCCATCCGAGGCATGTCATAGCCTCTCATCCGCCACAATGTCAGCCCACCGGAACGGCGCGATGAACGGTGCCAATGGCACAACGAGTGCGCCAGTCAGCAAACGGTTCTCTGACATCCCGGCTGCCATCGACGTTCCTGTTCAGGGCGAAGCCGAAGATGAGGCCGTCGAAATCGATCTCCTCGAGCTATTCGACGACCCGACCGAACTTTGCACCCTCTTCGAAAATGAGCGCGCCGCTCGTACCTACTGGATGACCGTTTCGCTGGCCTACGCCAAGCAGAAGAAGATCGACCATGCCATCGAAATGCTGGTTCGTGGTGGAAACGCGATGCGCGACAACGGCCCCAAGGAGAAGCTTAGCATGGTCTCTTGCCTCTGCTGGATGTACTTGTGGAAGAGCCGCGAGGCGCCGCGCCTGCCCCCCGATGGCGAGCTAGCCTCCGAGGCAAAGACGAAAGAATACTACCTGCAGCTGGCGACTTCGACACTCAACGATGCATCGCGCATCAACCCCGCGTTCCCTCCTCTGTTCCTCGCCCGTGGTGTTCTCCAGTTGCTCAAGGCATCGCTGCAGACGCCGAAGACGGCTGGGCACGGCCAAGTTGATTCCGAGAGGGCAGACCTTCTGCGATCGGCACTGAAAGCTTTCGAAGACGCGATTCGAGTTTCCGGAGGCAAGAATATGTTGGCGATGATGGGCAAAGCGCGCACTTTCTTCTCGCTTGGAAAATATCCCGAGTCCTTGGCATGCTACCAAGATGTTCTGCAGAAGATGCCGGACTTTGTCGACCCCGATCCGAGAATCGGCATTGGATGCTGCTTCTGGCAGCTTGGCTTCAAGGATGACGCGAAGCTAGCGTGGGAGCGATCTCTCGAGATCAACCCCGATCACAAGGTCGGCAACATCCTTCTCGGTCTCTACTACCTCGACGCCAGTGGCCATATTCCCACCAACAGTCCCGATTTTCTTCGTCTCTACAAGAAGGCCATGACCGAATACACACAAAAGTCCTTCAAGCTCGACAAGAACATGCCCCTCACATGCGCCACCTTCGCTGGTTACTTCCTGTCCCGCAAACAGCTGCCTACAGTCGACTCTCTCGCGCACAAGGCGATTCAATACACGGATGTCAACGCCATTGCTAGCGACGGCTGGTACCTGCTGGCACGAAAGGAACACTACACGGGCGACCCGGACCGCGCAAGTGACTTCTATCGCCGGGCCGACGACGCTCGTGGAGGTTCTGAGCGTGGATACTTGCCGGCCAAGTTTGGTGCTGCTCAGCTTGCCGTGTTGAGAGGCGATTTGGGCGAGGCAAAGTTGCGTTTGGAGAAGATAATTCAGCAGTCCAAGAGTCACGAGGCCATGATATTGCTGGGAACTCTGTATGCCGAAGAGGTCTTTGCCAACCAGGACGCCGATGGCAAGGAAGACAAATTGGCTGAGATGAAGAAGGCAATTGGTCTGCTTGAAGGAGTTCGCGGTGCCTGGAAGGATTCCAAGAAGAGCATGTCTCCCGATGCCGCGGTTCTCCTCAATCTCGCTCGCCTTTATGAGACCGAGTACCCGGACAAGGCTCAGCAGTGTCTTCTCCAAGTCGAGCAACTTGAGCTCGAGCAGGTTCCTGAGGAGGAGCAACCGAAGGATATCGAAGATGAAGCTGAGAAGCGCGCTGCTCTGCGCAAGTTCTTGCCGCCACAACTTCTCAACAACATCGGGTGCTTCTACTCCCAGGCGGAGAGGCATGAGCAAGCAAGTGAAATGTTTGAGGCTGCCCTGGGCGCTTGTATGAAGATCGGCGAAAAGGATTCAGAGATAGACACTGATGCTCTCGTCACTACGATCAGCTTCAACCTCGGCCGCAGCTACGAGTCTCGTGGTCTTCTCGACGAGGCCATTGAGGTCTACGACGGCTTGCTCAAGCGCCATGATGATTACACCGACGCTCGCACACGACTGGCATATATCAAGCTCAGGAAAAACCCTAACAAGGAAGGCCCGGATGCCGTCGCGAAGCTGTACCAAGAAAACCCGCAAGACCTCGAGGTTCGCGCTCTGTATGGCTGGTACATGGGTAAAGTTCACTCGCGCAAGCGGCCGCACAACATCAACGAGGACCACGAGTTCCGCCACTACAAGCACACTCTGCAGAACTATGATAAGCACGACCGATACGCTCTGGTCGGTATGGGTAACCTGTACTTGATCCAGGCGCGAGAGATGCGCCGCGAATCGGACAGTGACAGAGCCAAGCGGAGCGCAACTTACAGCAAGGCGGTTGAGTTCTTCGAGAAGGCCCTCTCTCTGGATCCCAGGAACGCCTACGCAGCACAAGGTATCGCCATTGCGTTGGTGGAGGACAAGAAGGACTACAAGACGGCTCTTGGCATCTTCGTCAAGATCAGGGACACCATCAAGGATGCCCATGTCTACGTCAACTTGGGCCACATCTACGCTGAGCTGAGGCAATGGACCAAGGCTATTGAGAACTACGAGACGGCGCTGTCAAAGGAGGGCAAGTCCAACGACCCCGTCATTCTTGCTTGCCTAGGCCGCACTTGGCTCAATAAGGGCCGTTCTGAGCGCGACCTGGATGCTTACCGACAGTCCCTCGAGTATGCCAAGAAGGTAATATACCCCCGTCTAAGCTCTGCTGACTACGATGCTAATTCTGTGACATTTAGGCTCTTGAAGCTGCTCCGGATCAAGTCCACTACAAGTTCAATGTTGCGTTTGTGCAGATCCAGATGGCGACAATGGTTTATGCGCTGAGTGAGAACCAGCGCACGGTGGCGCAACTTCAGGACGCCGCCGCCGGGCTCGAGGCTGCCATCTCAGCACTGGACGAGATTGCTGGCCACCCCCAGACCCCCTACCCCAAGCATGACGTCGAACAGCGTGCCAACATGGCTCGCAACACGCAACGCAAACAACTCGAGAGAGCCATCGCCAGCCAGAAGGAGTATGAGGAGAAGAACAAGGAGAAGCTACAAGCCGCACTGGAGCAACGTCAAGCGGAGCTTCGCCGGCGCGAAGAGGAGCGCCAGAAAGCTCTGGAGAAGGAGCGAGAAAAGCAAGAGAAGATCAAGAGGGAAAGAGAGGAGATTGCTGCAAGGGACAGAGAGATTGCCGAGCGCCGCGCCGAAGAGGACAAGGCTCGTCAGGAGGCTGAGATGACCACAGACGAGGAAACGGGCGAGAAGGTGAAGCGGAAGAAGAAGCCGGCGCCGAGAGGCGATGGTGAAAGTCGTCCAAAGAGGGGGTCTCGCAAGAAGAGGGCGGAAACCGATGGCGACGAATCTGGAGAGGAACGTCCCACGAAAAAGAAGCGCCGTCTCACAAAGAAGGAATCCGTCAACAACACCAAGTACAAGTCCGCCGAAATCGTCGTGGACAGCGACGACGACGACGACGATGAGGATCCCCTCGAGCGCGCAGAAAGGGCTCTTGAGAAGGCTGGCTCTCCGTTATCCGACGCTGGAGACAAGAATGGCGACGAGGATGACCGGATGGATGTGGACAACAAGAACGACGATGAAGACGACGATGAGGATGCTGGTGTCAGCAGGCGGCAGCAGGCTTCACGGTCGAGAAGAGGCAGAGTCATTGACAGTGACGAGGAAGACGAAGATGAGGGTCCAACCAAGAACGGTGCCGACGCCCACTCTGACGACGAGGCACGTCCAGCAGCAGACACCAGCATGGCAGACGACGACGACGAGTAGAGGCAGGTAATGGCTCAGAGACTGGATTTGGGTACATCAGAGGTGGGCAGACGGAATCGCAAGTACAGCCATCAGGTGGCCGGAATTTTATAAAAGCGTCTGCGTCTATTTCGGCGGAGTGTAGTATAGGTATGATAGGATGGGAATTACATAAAATGGGACAATGAATTACCGACACGAGAAACCGAGCAGTTTCGGGGGATCTGCCGACGGATGTGCATGCGAACTTTCACGGGCCGGCGCCGGGGCCTTGCCTCGTTGTTGAACTGAGTCGCGAGGGGAGGCTTCGTAGAGCGAGCAGACGGACTAGACTGACTGGTGTGCTTTGGTGACTGCACAGTAAAAGCTGACTACAACGGCGGCATTTCCCCCGCGGGGGTTCGCCCAAGCGCCAGCAAGACCGAACCCGACTTCATCGATGAACCCCGCGCTCCGGATCGTTGGAATATGTCGGAGCGGGTTTAAGCGGGAAATTCAAGCGGCAAAATCAAGCGACATTGGCGTGGCAGCGTGGTCGGTAAGTAGCGTGGCAGCATGCCTGCCGGTGGGGTTCCAACAAGGTTTCCGAGCACCTCGAAGCTTTCGTGATACGCCATGCACGTATCCTTCCTCTATTGGAGTCGAGCGAGCAAGTGCAGATGCACGAGACGTCGACCGTCGCAACGCCAGACGACGAGCAGGACGTTAGAGTCGAGTCGAGTCTGGTCATGAGCACTATCTGACTGGACTGGCGCAAGTCGTCGGAGAAACTCCGCAAGAGCGGAGCTGGTGATGGACGTCAACGAGGGGGTATCGTGGACGAACCAGAGGTTTGGTTCTCCATGTTCCCGTCCCCCAGCATCAGCATGCTTGCTACCCCTCGCTCGGCGCGGGGAGTGGATCGATATCACGGGGCGTCAGTTGCCGCTACTGCTCAGAGGGGCAAGCCCAAGCACTTTCTGGTTTGCTCGGCTCAAGGTCCGCCGCATGTTTAGACGTCACGCCTGGTTTTGAGACAGGTTGATGGAGGCGTTCGCACTCAGTCTGCTGCAGTCTGCGGTTGGTGTGTGTAGTTGCAATTCAGCGAGAGTTTGCCCGCCCATCACCGGCGCGTCTCTGCCCATTGGTGGTTGTCGTCGTTCCAGCGAGAATTGATCTCGGGACAGCCAATTGCCATCCATTTGGCCGTCCCTCCTCCCCCGCGGGCCCTGACAGGCTTCTTATCACACCTTGGGTAGGTTCCATGCTTGTTGATGGGCGCTGCAGCTGCTGCCCTTGCCCTGCGGTGGGCAGCACACCGCACCAAGCACCGTCCACCCGGCGCCACCACCCACCTCCATACCTTGCACTACCGCAGTACACTACACAACCACGCAGCGTGCGTTCCTTTAGCCCAGTGAGGCGATTGCCGCGTCCGGCGCTTGCATGCACCAGCCTGCGATCGAGTGGACGATCATCCCGCTCCGAGCCCACTTACGACGTTTCGTGTCCCGCTCTCCAGTGTGTGTGCGTGGTGTCTTGCAGAACCGGGGGAGCTTTGGGGGCTAATTATTTAGATTGGCGCGGCCGGTATGGGGAACTTCACCTATTTAAGACCACCAAGCTCCAGGACATAGCTCCTCGCATGCTCTTTCTCCCCCCAGTCCCCGTTCTGATAGCTAGAATTCTGTCGTCGTTAGCTGCCGCGTCGTATTCTGTCATCTTTTCCCCGTCTTATACCTCAATCGATTCGCATCAGCAGCAGCAGCAGCTTGATTGTTCGAAATGGGCTCGGTCACAACCGGCAAGGCCGATAGGGCCTGGTGGAAGGATGCCGTCATCTATCAGATCTACCCGGCCAGCTTCAAGGACGCCAACGGAGACGGACTGGGAGACGTCCCGGGAATCATCAGCAAGGTTGACTATCTGAAGGACCTAGGTGTCGATGTGGTGTGGGTATCGCCCATGTACGCCAGTCCGCAGGTCGATATGGGCTACGATATCTCCGATTACCAAGACGTCCACCGACCATATGGCACTGTTCGCGACATGGAGGTCTTGATCGAGGAGTGCCATAAGAGGGGGATGAAGCTGATTCTGGATCTGGTGGTCAACCATACTTCTGACGAGCATGCGTGGTTCAAAGAGTCCCGGTCGTCGAAAGATAATCCCAAGCGGGACTGGTATATCTGGCGACCTCCTCGCTATGCCGAGGATGGCACGCGGCTGCCCCCAACTAATTGGCGAAGCCACTTCAGCGGCAGCACCTGGGAGTGGGATGAGGGAACGGGCGAGTACTACCTCCATCTCTTCGCCAAAGAGCAGCCCGACCTGAACTGGGAGAATCCCGAGACCCGCGAAGCCATCTATGAAAACGCCATGCGCTTCTGGCTGGACAAAGGCGTCGACGGCTTCCGCATCGACACGGTCAACATGTACAGCAAGGGTGTCGAGTACAGAGACGCCCCCATCATCAACAAGAACGCCTTTGAGCAGCCGGCCTTCATGATCTACTGCAACGGCCCCAGGATACACGAGTTCCTGCGCGAGATGAACAACAAGGTGCTCAACCACTACGACACCGTCACCGTCGGCGAGCTCCCGCACACCCCGGACCCGCAGCACGTCCTCAGATACGTCAGCGCCGGCGACAGGCAGCTCGACATGGTCTTCCAGTTCGACATTGTCGACGTCGGCCAGGGCAAGAGCTACAAGTACCAGGGCGTCGACTGGAAGCTGCCGGAGATGAAGAACATCGTCGCCAAGTGGCAGCAGTTCATCGAGGGCACCGACGGTTGGACGACGGCCTTCTGCGAGAACCATGACCAGGGCCGCTCCGTGTCGCGGTTCGCGAGCGACGCGCCCGAGTGGAGGGAGCTGTCGGCCAAGATGCTGGCGCTGATGATGTGCTCGATGACGGGCACCCTGTTCGTGTATCAGGGGCAGGAGATCGGCATGATCAACGTGCCGCGCGACTGGCCGATTGAGGACTACAAGGACATTGAGAGCCAGAACTACTACAACGACATCAAGCGGGAGCACGGCGAGGGCAGCAAGTTCTTGGAGTATGTCATGGACAGCATCAATAAGATGGGCCGCGACAATGCGCGCATCCCGATGCAGTGGGACGACTCGCCGTACGCGGGCTTCACGGACAACACGGATGGCGCGTGGATGCGGGTCCACGAGCTGTACCCCGAGATCAACGTCGCGAAGCAGGAGAAGGAGCCCGGCTCCGTGCTGAACTTCTGGAGGGCGATGTTGAAGCTACGCAAGGAGGAGGGAGACCTGCTTACACATGGTGCGTTTGAGTTGTTTGATGAGGAGAACGAAAAGACTTTCGTGTATAAGAAGACAAGAGATGGAAGGGCTGCTGTCGTGGCGTTGAACTTTACCAGCGAAGAGCAAGAGGTCAAGATCCCTGGAGAGGATTTGAAGATCAGAGTCGGAAACTATGACGATGTAAAAGATAGAGTTGCTGCCGAAGGAGACAAGAGGGTGTTGAGGCCATGGGAGGCAAGGTTGTATTTGCAGGGTTGAGAGTATCGTCAGACTACATACAGTATAGTATAGTATGCAGTGAGGGATCAGCAAACTCTGGATTATAACGACTCAAGATTTGGCAAATCAAGCGAAGCATTCTCATTCAGAAACGATGAAGAAGGAGGTAAAGCCGAAAATTGATTGCAAACTGAAATTATAATGACTATCAACTCACTCAGGAAGACCTCTGACCTCATTGTTTAAGGCTCATGTGGAATCGAAGCATTGTGCATTGTAAAGATGTCAGAATTGTATTCATACAAGACTGGGTTGGTCTTCGGTACAGAAACACGCGACTATGAAAAGTAAACAAATTTACATGGTATACATGAATTGGGTAGGTGGTTAAGTGTACTAGATATGAGGCTGGACACAAAAGCGAAAGACATGTGCTAGCTTCATATTATCGAACGAATGTTGTTGCAGATCACTTCGGATCCAATTAACACAAACAATCCCGCACAGGCTTGATGGACAGATCGTCATGATCAACGGACTCTGTTAACGCATCTTTTTGGCGGGGAGCCAGGCCAATCGTACTGAACTCCAAGGAAGATGGGGTTTGAGGTTTATGTTGCCATCAGTTGAAGTGGTAATGGTACAGGAGGCGGCTTCAATTTAGTTTAAGTACATTTTCAAGTCGTTTGAATCGAAGGAAGTCAAAATAGCTTGAAACTGCCTACGCCTAGCCTCAGGCAGACGAATACACCGTAAGAGCCTACAACATATAATAGCAAGTATTGTAGCGCATGTTTGCGAAGCCATGCAAACACCAACACAATCTTGTTTGGAATAAACGTTGATTTGAGGATGTGCTCATGACGTGGCCAAAACACCGGCACAATGTCATCGCAGCGCAGAGACTCAGAACGTAGAGAATAAGCACCCTTCTTGTCTCCAAGGCTCAGCTGAAGACCTTATTGGAAAGCCCAGCGTTAAACGAGCTCATGTGGAAGATGAAATTCGTCTGATGGGGGGAGGAAAAGGTTGCGGATTTTGAGCCTCTTCTCCGTAGTCGCTTAACGTAACCAGCCCCTACATCCAGGTATGAGATCAACAAGTGCACCTACCGAAGCCAGGGGTTCATTTCCAGTCGTGCAGCACCAATCTCTTATTGGGCTGATCATGTCGCCTGGGCACACCATTTGCATCCCACCACACTACTGTATACCTACGTAGTACTGCGTATGTAAATACGGGCCTCATCTAGCTCTGAGGTAAACGTCTAATCACGGTAAGGAGCTGCACCTGAGGTACCAGTCTGTGTGCCTGCCTCTACTCTGACCACCTTTGCCCATCTAGTATGAAGCTCCTCAGTCTTGCGCCCACGTATATTACCAAGAGAAGCGTGTTCACGCGTTGTAATTTTGACTTTCGCATGTCAAAATAAATCATTAAAGAACTGAGTGTTGTTTCAACTTGAAGAAACCCACAAGCAGCAAGCTAGGCCCGACGCAACATTCCCAATTCCAAGCCCACCATCAAAGTCTAATTCCACTTACATACAATGGGCAGCTCTCGTCCCACCACTTCGCCTTTCAAGTGTCCTCAACCCAGCTGTCAGTCAACCACCTACAGCACAAGATCCAACCTTGCTAGACACATGAGATCGAAGCATGGTCCAAAAGCTCGGATGGCCTGTGGAGAAGAGCGCGCGAACCACACGTCCAACAAGAAACGACATGAACGCAATTGCAAAAAATGCAAGATCATTGCGACGCAGCAGGGCAACATGACCTCTACTTCTGGACACGACCATGAATCGCCTTCGGACTTAGAAGCAACCTCAGTCTCGGACTCTGCTTCAATCACTTACAATAATGAGCTGGACAAAGAGCTCTTGAATCTGCTGCTCTGGACTGATGAGACCTTTAGCTACGCCTTCTATTGAAGAAGTTCGTATCGGTAATTCGCAATAGGCACACGGTTACTAACATATTCGATAGATCAGATCAATAAAGAGGTATTTCCGACCGAGTCAAGAGTTTGGGGTGGGGGAAGGAGGGGGAGGGGGGTTTTCAGTTTACGTTGGGCTTGCGTGATGGGGGAATGTGGCGACGAAGTTTAGGATGAAGACAGTGATCTCGGTGACATTTGTGTGGGACGTGGAGTTCATGCAGGCTTGATGACGTGGCGCAAATTCATTTCAATTGTCATTGGTTACCTTAGGCCACAGCATTGATACAAAATATGCCACAACTTGGGATTATTGAGACGAATGCTAGGATCTCACCGTCAAAAAAAGATCAAACTGGGATCGCTCCCTGTGGATCACGGAGCTCGCACCGACCCGGCGTCAAGTGGACCCCCCATTTATCGGCACGGTGTCCCGTTCAAGTGGGGTCAGCGGAGTTCGTCTAAGCTCTATTTAACCTCATAATGTCTCTCAAAAATCCCTGCAATAGTGATCCGCGCGTACATGATAGAATGGCGATCTGAGGAGGAGCTTTAGAAACGTGCTTAAATATAGTATATCTGCGGAATTGTTGAATTTTTGGTGAATTGGGGTCCTCTGATGAAAGCCAATCAATAGTAAGTAGTAAGCAGTGCCATGAGCCCAAGCACTTCGGGTGTTCGATGACAAAAAAGAGATCAGCAATGTCCACATCATCACAGGACATTGCAGATGGATACAATTTTGGCGCTGATTCTGCGTGGGTTCTATCAACCTGCGATTTCGGAGGAACCTGGTAGGTCTTGTCGCGGTTCAAATAAGCTCATTCGCTTACTTAACTACAATGATGTTGTTGGCGTTCCACGGTGATACCGCTAGCTAGTTAGGGCCTCCATGGACCAGCAATCATACCAAGATGCCCTGCAGATGAACCACCGAGCCGAATATGAGGCTGCTTAGGTCTCGGGGATTTGAGACCATCCTACGAAACTAATATTGTTCAGAGTGATGGCTTCAGGATGTACATGTGGTAAATCAGCCACAGGTATTTCAAGTGGTGTTGGCTATGCTGAATGACGCTCCATTTCCGTTCATTCCCCCTCACACTTAGTTGCCTTTGATCACCTTCCATGATTACAACCTTTGTTCCTCATCAGTCTGTTGACCGCTCTCAGGGAATACGTACGGGGGAAATGATTGCCCTTGACTAACCAGATGAATGTGCGGGTGAACTTATTGGTAGAAGTGACTCCCAAAGGATAACGCGAATGGCTACGCGATGCAGGTACATCTTCTCCTGGGCTCTTTTTGGATTGTGGAACGTAAGTACCTCCCGTTGTGAGACTTTTTGGGATTTGGGAGCCAGCTCCCACTTAGAGCTTTTTTTGGCCTTTGCAGTGTACCTCCCACCAGGGGTTACAGGCGGCGGAGCCCCTGACCTGCCCGCCAAGATGCCAACACCCCGGGCTGCGAGCCGCCCAGCTCAGTGATCCGTTTTCCCGCTAGCGAGTCTGATCCTTGCTGTATTTAATACGCAATACCTTAATACTACTTGGAGGAGACCTGAACTGGAATTGTAGGGTCTATGTGACGCTTTCTTTTTCCATCTTCCAAGTGAGAAAAAACGTTCGAAGAACGATCAAGTGGAATGATGCCGACTGGATACAAGTGCTCCCAATCTTTCTTATACATTCGAAGTCATATCAGAGAGTGTTGCCAGCCAAATGAACCTATGGATAGAAAACTTCGTCACCTTTCAAGCCCCGCCGCCATAGGCAAGCTCGTTACGCCAATCCCCGGTGGAACAGATCGTCGAGCCAGACCGTCGGACACCGCGTCAGGTACGGGAGCGTGAGATCGTTGGTGATAACCTTCAAAGTGTTTGGTGGGGACAAAAGGCCGGCAGCTGTGACCTGCCAATCATGCATCCCGCGGAACTTCAGGAGGGGCCGGCCGGGCTGCCCGATCCCCTGTCGAACCATTCCATCGGCGTCATATAGGTACCGGCGAGGGTTCGTGGCAGGCCCGCTGAAGCTAGCCGTCTCTGTCGACGAGGCATGAGAATCGTTCCTTCCATCCGGCTGTGGAAACCTTGACGACGAAGACGGCTTTTTGTCACCTGGAGGGAACGTGTTTCGGACCTGATGTGGTTCTGGGTCGGCCAGCCCTTGACATGGGGGGTTGGATCATTGATCAGCGGGGAGCCCAAAAGACACCACAAAGATCACAACCATATGTACCGAGTGTCAAACGCATGAGTATAAAGGGGTCTACTGACGCAACGTTTTATTCTAAGGTCTTGAACTGCAGGACTACATCTCATCGAACAACTATCTCCCTCTTGCCCCCCATAGCGTTCGTCACGCCCTCCTTTCAGCCTTCAATTATCTCCTGTCAAGATCCAAGTCGACATCTACCGTTTAAGCATGGTCTCTCAAACCTCTCACGATGTTTGTGACCGATGCTCGTGGCGGCCTGTGCCTGGCATTCGAAGATCTCTACGAGTTCACAATGCCAGCCACCACCGTCAGGGGTTGGAGATGAAGCCCAACCAGCCTCCGCACAACCGAGCCAACGGAGCCGGAGTTGGCGAGTCAGTCAATGGCGGCCTCGAAGGGTTGAATGAACAGCCTGAGGTCATCAATGAGAGCATTGAGGAAGCCAGCGATGAGAGCAACCGAAGCACCCCCGAAACAGAGGCGGGTGCTGGCATGGCTTCTGATGTTGGCCGCAGCTACCAGAACAACTTCTACAACAGCATTGTGTACAACATCAACATGTAATCCCGCCTTTATTCCGTCACTCTGAGGGTATTGCGGATGGACGAGCACGTTGATATAAATGCGGAGTCACGATGGAGTCTTGAATTGGATAGAGTGCAGGGCGTAAGGAATAGGGAAGACAGTTACCAAAATAGGGAAGGTTGAAATTGGGGGCAATAAATGCAGAGGACATGGACATGAACGGACAACAACTAAGACGCTTTCACTTCTACTCTTCTCAACCGGAAGAAGTATTTCAATAATACATTACATTACAACATCAAACGTGTGGCAGAACAAGACTTTCCTGCCCAATGTGAGTGTTAAATCACGGTTTCCCAAGCCCACCTCAAATGCAAATTCGCTTTGGTCCGGCCTCTCAACAAGAACGCGCGGGGACAGTGCTCAAGTCTATTCTTTACAAATATCCTCTACGCAGACAGTGCCTGATGGGTCATGCCCTCCGCTCATGAGACAAACAGACTCCGACAAATGAATATTTCACCGCCTATTCGAGATCCAAGAGATCTGGCAAAATTATGAGAGCCTGCGCTACAAGGGTAGCGTACGTGGCGCCATCGTCGCCGGTCGTTATTACAGGGTCCAGGGATGCTTGTCTGCATCCCATTTCTGACGCAAGAGTAACCGCCGGAAATCTTGATCAGGGCGGTCCAAAACTGCACATCATTGAGGAGTGGTAGGTGGAGTCAACGGTGTTCGGCCTAGCAGGTATTTGAAAAGACGTCTACCACTGTGAGGAGAGACCGCAGTTCTTCATTGCAATAAGCAATGTGGTAGACCCCCCCTAATGACGAGGAAAAAGTGTTAAAAGTCGGAGCCGGAAGCCGCTCTTGGCCGGACTGGGTGGCATTCAAGCAAGTGTCAATAGGGGGCGGGAGGCCAAAAACGCAGCCGCTCCAACAGAAGCAAGAAAAATTTTCATTCTGTAATCTTCCACAGGTCATTTTGGCTTTCGGTGCCTTCGGGGAGAACGCCTTGAGTTGGACTCAGCCAGGACCCCTGTCAGGTACCAACAGCACTGCGTACGCCTATCTAAGCACGACAGGACGTGATTTTGAGAGCCCTCAAGTCGCCCAGGTTGACTCAGAATGCAGGGTATACGTGCGCTGTTGGTTGCCTTCCCTTCAAGTACCCTGGCATCTTTGTACACAGCGTGAATCGCGGAGGCAACAGTACTCCAGGGTCTCACGGGGATTCATCTCCCCGCAACGACTATGCCAATCCGACGAAAAGAAGGGAATTCGAGGGCATCGAACCGTCTGGCTTGTGACTGTTGGCCGACATTCTGGCTGAGGATACGACCAAGAATTCGAATGCAACATGATTACCATCTCACAAAATGTGATCGGTCGGAAGCCACTGTAATCCGTCACAAGTTCAGTTGCAATGTCATTATTCACCCTGCATGTATTAGCCCTCTTCTTCGTGCCGCACGACTGTGAGCCGTTCAAGTCAGGGGCTGATAGCACCTCACAGACAGTGCCATTGGGTACACCTTCCAGCAAATCTTGAACACAGACCGCTTGATGGTGCTATGAGACCACCTTGGAAGATTCACAAAGTACGAAAGGGGGGTCGGTGATTTGTGAGATACGTGCATACCACTGGGTGCATACCACTAGAACAGCAGATTAAGACCGGAATAACTGCCAACTGTCTATCAGAATGAGGCGAGCGGCAAGGCAAAAGTGGACATCAGTTGGTAATAACGGCCGCGCAGCTCATGCCCCCCTGCTTTGGGTGTCACATCCTCACTAAGGACGGATGTATGGATGGGGCTACGTTGAGATAACACGAGTTACGGGGAATGAGAAAAGGAAAGAAAGAATGACGGATCGGTTCCTACATCAAGGTGCGTTCACGAAAAGCGAATGCCAAGTGGCTGAAACCTGTCACCACTGTCAATCCTGACAGAAAACCGGTTGGTTCACGGTTCTTATCCAGCTCCAGCCTTCTCCTTGTGAGGTTGTGTTCTCCGAGACAGGCGTGCGAGAACCTGTCAATCCTTTCCCCAGGTCTCATCTCGAAACGGCTAGCCATGCAACGGTGCGAACCAGTCTCTCTAGTCGGCAAAATCCGAGATTGAACGATTCCACGTCTGCCATGCCCGCCCAAGGTGACTGATGCTGCAGCCCCGACGCCACGTCGGAGTCGGTTGCCAGAACACGAGGCGACAGTTGGTATCTGACCGTCTTGGGCATGAAATCGAGAAAATTTTTCCAAGCTCGGTCAGGAAAATCTGCGAATTGATTCTCCTTATGCTTTGACGGTCGTTCATCGCGAATTCGCGAGAGATATGTCGATGCTGATTGCCGAAAGAACCCACCTCCAGACAGGTGGAAACTCGGGGGCGAGACAGTTCAGATGCCTTGAAAGGGCGTGTGAAAGATACGAAGTGGAAGGGGGAATGGTGAGAGAATGGGTGGGAGAATGGGTGGGAGAATAGGTGGGATGATGGATAGATGGATAGATGGATAGATGGGAGGATGGATGGATGGATGGATGAATATATATAGAGGACTGTCAAGGTCGGGTCCTGGAGTTTACGGCCATAAATGCACTCCGGTCCAACACAAGGCATCCGGGCATGGAAGGCTGCCGCTGCCATTGGGTATCGTGTGAGGTGCAGGAGAAAGTACATATGTCACTCTCGCATCATGACCAATGGTAGGACCAATTCAAAGAAATTTCTGATACACCATGGATGCTTTTTCCATGCTCGCCTCGATTTCCATCTACTGCTTCTCAGACCCCATGTTTGACAACCTGGGAGCAGGCGGAATGCAACATAGAACTCTTGCCCGCATGCACAGGAGGACACACCCGGCATTAGTGGAAGATATCAATTTGATCGGTGCCTTGTGGTTGGTCAAGGAGCAGGCGCAAATTGATTTGTGACAACATGGGAAGGCTAGGTCAGCTAAGAAGAAAGGAGCTAAACCACAGTCTCGGTACATTAACTTTCATTTGACAGCGTTTGCGTCGGAAAACACCTTCGCATGTCGTCTTCTCTTCCAGCTAAAGTGAGAATCGGATACTCGAAACAGGATAGTCAACCCACTACTTCCTAGTATCAGGTGGGTTATATGCAGCAATGACTGACCCCAGAATGTAACCTTTGATGTATCTTGAAGTTGCGTTGGAAAAAGAAAGGAGGACCAGTATCGAACGTTTGGTGTATTCTTGCCCAATGAGTCTTGACCTTGCAGGTTCAACGGTGTGAATTACAAGGCAACCGGATGTATGTGCTCTTCACGCATATCCACCAAGGAACAGATTACGCCGGACAAGATCAACTGACAGGGTGTTTTGCCGTGAGACTCTCATCGCGAAGCTGGAGAGATCGCGTGCTTGTTTTTCAAGTATAAATAAGACGGCGCGCCCTCTCGATGCCTCCTGAATAAAACCAGAGATCTAAAGCTGTCAAGTATTTCGGTGCAGCCTCATAAACCCCTTTCCAAGCATCATCGCCGTCTGAACCAAGCATACCCGTCTGCTTCAATGTCTCAGCCGGCCAGTACAATGCGGCGGTCCAACATGTGCTCCCAGCCGAGCTGCCCCTGGGTGCTCGGCTCCGACGAACACAATCTTCGCGCCCACATCCCTGAAGCTCACGGAGAAACAATGAACCTGCCTTGCTGCGGGAAAGTTATGGGAAAGAACAACGACGACGACATCCGGCGCCACGAAGAAGACTGCGCCTCCTCAGCAGGCCGGGCAGAGCAGTCTCAGGCTAGCAGCTCCGGGCCCGCCACCAACAGCCGAAGCGCCGCTGCTACGCCTCTGGCAGAGGCTGAAGACCACCATGGCAGCGAGTCTTCCAGTGAGGCTGGGAGTGTGGACGACGGCGACCCCCAGGGGTTGATCCACATCAACATTTCCATCGAATGCTGCGGTGCTCACCGCCGGAAGAACGCTTCGGCTTAAAATATCCCCGGAAACGTTGCGTCGCAAGAGGTCTTGTGGCGAGAGAAGATGTGTGATGTAGAGTAAGGATAGGTCGGGAAGTACATGGTACTGATTGTGAGACTGGTGCTGTGTTTTGAAGGGCGAGGAGGAAAGGGGAAATTGTAAGCTAGGAAGCAACGAGAAAAGGGGCGAAGCGCTTGATATTTTGATGGTCCGTTCTTTCAATCGGAAAAGCAGTAAAGCAAAAACATAGATAGGATTTCACTTCATAACGTCCCGCCATATCTTTTATCATTGTCGAGCACCCGAGGGTAATGAGCAGACTTCCCACGACCTCCAGAGACATGATCTCACTGAGCGTATACGTGAAGGCGGTATAGAATGGAATCCTCGAGGGAAGGAGTAGTAACGTCATGGACGACCATACGGAACCTCAAGGAAAGGCAAACTTGAGCAGAAGTGGTGATGGTGAGGGCTGGTCGTGTGAGAGGCAGGCGGCAAGATGAACAAGGGGAAAGAAGAAACGCAAGGGGCACAGCAGATCAACTCCCGCCTCGCATTCTGATCACGTACTTTTCTCAGCACAATAGGCGCCGCAGGCGAACCAGTACAGAGACAGCTGCTAAAGTGTTGCCCCCGAGCAAAGCTCAGCCTGTCTACGCTAGCTCTGCTACGAGCCACAGCGCCTGGGAGCAACCACGAACCACCGCCTGGACAAGGGGGAGGATGAACCCCATTTGCAGACTGCTTTGGTGAAGGCTGCTCGGGCCATATCTTGACCACCACCAGGATGCCAGTTGTGGGATGGCCGGGCAGACCATGGATGTGAGCTATCAGAGCAAGTACTTGCTCCGGGGCAGGCGTCCCGGCCCCTGATTGCGCTGATCCAAGCCGTTCGTGATGCCAATCATTTGTGATGATGATGCAGAGCTAAGATCAGGGAGGGGAAGAAGAAACGGCTGGAATTGCAAAACCTCCCGCCCCCGAGATTAGAAAGCATCCAGGACGGGTTCTATGCAGTTGCAAGCGTCCTAGCTCATGGCACGTTGACCCTCGTGATGCCTTTTCTTGGTGGTCTACCTCTAGCCCTCAAGGTCCAAGACGCCTTGCGCCGCAAATAGTCGAGGCCGGAAAGCCCATGAAAGCTAGTCAGCCTTATTGACCGCTCTTTCTATTTTGATCTTGCTTGGCCGGTGCGAAGATGGCCGCACTGGGGAAGCTCTTCTTGAGCGGCCGCATGTTTTCCAGGCCTCCAGAGCAGTCGAGCGTACTGGCGTGCAGCGTTCGGCTGAGTTTGGCTGCCACATGGACCTGGGATCGACAATTCTTTCCACGGAGTGTTCAAAACAAGCACTCGGGTAACGCGAATACATCTATGCTTCGAGCCAACCGTTGCAAAGTGAAAGATAATCCAGCCCTTGAACGTAGGGCCGCGGGCCTTCGCCAAAAAGACCGACGGTATGCTGAGAGTACAGTCGCCACCGGTGGCCCGGATCTTCAAGTTGGCTACTGAACAGAGAATCTGAGCATATGGGGGTTGCTGAATTCAAAGTGTAAAAACCCGTCTCTTGGCCAGTAATGTCGGTTTCTGTGACCAAGAACAAGCTGGTCGGGTGACCGCGTGCTACCCCCTAGCTTGTCAGTTAAGCGCCGACGAACGACTCATGAAAATACACAGAATTCCAAGACCGACGGTATTCTAAAATGCAACCCGTTTTCTTGCTCTGATGGGGGTGGTCTTTCCTGTGCGGCCGGTCTGTTAACGAATGAAGACGGCTCAGGGGTTGCCATCATGAAACCAACAGATGACAGCATCCGTCCGAATTAGGAAACCGGTCACCGCCGAGTCTGCCTCGCCATCAAGAAGATTCTAGCAACTTTTTTTTTGACGATGCCGAAGCGTTTTTGGCGATGCGTCTTGATGTGGGAGAGAAAATCGGCTGCCTCGTTGCCTAATGCTGCGCTTTTGCGCGCGCCGGGAAATGAAGTTATCGGGGGCCGCTGCGCCCCCCTTTTTCCCACCGCAAGAACGGCTTTCTCAGGCAGAGACGTCCGCCCGCGTCACAATGTCTCGAAAACTAGATTGGTATTGATCGTACGGAGGCCGGTGTTATCTGCACCTTTGAAAATTTTCTCCTCGCCCTGATTGGGCGACAGTGTCGACCAAACCACCGCCGTGTCGTTGTCTCGACCGCCGCCGTGTCGTGTGCAGTATCCTCCACGGCAAGTCAACCGACGGTAAGTAAGTGTCCCTTCGATGGGTTATCGTGCTGCCGTTTGAGTCCTTCGTGCGTCGTGCCGTGACTAACTTCACACGCGTACCCCGCCTAGCTTCTTCACAACGTCCTCGTAAAACCGCATCGAAAGCCTCGCTGCGACCGGGTCATCAGTCTCGATCTCATCGTCCCCCAGTCCGAGCTGGTCTCCGCCAGCGATGCATTTCTTTGTCGCCTGTTCGAAAACCTCACCCAGACTCGCGCCGATCTCAGCCATCTCGTCGTCGACGAGCAGGCCATCCCTTACTCTCATCGCCAGACTCGGTTTGCGATAAATATCGAACCTCAGAACCTTGTCCACCGGCTTCCAGTGCGCCAGCTCGACGAAGAGAACGCCGAGGCTGTAGATGTCAAACGTCTTGCGGAAGCGTTCCCTCTCCGCCGGATTCATCAACTGCACCTGGGGATGCCGATACAGATTGTACTCGGCGTCGTCTCCGGGAATGTCCGTCGCTTCGTCGCTGCGAGCTGGACGCGAGTAGTCGAAGCCGGTCAGATAGGGCTTTGTGTAGTCGACTAGACCGGCTTTGGTCCGGAAAAAGACAATGTTGTGACTTCGCAGCCCCTTATGAAGCCAGTTCACGGCATGCAAGTACAACAGGCAACTGCTGATGGCGTGAGCTAGCCTGATCCGATCGGTCACGCGAGGCTTTCTCTCGTTTTCGAACAGGTCACGAAGTGACGAGGGGGCCAGCGACGCGTGTACATCGCCATCAAGGGGCCTTTCGAAAACGAGGCCCAGCTTCCGGTTCAAGCTGTCGTCATCATCGGGCGCGACAGGCTCTGATCCTGACATGTCGAAGAAGCCTAGACAGTGAAGTGTGCGAAACGCCTCGGGCTTGGGGCTGTGGTTCAGAAGAGCGGCGAGTTTGCCCACTCTGTCAATAATGACTTGCTTCGGGAGAGAATCGTCGGTGTTGGTCTGACGTTCGTATTCTTTCCATTCAATCCAGACTCTTTTGCTGACGCCGTCAGGACCACGAAGGGTTGCTTCACACCTGGGTTGATCCAAGTCCTCGTGGCCCTCGTCCAGATCGATCGCCTCCCGCTTCAGGACCAGCCGGTCTTGTTGACCAGGCTTTCCCAGCTCCAGCTGCATGGCCGTCGCATCATCAAGTTGCTGCTTTTCCGACTCCATCGACTCGTTGAAGGCCTTGAACTTTGCCAATCTGGATATCAGCTTCAAATCGTCGGAATTGGCCGCCCGTTGGTTCATGGACATGGTAGAGAGGTTCGGTGGGATGGTGGCGTCCAGCTTTACGTTTAAAGCCATGACAAGCCGCCCAAGGTCAGCTATGCGGTGATGTAGCTGCAAGACCCCTCGGTTCGTGTCCTGGACTGTATGATGGATTTCAACCTGCAGCCGAGCATCAAGGATATCGGTCATATTGTCATTGAGAGCTGAAAATCGTGATAGCAACAGCTCAAAGGCGGCCTTGTCGAACGAGACCCAGCTCCAGATGAGGAGGCCCTCTTTGGACTGCTCTTTGAGCTTTGACATGGCTCGCTTGATGAAATTACGCCGCTTTTCCGGCAAGGGAAAGTTGGCCGATGCGGCATCCTTCTCCGGGTTTTCAAGTACAGAATCCTGATCGGTGGCAGGCTTAAGTCTTTTGTTAGACCGTTGGTGCTCCTCAAACTCCTTGAAGAGATACTGGACTTGCACTAGAAGGTCGAGAACGGTAGTTCGATGCAAAATGAAGGTGTTGGACTCGAGAATCTTGTCTTTTTGGTTGTTGTCAAGATCCAGAAGTCCGGACGTCTCACTCCAAGCAAAGAGTCTTTGTTGCTCCATACGCAGCCTCAAGTTGAGAAACTTGCAGTCTTCGGGGAAGTTCCTTGCTGTTATGAGCAATTGTATGCCTGGGTCTTGTTAGCTGACTCGTTCTTTTGACAATAATTAGGGAGTGTATCACCTTGTACGCAGCTGGTGTAGACCTGAAGTCCAATGGATGCTACGCCAATGGCCAAACCCGCCGCGGAGACAGGGTCCATGGTGACTTCTGAGACCTGCTACGAGAGCGGTCAATCCTCTCCTCACAAATCGATGCGGATGTTGGCGCTGCTGTCGAACATGACACGAAAGGCAAGACGAGAGAAGCTCCCTGAGGCGCCGAGTTCTCTTCGAAATAGACTCATGTCTTGGATATCACGCCCTAAAAGGCTCACTAGAGTCGACCGATTGTGACATACCCCGCCCCTTTCTCGTCCCACGGCGATCCAGAGCCAGACATGGCTACTTGGCGCCAGCTGGGGCTAGACGGCGCTCGTATTCGCGGGCTTGGCTTGCTACTGAGCGAAGAGACAACAAGAGGGTGAACAAAAACGCTCGTCAAGATGGTAGCCAAGTCAGGTGACCAAAGCTGGAGTCAGATCGCCCTGCGATGGAGCATGTCTGCCGCGGCATGTCTGACCAGATTCGTCCTCTGCTCTGCACGAACGCGCTTAGTCGATCGGGCTTCCCTGCTGCATCATCATCATCAGCTTGATGACGGATCCGGGGGACACGAAAGGTACGTGTCCAAAAAGTGAGGTTGAATCAACCAACAATGGGCGTGACACGTGAAAGGTGAAGAACAGGCGTGGGGTGATGGGCCCCAAATGTGCATGAATGGCCGATGGGTTTGGTCTGTGCCCCGTCCGGCTGCTGCCGTGTTTCTCCCGGCCGAGTCCGGATTGTATGCGGAGATGGACCGATGGCCGGGTGGTGGGAATGGCTTCATGGCAAAGCGCATCCTACCAAGCTCAATCGGCGATAGCTATTTGTACCTGACAGGTGCGATGCCAATGTCGTGTCGTGTGTGTGCAGAGACCTGACAGGTCTGGGCGGTGATGACCGACAGCCGTGACAGCCGTTTCTTTCAGGCGAGATACGCAGCGGATAGGAAGGCGCGGTGGCTCCCATGGACCGTGCTTTGAGCTGCCCCTGCTTACTTGAGCAAATTAACTCAGCTTGAGGTGGTTGGAGTTGCGAACCGATTCGCCCATTCGTTCTCTGAGTTTCGACTTCTTCGATGACTTGGGCCCGGGGCATCCCGACACCGTCACGCCTCCATTGTCATGCTTGGCCCGGTATGTCGCTTTGGATAGATCGCTTGGCGGTCTGATTGTCCGCTGGTGCTCAATGCCCTACACCATCAACTCACAGATGTCGAAACGACCTCTGCATTCAGGTTGACGCTGGCGATACTCGTACCGACCAATCACGCAAAGCCGTACGCAGCAAGGTTCCGCACAAGACGGTATTGAATTCGTCTTTTGTACATCTCTGCTCATGTAGCGTCCGACTTGCCGCGTGGCACCAAGGAACTCTAAAGCTGCTCACAATTGAGCGGGTGGAAACGCCCCGGCTGATTCCCTACCTACCTTGCGCTTTGGCCCGTTGTACGTTATGTATAGGGCTGAGGGAGGGGGGAATCGACTGCCATGCCAGGCCATACCCGTCGGCAACGCTTGTTTAGGACGCTCCGATATCCGTGGCTTCATCCTGGCATCGAGCACATGGACGCGCCTTCGACTACACCGGCCGAGAACCGTCGTCTGGTCTGCCCTTGCTATGCTATTGTCGATTAAGAGTCATTATCGGGCTCGGTCTTGGCAGGTGGCTGATAGCGACGTCGTCTTTCTTTATAGATCCATCATTGTATTAAAAGCATCGGCCGCGTCTCATGCGAGACCATGATGGAGGTCTCTCGAGTCATCCTGTCAACGTTACGCCGTCGTCATCTTTGCCCGTTTGCTCGCTTAGGCTCTTCTTTCACCAGCTTAGACGCCGCTGTCCCCGAGATCGTTCTCCACTTCTCCCACAAGCCACGGCAGCTCCTCATCCCCGAGAGTCTCGGACCCTTGCTCACAAAGCTCGCATCACCAACACACCAACAACAACGACGACACCATCGGGCGCAAGCCACGTTGATAACACCCGGATCCGTCCCGCGGCAATCTTGACAAAGAAGGTCGCGGTATAGGTTGCGGCGCACGGCCAAACCTCAGCCACTCGGCTCATCTTGACACCATTGGTCGGCCCCTGTCCAGCGGTCCAGGGTGGAGGGGGTATTTGGACGGGTTCAGCCCATCATAACCGTGCACAGCAACTCAAGCTGTTTGCTTAGGTTGGATGTTTGGTACCGTACCTACCTGTTCTGCAAAATTGAGGGGGCACGTATGAGGTGCTGTTAAATACTGTCTGCCTGGCCTGGACATACCCCAGCTCGAGCAACTTTTCCTCCTGCAACCACCCATCGCCAGTTCAGCTCAGCTCCGCTCCAAAGCAAAAGTCGCAACAACCCCGACTTCAATCACGGGCGAGCCCGATTCCGAATCGAGTCTGAACATTCCCGGTCGTCGGTTCCGACCCTGAAGGTCTGGTCTGCGGCAATCGGCCGTTCGATCCCCAATTTCAATGCAGAGTTCCTTGTCCCCCGAAGTCCCACCGCCTCCGGGCAGCGTCCACAGCAATGGGTCGCCGAACAACATGAGCATGGTCGCCGACTCCAACTCTCCCAGCGACCGCGACTCCCCCAACGCACCCTCCTCGGCGACCAGTACCCAGGGCCAAGCACCCGTCGTCGCTGTTCCTGCTGCATGTCTCGCATGTGTAAGTTCTAGTCCCCCTCTCTGCTCCCCGCTGGCCGAGTCATCCATTCGCATGTCGTCCATTGCGATTGGCGGAACAGTCTGTACCCCTTCGAACCAACCCTCGCTGACCCCAATCTTCCTTCTGCAACAGAGAGGCAAGCACCTCAAATGTGATGGCCAGAACCCTTGCTCGCGATGCCAAAGCTCGCAGTCGGAATGCGTCTATGTCGCCTCCCGTCGAGGCTACAAGGGCCCGAGGAGGAACACTGCCGCTAATCCCAATAAGAGGGCGCGATCTTCGTCCCCCACATCTACCGTCGCTGGTGCTGTCGGCGACAGCTGCCCGATGCTTCTTGGCGCCAATGGCACCTCCGCCGCGATGCAGAACACAATGGCTCCGTTCAACCCCGGCGTCGTCCTCCCGGACACCCCGAGCACGACCTTTGGCGCAACGCCGAACCTGACGAATCTGCAACTATACCGATCCTTCGGTGCTGCGATTGGCTTCAATTCGAACCAATTGGCACTGAATCAACAGCAAAATGGAGTCCCTGCTCAAGTGCCCGTGCCGACCCTCGCAGAACGGTGTCTAGACTCATTCTACCACCATTTCCATGCCTCCCACCCATTCGCCCTCCCTAAAGAATGGCTTCTTCGTATAATGCGCGATACAAACGTGGAGCCTCTTTTGGCTGCCATTCGATGGGTTGGGTCCCTCTTTCTCGAAATCGGGCCCGCCCGCGCTGGCTTTTTGGATGAAGCACTCCGGCTTGTGCAGGATCCCACAACGACCAAGGACGGTTTCTTCGTGCAGGCTCTGATTCTCTTGATTGTCGCCCTGGATGGAAGTTGCCAACAAGAAAAAGCCCGGGCTCTGCTGGGGGAAGCTGAGCGTATTGCCATTGAGCAGGGAATGAACACCAGAGAATATGCTACACAGTATGGCCGAGGCATCCCGATTCTGGAGGAGAGCTGGCGGAGGACATGGTGGGATTTGTTTGTGGTCGATGGCATGGTAGCTGGAGTTCATCGCCAAACGAACTTCCTCCTCTTTGACGTCCCAGCTGATGCTGCTTTGCCGTGCGAAGAGCACCAGTTCATGTCAGGGGTAAGTGATGTTTTCTGCGAATACTCACGAGTAAAGGCTGACAAGGTATATTACAGAACATCCCCCCTTCAATGACTCTTGCGGAACTGGAGGACCAGGACTTCTCAGGAGAGGAGCGAGAATTTTCTTCCTTCTCCTACCGCGTTCTCGCTGGGCGAAACTTGGGCAAGTTCATGCGAGTTCCGCCCATCTTCGGCCCAGAGGACGAGAACTTGGCGCGGATCGAGGCACTCCTTACAAACTGGCGACTCCATCTGCCTTCGTCTAAGAAGGACGCGCTGAACCAGAAGCTTCAGTCTGACGAGATGATTTTCCAGGCAAACATGATGACCCATGCGTAAGCATACCAAGACCACCAGCAAGAGGCTCCAGTGACTAACCTACCCTCAGGACATCCATCATGCTGCATCAACCACACTCACAGCTCGATTCGTCGCCTGCGCGATCTGTCACGTCCTGTGCCCCGCACAGGCCGGTGCCATCCGGGGACTTGTTCAACTCCCACACCAACCACACCATCACCTCGGCTGGCGAAATCAGCAAAATGATCACGCACCGGGTGCCTCTGCTTTCACACACTCATTTCTTCACCTGCGTCGTCACGCTCTCATCCATCGTGCACCTGAGCAAGTGGGCATTGTTCTTCATCCCACACGACGATGACGAATTGCGACAACAGATCCGCTTAAACATTGGGGCTCTGAACAAGCTCTCGGCGGTCTGGAAGGCGGCAGAAAACGCCTCGGGGCAGGTCAAGGGGGTCGCACAGGAGATCTACCGCACAAAGAAGGCGTCGCAGATCAACCCATCTTACTGGCAGGGCTTCACGCAGGAGGAGGTGATGAACAGCATCGCTGCGGATGAGACCATCATGCACGACATTGAGACCGGGCTTGGGTCCATCCCGATGCCTAACCTCGACAGCCTCGAGCCTTGATTGTGGCGAAAGAGGGGCTTCGGCAGCACATTCAATTCTCGGCCGGTTCACCGAGACAGTACAAACCATCTCTTTCAACAGCAGCGATCAGGACGAATTACAGGGGCGCAATAGACGCGAAAAGGAGGGGTGGCACAATTTCTGTCATGTTCTTCTATATGTCATTTCTTTATGGATATACCAGCCCACACGGATGCGGGCTTGAAGCGGGCGCCTAGGACGTGGCTTGTGAGGCGAATCTCCATTCTTGGGACGACTCAGATACGGCGGTAACAACTCTGCTCAGATACTTCCATCTTTGCTTAATATGACAAAAGGCCCCCCTGACGGGTGGCCACAGGCTTCATTTGTCAGTCTGTTTTGATTTGGACAACCTTGTTTCAGACCATCGCTGTGTTTTTCAATGATCTGATTAACCTCCCGGCCATCGAGACGTGTGGACGCCGACGGGAACTAGCTGTCGGGGAGCAGTCTCAGATGTGGAGGCGCCGCCGCGGCGCTCGATAGCTTCGCGAGAAACGAAACTAAATCTGGGGCCTTGATGGACCGGTTTTTGCCAAGCAGATGCCTGGCCATATCGATGAAGCTCGTGCGAGCGCATCTCCCGGGCGTCCCCCACGTGGTGATCTGAGGATGTTCCCGTGGGCCACAATCCGGGGGATTGCTACGTACTACCTTGCAGCCCTACAGCAATGCAACCTACCCTTCAAAAGGCGGGTCACGATCTTGTCAAGAAGGCAGGTGACATGCCGCAGTGAACCCCTTCGTTGCATTAGCCGCATTTTCTGAATTTCAGCCGCAGTCCCATCTCCGAAGACGATTATTTGTCAAGCGTTCGCGATGTGAGAGGTGGTGATCATTCGGACGTCCCGAATAGGCTACTTTGGCACTGGCACTGCAGTCCAGTGCCGGCGTTGTACAACGGCAGCGCATCTTGGCGATCCCCGGGGTCCCCTAATATCCGCCAACAAAGCTAGCCCCGGTTCGCTCTTGCAAGGAACTTCGGTTCAGCTTCGCAAAATTCGGAAGGAAAAAAAAACACAATCACGGGCTGATTGAAGACGTCCCCGGCTGTTGATCCAATCTTCTATCTTACCGTTACATGTGCCGCAGCAGCGGGACGCCGCCTGGCCGGGAACCAGGGGTTTTGTATGTGGGTAAGCGGACACGGGGGCTGGGGCTGGGGCTGGTGGCCCGTGGGAGGTGCGGCGACCCTCTCGGCGTCCATCGCCACGATGTCGTCTGAACTTGCCCGCTCACCTCGGGGATCAAAAGGAACCTCACCCCACGCGCATTCCCGCCCACACAACACACACGGTCTTGAGTATTGGGTACCGTAGCCCACTCCAACGGACGCAATGGCAGGCTATCAATAACACTCCCCCTGCCGGATCTCGGCAGTGCCAATCACAGATGCAGAGGAAACAATGGGTGACATCGCTGCTGACGGTGCGGGCCATCGGGAGCCGCCCCCAAACCCTCGACATCCACCACCACCACCACTCACTACCAGGGGCAGTATGTGTGTGGTCCGGGCATGCCGCCAAGGAGGACGACCTCGCCTCCCTCCCCTGGCGCAGCCTGTAGGACATCATTCGGGGATTTTCTCTTGTACCCTTCATCCGTTGAGAGGCCAGGGATTCGTTGCAGGTTGTGGGTGCACAGCATCCCGGACGAGGGATTCGATGCTCCTCTTGCCGGATTTGGCGGTACGAGAGGGTAGGGAGATGGAGAGAGTGGGCTCGGGATGAGACACCACAGCAGTAGCTAGCCTACTTTGCCTACCTACCTGACTTACCTTTGCCCTACCTTATCTGTCTGCCTGATTCTGCTCCTGCACCATGTATTTTGTGTTTCGGCGGCTCTGTTGAGAGGTCAAAAGTTAACACAGTAGGTCGCCGATTACCACGTCTCCTAGTGCGTGCCAGCGTTGAAGCCTATTACAACGGCCTCAGAACGTGGCCATGCAGGCTGCCGGCCCGCGGGCTGCCATGTAATCTCTGGCTTGGCGGAAGTCGGTTCGGTTCCTGGGAGCCATGTATAATTAACATTATCCCCTGTCCCATTTGGTGGGTTATAATCGATGTACTATTCCCTCGAGTCTCTTTTGTTATCTTTTAATCTTTCATATGACGTCGGGAGAAGAAAGACTGTTTCTCTGTTCTCGAGTACTTATATACATCACAGCATTTCTTAATCAAACCTGCCAGGAAAACTTTGGAAGACATGGACGGTAACAGCAGCGATTACTACGAGCCCAGGAAGGAACGGAACAAGATGACGCGCAGCGACGACGAGGGCGTCTACCACCATGACGCGGAGATGATGGGTGCAGTGGACGCCCATCTACTAAACACCTCCGTCCAGAACATCTCGTGGGAGGGCATCGAGGTCACCGTCAAGGACAGGGAGACCAAGCAACCCAAGAGCATCGTCCATCGTGTTGACGGGCTCGTCGAGGCTGGTACGGGCTTATCACCAATTTTTCGTCTTGCGGCGGTTGAACCACTAACACCACACCACCAGGGGAAATTTGCGCCCTGATGGGACCCTCGGGCTGCGGCAAGACGACCCTCCTTAACGTCCTCGCCGGACGTCCCACCAATGCTTCCGGTGTCGAGGGCTCCGTGCTGGTCAACGGCGTCAAGCCGTCCCGCTCCGAGTTCCGCCAGATATCCTGCTTCGTCGAGCAGGAAGACGCCCTCATCGGATCCCTGACCGTCCGCGAGACCCTGCTCTTCACCTCGCGCCTCTCGAGCACCAGCTCCCTCCCCCGCAGGGAGCGTCTCGCCAGGATCGACGGGCTGCTGGCCTCGTTCGGTCTCAACGACCAGGCCAACACCATCATCGGCACGCCCATTCGCAAGGGCATCTCCGGAGGCCAGAAGAGGCGCGTGGGCGTCGCTAGCCAGCTCATCACCAGCCCCAAGATCATGTTCCTGGACGAGCCTACCAGCGGACTGGACTCTGCGGCCAGCTACGAGGTGATCAGCTACCTCAAGAAGGTCGCCCGACGAAGCAACGTATGTACCACTTTCATGTTGGCAACTTTGCCCCTTCCCATCACAACTGACTGGTGTGTGTGAAACTTCCAGCTCATCGTCATCGCATCGATCCACCAACCCTCAACCTCGACCTTCAACCTCTTCGACAAGCTCATGCTCCTCTCGGGCGGCAAGACGCACTACTTTGGCGGCGTCGACCGCGTCGTGCCGTACTACGAGTCCATGGGCATGCCCATGCCCGTCCAGGTCAACCCGGCCGAGCACCTTCTCGAGCTCGTCAACGTCGACTTCGTCAAGGACAAGCGCCAGGCCGCCGCGCGGCTGCAGGCGATGCACGAGGCCTGGAGCGAGTCGGGCTCCGCGCGCGACCTGAAGACGGCCATCGCCGACGCGCAGCAGAAGAGCAACCCCGTCGTGCTGAGCGACGAGGAGAAGAAGCCCGGGCTGCCCAGCCTGGTGCTCACGCTGCTTCACCGGAGCTTCATCAAGAGCTACCGTGACGTCGTGGCGTACGGAATCCGGTTTGCCATGTACACCGGTATGCTTCCCTTCTCCCTCACTACGATCTTTCTCTGACAAGTCCAGGTCTTGCAATCATGATGGGCACGGTCTGGGTCCGCCTCTCCACCAGCCAGGAATCCATCATTCCCCTGACCAACGCAATCGTAAGTCCTTTTAGACGACCGCTTTTTCCAGGCCCGGTCTCGACTAACAAGCTGCAGTTCTTCGGCGGCGCCTTCATGTCCTTCATGGCCGTCGCCTACGTCCCCGCCTTCCTCGAAGACCGCTCCCAGTACGTCAAAGAGCACCACAACGGCCTCTACGGCGCCACCGCCCTCCTCATCTCCAACTTCCTCATCGGCCTGCCCTACCTCTTCCTCATCGCCCTCATCTTCTCCGTCATCTCCTACTGGCTCTCCAACTTCCGCCCCGCCGCCGACGCCTTCTTCGTCTGGACAATGTGGCTCTTCCTCGACCTCCTCGCCGCTGAGTCCCTCGTCGTCTTTTTTACGTCTCTCTTCCCTTCCTTCGTCATCAGCCTCGCCCTCGTCGCCTTCGCCAACGGCCTCTGGATGTCCGTCAACGGCTTCATGGTCAGCCCCACCATCCTCAACTCCTTCTACAAGTACGTCTTCCACTACTGGGACTACCAGAAGTACGTCTTCGAGGGCATGATGCACAACGAGTTCGCCAAGCGCGTCTACGACTGCGGGAAAGGGTGTCAGTGCATGTACCGCACCGCGCTCGAGGCCCAGTGCAAGATTGCCGGGCAGGGCGTCCTCGACACGTACGGATACACCGAGGAGCACTTTGGGCGCAACATCGGCATCATGATCGGCATCATTGCCGGGTACAGGATCGCCGCGTGGATTGTGTTGAAGATCAAGAAGAACTGAAGGGGGGTTGGACCCGCTGGTCGGATAACCTACATATGGGTGTCTTGGTACTGCTGCTGCTGCTTTTTCTTGTCGGAGATCATTCTTGGTTGGTGTTGTTAAAAATTGGCTATCCAGAGGTCTAACGGAACCAGACCTGTTGGTAGACGGTTGGTTGCAAAACAAAGTGGGCGTTTGGTTAAGCTTTCTGCTGTAAATTGTAATATCAATAGTGTGTATTTACTACCCGAAAGAAAAATTAAAATAAAAAAAATCTTGCGGAAACGTGAAGGCGTGATTCTCTTACTGTAGACTGACACACCGAGACGGTCCTATTCGTGATCGGAGTTTGATGGTCCTCGATCAGAGAGCATAACTAAGACTTAAAGTTAACTTGACCTAGGGGTTGGTGGACTGGCATCCAAATGCCTGAATGCCGTAGTGTGTCAGAGTTGAGAGACAGACCCCATGGTACCTCCTTTTTGCTCGATCTCTCTACTGTCGACCCCTTACTTGTCCGTCGCCACCACCATGTCTCCGCTTGGCATTCTCACGTACTAGATATGGATAGTAGTCCATTGAACTTGCAGTATTCAACATCACAAGACGAAACCGACTGCCGCCATGAAGCTAGTCAACAAAGCTGAAGAAGATGCTTCGATAAAGACATCGCGAGTTGAGCTCGCCCGATACATTGATATTACACGTCTGTACATGAATACACATACTGTCATAGGCCTTGCGATCATCAAAACACGATCAACGCCGGCCCAACAGGTACGCCTGACCCCACAAACCAAGCACCTCCCGCCATGCCAACTTTTCATTCCAATCCTTTGAAGCCACCAGAGCGGATGATACATATAGAAAAGGGGTGCCGTCGAGGCAAGATAAATAATACACAAGTTCTTCTCTCTCCACATCTTACACTAGATCCTGGAGCTAGGTCCGGACCAGCGGCCCTTGTCCTTCTGCCAGTTGGTCCACCGGTTCTTCCCCTCGAACCTCGTGAACTTGTTGCCCAGGGCGTCCGAAACCGTCATCGTCTCCACAGGCATGAGCTGGGCATCCGACTGATACGGCAAGACGCTGCGCTCCTTCTTCTTTGTCACGCGCGGCTTCTTCTCCACGGGTGCCTTGACGGCCAACCTCCTCTCCTTGAGCACCTCGCTCAGCTCCTGCTCGGTGTTGACAATCTGCGCCTTGAGGAAGTATGGATCGCTGGATGTCGAGTCCTCAAGCGTATCCATGACGGGCGTGCGGGGCGTGTACGCGATGCCCTCGAGCTTCGGCGCATGGGACGGGTCGGGCACGATCGCAGGGTCCAGCCAGGCCTGGGCACCCTTGGCGAGGAGGGCGGCGATGTCGAGACTTTCGCCAGGTGGGATGGCCTCCTTGTGGGAAGGCGTTACGCAGTCCATGTCCACTTCCTTGCGGAGAACGTGGTCAATGTCGATGGCGGAAAAGTAAGCACATGCTTGCGGAAGGTCGTTGATGCCGACCTGCTGGGCAAACATGGCTCTCGTCCAAAGGTTTGCCACCTGCAAAGCCATGGCGGCGCGGTATCTATCATGGTCCTTGACGAGGTATCTGATCTCGTCATGGACAGTAATAGCTAGGCGGGCTTCGATATTGAAGCGGCGGGTGAGGTAGTCCATGCTGACGATGAGGAGGTGGAGATAGTCCACGCCAGAAGACTGAATGGCCCAGTTGATACGTGAGGTCAAGTAGCCGTTCTGGTTGATGAAGCGACGCATCAAGGCCTCTGTAATCCCTGCACCGAGGACAAACGTCCGCGGCCGCTCCTGCGCGGCGAATTCTTCGAGCTTGTTGAACACAAAGGACTCCGTTCCTCCACGCCAGAATGGCCTCTTGCTCAGGACTGATCTAGTTGTTTTCGTTCCCTTCGTCCTGACGTACAACTTGGCTGCAGTCTCGTTCGTCTCCTTGTCGGTCAGATTGGGATTGAATTGTCTGAGCAACTGGCCGGCAAACTTCAGCCCAGCGCCGTAGATACGGCCATAGTTGAAAACCTTTGCGTCATTTCTCGTGATGCCCAAAATGCTTGCCGTCCGAGAGTGGAGATCTGTGCCGGCCGCTTTGGTGCCCTCAAGGGTCATGAATCCGATGGCATTGCCGCCGTGGAGCTTAAAGGTTGCGTCTCCGACCAGGCTGGCAATCCACAACTCCTCGGAATCAACATCAGCGCCAACGAAGCTGTATCCCGGTGGTGCCTTGACCATTGCCTTTAGCTCCGAACCCACTCTGTTCTTCTTTGCGTTGCTCGCTGTGAGCCATGTGTTCTCCACAGCTCTTCGCGTAATGGTTCCCATCGGAATTACTTGAGGTAGGATGAAGCCCTGAACGTCCTCGGGAGACTTGCTGACAGGCCCTTTAGACTTCACTCCGTTGGGGGAAACCTTCCCAGGAACATCGTCTTCGTAAACAACCATTTGCGACGTAATACGATCGCGAGCGCTGATCCAGTACGAACACGACGCATTCATCTCCAAAGCTTGCTTTGCGTACGGGTATTGAGATGATAAAGTACCGCTCTCAAAGTACGATAGGTATCCCTTGGCCATGGGGTTGGTGCATCTGGCCAGGGGACCGTCTTTGTGAGGTAACTTGAAGAACGCTCCCCCGTCTCTCCGCAAATCCGCGTCTTTTTCTGAGTCGGAAAAGTCGCACTTTACCATTTGCTTCTTCTCATAATTGAGTGCTTCGTTTCTCGTCACCCTGAAAGTCCAGCCGTACTTTTCCGACCAAACTAATGGGTGGTTGTCCCATGACATCTTCAGTAGCAGAGGCGCGACACGGGTTCGCACCGTCAGGTTGATCGGAGCATCGTTTTTCGCAAATAAGTCTTTGTACCACTGAGGCATACCAGGCTTTTTCTGCCTCGCAGCAGGCCTGGGAGGATCGTTTTTCTTCTTTCCTTTGACCATTTTGATCTCCTGACCAGACCAGTCCAGCTGCTTCAGCCATGGATCATTGCTCCATTTCTCCTGGTCATCTTTGATTTCAAGAGCCTTTTCGGTGAGCCCAATCAGACGCTCCTGGACTGCGTCGGAGAGTTCACGATATGTCGCTTCGGCATTGGCGATGTACGCATCCCAGGATTTGTTGACGGGCAGAATGACGGATGCCAGATGACGTAAAGCCGCAAAACTGACGGGATGAGGGCAAGTATCCAGAAAGTTGGGAAATACAATCTGATAAACCCTGTGAGTGATGGCAACATCGGCAGCGCAGTAGTCCAGCAGGTTGTCCAGCTTTTGCAAAATCTCCTCGCGATCATGGGTGCCCAGATCATCTCGAATCGCCTTATCGATGGTGACGTCGAGATGGAACTTGGCAACATCCCTCAACGAGTTCACTGAACTCCGCTCAACCCATAGTTCCGCCTCTTCCTGCCGGGCACTGTGGCTCAGCAGCTCCGCTAACTGTACGTCATCGGTTTGGCTGGTAAGTTTCTCCCGCATTTCCCGGTTCTTCTTGTGCTTCATCCATGTCGGCCTCTGCTGCGAACACATGCCGTTGACGGCAACGTGAAGCGACATCGTATCCAAGAACTGGTTTCGCGTCTGCCTGATGTCATATTCTTCCAGTATCCTTGCTCGATCGTATCCAATATTGTGTCCTACAATCACGCGCTCTTTCGTCGGATCGCCGAGCGGAATCAGATGCCGATCGGACTCGGATTCGCCCAGGAGCCAGGGCGATAGCCACGCATACCAGGCTGTCGGACTTGATGCACAAGCCATGACTGCAAATGAGCTCTCCTTCCACATGACCTCCGTATCAAAACAAAGCATCGACTCGTCCGGGGCTTCCACAGCTTCCGTTTTGCCGTCGGAATAGTATTTTGTCCATCCGCTTCTGCGAACCCATTTTCTCGGTTTTGGTGGCGGAGCCGACCGCGCAAACTGTTTGGCGTAGGAAAGGTAAGGTTCGGCACAGTCAACAGCAAGCTTGTGGAAGTGCTCATCCAACGTTCGGCCTTGTAGTTCAGGGATATCGAAGGCAATGGGCTCGCTATTATCGGTGTTTTTACCAAGAAGATCGTGTCGTCGCAAATGGTCTTTGGATAAGTCCACTAGTTCTTTCGGTGGCGGCGCATTTCCATCGGGAAAAATCTGCTTAAATACGTGCTCGCTGAGGTGCTGGACGCCGATTTCGTTGAAACGTGATTGAGACGAGACTGCGGTGGTCAGTATGTGGAGAGCCATGAGGCAGGCAGATGCGCGTACTCGCCAGACTCCTTTCCTCTTCCTCCGTAGCCTTAGGTGCCGGGTTGCCTGCGGCGACGGCAGACTGCCACCGAGCTTGAGAGCGCCATACCAGACGACGAAAAGCGTGATGTCTGGCAATGCGGACAAAGCTCGCAGTCGAACCCCTCATCAAATGGGTTCCAAGTTGAACCATCGTCTCGACCGATGGAGTTACATTACACGGCAAATTTGATAATGTTTGTGGTCGCGCGGGCAAGACGCATGGCCTTAGATTGCGTGGCGGATGTTGCGCAAACAAAAGACGTTGGCCATGACGATGGCAGCAGGGGCGACGTCGAAAAATCGAAAGCCGTCACCACTCTGATAGGCGTCGTGATGGACGCAGAAGAGGGGCGCGTTAGCTAAAGTTCCGTCTCCTCCAAGACAGGGATTGCTGGCCAATCGGCGACGCTGGATTGTCTGACCTAGCACACCTTGCACACCTTGTCAGGCCCCACAATTTAAGGGTCTGCGCCGAGATGCAAGGAAAGGTACGTACCTCATCAGCATTCCCTGATGAACCGGTGGCTCGGGACCCCAGCTTCTTCTCATTCTGGCAAACACCAAGCTAAGATGCCCTGTTTGTGCCAAAGTCATTGATTGACCTGACACTGTGGAGAGGTGCCGATGCCAATATTATCCGCAAATACCGGCACACATATAAGTATCAAGACGGTATTTGTCGGTCAACGCTAGGTACGCAGGCGAAAGAGCTTTGCAGGCTACGATCAATATAGACACCCATCCATTCGACTACCCAAGTAAAGTTCATACGTACTGTCCTGGCGTGCGCTTTGCCCGGCTGAGTCAAATGAATCAGCGAGGCCCTCAGCCGTGGCCGATGAACGCACCCTCAAGGTGGTTTCTTTTCTGCATTTAAGGCCATTATGCCGTCCACACTTGTGGATCGGTAGTGAATAGGTAATATCTCTGTCCATGACTGGTTAACATACCGGGCACTCTTCACGACCTGGTCTATGACCATCTCCCCGGAAAACAGAGCCAGGAGACATAACCTAACCGAAGCAAGTATACCAGTAACCCAGTCGGCCATTACTAGGCTACCAACTGCCCAGTGAATTTGACGCATCATGTCGACCATACAGAGCCCGGCAGCCAGCGGCTTTGAAAATCTGCTTCCTGAGTTGTTTCGTATGATCATGTGGAACCATCTCGGACTTCAAGACGTGCTGGCGCTGGCTTGCGCCTGCAAGAAGACCTCAGATTGCTTCAGAGCCGAAAGAAAGGGCTTGGCGCGACGTTCCCTCCGCGAATTGAAGTCATACCTGCCCGAGTCGCTTTGGACTTACGCTAGAGCTATTATCAATATTCGCCATCACCGTCAACATACTTCGGGAGCCATCCCAGGTTCCGGCCTTTGGCCCAAAATGCCGTCGGCCACTCAAACCGAGGCATACGTGGCAGCTGCTTGCGCAGCATTGAGGAGTGATCATACAGCCTGGGTCGAGGATCTGAGGGTGCGTCAACTGGCCGATTTGGAAATTTTGATCGACGAGGTCGATTACTGCACCGCCGTGGCCTTGAGGCCTGTCAATCGTACGCTCACCCTGGCCGAGAAGACAGCAGAAACACTAAAGTGGCAACATGACTTCCTATGCTTTGAGCTGGCTTGTCAGGTGTTCTTTATAGATGAGCCCTCGGCTCGCACATTGTGCCAACAGACGTACGAACGATTCCACCAGGCATGCTATAAAACCATTTCCTTTTCACCATCGGAACTGAAGAAGGCCGTACGGTTCATAGGCAAAGAGCACGTCAAACTATGGGAGGAAACGACAGGACGAGTTACACTCCAGCCTTATGTCGAGCCACAAAGCCCGTACATGATAGTGGATTTGATGTCAAACGAACAGTTGGCTTGCGGCGCAAAGAATGTTCTGGTGGCAGTAGTGGGAGCCTCGAACAGCGGATCTGCCTGGCCCCCCGGCTTTGAAGCCGTGAAGTCTGGAAACAGCATCATCGTTTACTCAGGAGGAGACCACGTTGAACTCATTGCACATCGGCCTATGGACGAAGAAGAATCTCAATACATATACTTGCTCACCTCACGAGGGCTCCGCGAGCTTGTCAGCCTGCGGCGTATGGGCGACGAGCAGCGACGAGGTTATATAAGAGAGAATTTCTTCAGGCATCGGCCATGGATGCGTTGCCCTCCCGAGATAGTGAAAAACCCCTCATCCCTAACATGGGAAAAGTTCGGTCCGCCGTTGTGGAGAGAATTCGAAAGGTCCGTTGATAGCAGAGTCAGAAGTGCAATCAAGAGTTTTAGGGAAATGCCCATAAACAACTGATGCCGGATGCTTGGGCTTGAACAGCTTTCGAGGCAAGCGAGAGCCACAGACATGCATCATGGATGAGGATGATGGCTGATGCAATTTGAGGGGTCAGACTCGGGACGCCTCCATGCCCAGCAGACTGACTGCCTCTTTGGGACTCCAGATAGACGCGCGCAAGCTGTGCGCCCACCGTACTGACTGTTGTTCAAGGGAGGCGAGGCGCGAAGACGTACGAGTACTATTGAGCTGCTCAGGCGGCTCAGGTCGGACCAACGAAATGGATGCTTGCTTTTGTAATATTATTCCTTTTTCTTTCCCCTTTCCATGACCCGATCACTGTTCCAGCCTCGGTCGACGCGATTGGAGTAACACAAATGCGTGATCCGAGCACACTCCACTGCTGTGTCTCTGGCAAATCTTGGGCGGAATTGATAAATAGTCGAGAAAAGGTCGTGTGCGCCCTGAGTCTGGCAAGGCTTGCCACCAACTTTTTTTGTGCTATTGTTGACGATAATCGGACCAGCTGACCTTTGGTCTGAGCGATTCAGGGCTGCCGCAATTGCCGCCGTGGAGCTGTCCACGGGTATCATTATTCATCACCACCATCTTAGGTGCATGTGAGGCATGAGCTGTCGGAGCACCTGTCCGTCCCCGAAGAGCCATTATCCGTATGCCGCTTGCCAGTAGGTAGGTCCCGTCACAGCAATTAGGCGGGTAGCTCCTTGTACTGAGGTGGCCAGCAAGCACCAAACTCCAGTGGAACAATCCCCGAAACGGCGGCTAAACCCCGAAAACACGCCCACGCTCGACGCCCACGACACTGGGAATTGAGTGTGTGAGACGGACGGAAGGGTGGACGTACGTCCTGCCGCTGCGCTGCGCAGCGTCATCCCGCCTTTTCGCCTTCCTGGCGCTGCATCTTCCCAACCCTCCACTTCACCTCCATCACGTAAACATGGCCAAGGATCCCTTTGTCGACTTCAGACCTCCCTTTCGTGGATACTTGCCAGGTAATTAGTTCTTTTCTCCTTGACCTACCACCATACCAATACCCTTCATCCATTGGGGTGCAGAGACACTGTTCCTGACGCTCAATTCCGCTTGCCGCCCCCGAAAAAAGACGACCGCCCGCGCATCACCCTACCTCCCATGCCGGGCCTCATCCCGTTTCTGCCCACGCCGCCGCTGCCGCAGCCGACTCGAACCGCCTCTTCGTCCATAGCTCGACCGGTGAATAACTTCCTCAGCGCAGACCGGGGTCCTGCGCGAGGCAGCAGCAGTCAGGCACCCATCGAGCTCGATAGCGATTCAGAACCCACTCCGGGGCCCCAATCCGCCACCACCAACCCATCTACAACCACAACTGCTTCCACCACCGAACTGTCACAACCACAGCCACAGACCAACATCCCCTGGGACCTCTGGAACTGGGCTGCCTTGACTCCCGACAGCACACAGCAACCACAACAGGCCCTGCCTTCCTTTTCTGACTTTGCCGCCAACCTGGATCTCGACACTCTTGACGCGACTCTGCTCAGCGCCGCCGCCCCGCATACACCTGCCCGCGAACCGAACAGCGACGACTTCCTCTCTGCACTGGTTGACGGAAACTTCTCCTCGCCATCCTCCTACCCGCAGTCGGCTCAAGCGTCCTCGGGCAATAGGTCCTCCAACGGCGCAAGCACCCAGAACCATCTCGGCTCACTACGACCGAACCGACCTGCTCCAACATTACCCAACACCGTATCTACCGCGGCAGGCCCTCGACGATCGACACCACGTCCCAGCGTCTTCGACGACAACGATATTGAGGAATCCCTATTTGTGAGCTCGGACAACGAACCGGAAGACATCATGCCTGTCCAGACGCGCCGGAGGGCGTCCACAATCATCAGCTCGGACAACGACCCGGATGAGGTCGTGCCGACCGCCACCACTCGTAAAAGGGCCGCACCTTCCTCAACGGCAGCAAGAGGGGCGCCGACCTCCACCAAGAGACGCCGAACTTCACAGACATCTGCCACACGTGCGCGCACAACATCAACCGCCCCACGAGCGACACCTACGAAGATTGAGGACGACGATGACATCTTTGGCGACAAGGAGTTCGAGAAGGGCAAGGGCAAAGAAGAGAAGGACGAGGACGCCATCGACCTTGTGGCCTCTAACGAGGTGCCGCAAGAGCTGCTGGTTCCCAAGGAGGACAAGAGGATAAAGCTGTCCGCGTTTACATGCGTCATCTGCATGGACGATGTCACTGCTCTGACGGTCACGCATTGTGGTATGTGGTGGGTATACATAGCTGTTCTAGCTGTTCTGACACATTTCCAGGCCATCTCTTCTGCTCTGAATGCCTACACTCAGCTCTAAACGTGGACGCCACCAAGAACAAATGCCCCATATGCAGGCAGAAAGTCGAGACCAAAGACCGCAGCGACTACACCTCAAAAACGAAAGGGTTCTGGCCTTTAGAGCTGAAACTCATGACAGCAAGCCGAAAGGGCAAGCAAAAGGCGTGAAACAAACCGCCCATGTACAAACACACACTATACACACACAACATCATCTCTGCAACCGACCTCGTTACCGCCAAGGATACGGCAAAAGCATGACAGGTGCCACCATAAGGGTCGCAGTTGTCATAAAGGATCGATCTATTGAATCGAGAGAGAGAAACTCTACTAGCATCATTACACGAAGGCATGAAACGGAAGAAAGAGGGCAGCATTGGCAACGGATTTTGAGCATTTCTAGTGCATTGGGCGGAAGGATGATAGGTTTTGTCATATTTCTTGTGATACCCGTTCGACTAGCCTTGAGGGAAGGGGGACGGATGACAGGGCATTGGGTTCTAGAGTCTGTAAACCCCCGTCAGTTCTTATAGATGGGCATAGGATTTCACCAACTTGCATTTCTGAGTACAACAACGCAGTGGCTGTGTGATTCTTTTCCATTGACGTGGAGTCATGACGTAGATGGGCGCACTCAGGAGACAACCTTGCTGGCCCAGCAATAATGTTGGGAACTCGGAGAAAAAAAGGTCAAGGGCAGCTCAAAACGTACCACGGAGGTATTCAGATATACAGTATTTTACTCGATACATGCTCTTTTCAGGGGGCGCTTCAATGCCCCCGATATACTCAGGTATGGCCACCGACCATTTCCCTTTCCTTTTCCCCCTGCTGCCAACCTCTCCTGAACGCCTGGTTCTATGCACGGATGACATGGCATCTTTACGCTGTAAAATTTTGAGGGGTTTGGGCATCGTTTTATGTCTTTTTGTCCGTCGGGCTACTCTTACTCCAAAACCATGTACACATTACCTCCTCCCCCTCTCTCGCTCAGTCGTGCGCTCATGTGAAGAGCGTTGGGCCTTGTCTCTTCGGTTCCGGCATAACTTCGTTCTCAAACTGGAGGGGTCGTTAGTAAAATAAAAAAAAAAGGTGGTCAAACAGTCTGGAAAGGGACGTGAAGACTTACCTCCAAAAAGCCAGTCGCTGCAATCAGGACCATGAAGCCCTCGGCGAGCTCCTCGATCCTCTCCTCCAGCACTCCCTCACCCTCCACGGCGCCAATACCCGCGCTGCGCTTGAGGGTGTGCGTCACCAGCATGCGGTGCTCTGTGAGGAACTTGCGGCCCTGCAGGATGTTGCTGTCACCGCGGCTGACGATGGAAGCGCTGACAACACGGGTCACCTTGGCGAGAAGCTCATAGTGTTTCTCGAGCGCCTTGGGGTTCGTGGGGTCAATCTGCAACTCCGGATCCGCGGCGAAGAGGCCAGACGCCTCGATGGAGCGCAGAAGATTTGCGTGCAGGATGTACTTGGCACCAGGTTTGGTTTGTGCCAGCTGGAGAAGCAGTGCGAATTTGGCGGCGATGTAGGTTTCCTGCGCCGAATTGCCGGTGCGGACGATCTCAGACCAGTCTTGCAAAATGGTGCGAAGCGAGTCGACGAGGATGCCGATAAAGTTGAGACGGTTGAGGGTTTCGACGATGTGAGCATCATCCTCCTGGCGTCCGAGGTTAACGAGGGCGTTCAGGAGAATGAAGGCGGCAGTTTGGCAGGCTGCATCGCTCCCGTATGCGTCGTCGCAAATCACATTGATGAGTCTCTCGCCATAGATCTGGATTGTCTTGATAGTCTTCTGCCGGCCGGCCACGAGGAGTCCCTGGTCAACCATGCCGGTCAAATAGCGGTAGCAGATGCTGTAGTAGACCGAGCGGAGATCCGACGATCCGGCCCACTTGCCAATGGCCTGAAGGCAGATCTGGAATAGTTGGTAAAGCTTGTCACTGACGAGGCTGCCGATAGCTTGGCTCTCACGGTCAAGCGAAGGCTTTGAAGTTAGGTCGAGCTTAAAGAGGAGCACTCTCGCCAGCTTGGCGAGTTCCATGGCCTCCACAGGCTTCTCGGACGCAGACGCCTCTAAGCCGGGGAGGATGGCCTGTAGTGCTTGAAGGTAGAACGAGGCCTCTGTTGTGCCCTTGAACTCATTTGACTCGACCATGACGAGAAGCAGACTCGTCCAGGTTTTGAGAACGCCCAGACCTTGGGAGGCAATGCGCTTTTGCCTGTTCGTGAAGATTAGATAGTCGACAATAGCTGACTCTTCTCGTTCCAAGGCCACGTAGTCCGCCGCCGTCAACACTACGCCTTCGTCCTTTCTCTCACTGCGCTTCAGAAGCAAAATCTCCTTGGCGCGGTCAATGTGATAGATAGGGTTTCCGTGGTCATCCTCTTCCAGGCATATCCTGAGGTCAAGCTCCTTGTAGAACTGGAGGGTTGGCAGCGACATGTCCCAGATGCCCTCAGGCAGCAAGAAGTCGTAGAGGTCGAACACGGTTGGGATCGTCATGGGCTCGTTGTTGTCACCCACTATCTTGCCGTTGAGAGCGTCAAAGATTCGTCTTTTGAGGGACGGCATTCGGGTCTGTGATACGCTGCAAAGCTCCATCGCAATGTACTCTAAGCTCATGCTGCGGAGACCCAGAAAATCGATGAGCGTCGGGGCACCGTCTGTAAGGGGGAAATGAGGTAAACTGATCTCCTGTCCCTCCCAAGGTAGTGCAGGTTGAATTACAACTTCTCGCAGAAGGAAGTGAAACAGAACGTCGTTCTCGCGGAGCTCGTCAATAATGAGAGGAGCTGATAGAGGTGAGGTCCAGAGCACTCGGAGGATGCGCATGCACTTGCTCTTCATAGAGATGAGCCATTGCCTCATGCCCTGAGGGTCGCCAAATGGCGTTTCTAGCAACAATCTCAACATGCTGTGAAATAGTGAATTTCTGGATGCGAATGAGCCGTCTGAGTCGATAGCCAGCGTATCAACACCGCATTGGAAGCCCAGCAGGAGGTGAGCAATAGTTGGCTTATTCGGGCTTGCTGCAAGGCAGCTAAAGAGAAAATCGAGAATATAAGATTTGGTTAGGTAAGTGGGCGATTCTGCTTCGCGTCCCAAGTCGAGTGGCGCCGTCAGCTCTGCCGCAAGAGACCGGGAAATGGCTTCGTGCTCTCCGTTGGCCTCCATGGCGACAATGGCCTTGTTGCGATGATTCTTGCGGCCCGGGCTAGACGACCACGCAGAGGTCATCTTGAAGGAAGCAGTCATCTTTTCCAGGAGCTTCAAGCATGCCAAAGTCAGGTCGGGGTGCCCGAGCCCGCAGTAGCTTCCGAGATCAACCACGAGACCCAGATGTCCGACGAGCCCGTCTTCGAAAGATGCGTAGGCGGCATTCGCGACAGGTGGGCGGCGGTGATTGGACTGCATCTTGATGATTGGCCGCACAAGATCTAGGAAAGTTGCCTGGAGGTCCAAGACCTTTGAGATGACATCCACGGCTCTCAGAATGCCCAGGATGACGGGCGAATCTGGTGTCGCATTACCAACGTCCACAGCATCTTGGTGGATAGTTTGGTAAAGAGCGTTAATGACCTTATCATTGAACATCCATTCCATGACGCGAGCGAAAGGGTGCAACTTGACGTACGTTGCCAGATCCGTTGCCGCCATCGCAGAGTCAATGGGGATGTTCGTCTCATTGGCGATAACGATGAGGTTCTCGTTGAAAGTCGACAGGCAGGTTGCCGCAAATTCAAGACAACTCAGACGGAGCATCCTCAGCTGGTTGGTGTCGTTTACTTCGTTGGCCTTGTTAGCGAACACCTTGCCTAGTACCGTGTCGACGTAAATTTCGATACCGGGCATGCGGTTGGCCGAGCCTAGGTTCTCGGGGAAAGGCAAGCCATCATTTAGAGAGCTACTGTCCTCGGGCGGGGCAACAAGCGCAATCAGGAGCTGGATAAATGCGTGGGGCTCTTCGAAGCCGTGGCAAATATCGTCGCTGACGGTTTCCATCGATACCACAGGCGAACTTTGTGGTGACCTATGTTGAACAGCAGTCACGATGTAACCGCCGTTCATCCAAGCTTCTAAGCATTGCCACATGATGTTAGCTTCTTCCTGAGTCTTCCGCGTGATGAGTGCACGAAGAGCCATGAAGGTGCCTGCTCGTAAATCAGCGGGAACAGGACTGCTGGCCAGCTGGAACAGCATCTCAACGAGATTGAAGCTCGGCTCTTTCAGAAGGAATTGTCTTGCAGTCTCGCTCTCCGACGCAAGCTTGGTGATCAGTCGCAGGTAAGATTGTAACATCATCGTGGATTCTGGCTCAGCCTCGGCCTGGTCGCTACTGGGACGACCTGGTCGATATGTTGACGAAATCTGCGGTGTATGCGCCTTTTCTCTGATCTTATTCGCGAAGAACACAAGCTCTCTGAATACTTGTTGCCATGTAAGGGACTGTGACCTTCTCATTTTGCCAGATGCGTGGTGGCCCTCGTCAAGCAAAAATTCATGAGCAGCAGTCGCGCAGTCATCGTTGCCAGAAATGGCTTGCAACATCTCACAAAATGAACTGACGAGCGGCGTAGAGGCCCTACGCGATGCCCAGTGCATGAAGCCCGCCAGATTGCTGTCAGGGTCTGACCAAAAGCTCATCGCCGCATCAGGGCGCCCCTCGTAGGCGTACGCTATGATGACCAAGAACCGTTCCAAGTCCAAGTCCTGCTCGTGGCTTTGGCTGAGCTGGCGTTGTTCATCCTCTTCTACGCGGAGCTTCCGCAGTACGTCGGGGAGGTTAGAAATGAAAGCATCAACAAAGACTTCGAGTTGAGCCATCAAGCATTGCTGGAAAAAGTCGGAGAAAAGAATCGATTCCGAAATCAGGGGCGGTGCCTTCCGTTGGAGCCAGTTGCGCATGGTTATGCGCGATGGGTCAACCCATTCGGGTGTCTTAATGTCTGCTGCGATGGAGAGAATGAAGTCGAATGCACCATCTTTCAGTGCTTCGAGAAACTGCTTGGATCTTTGTCTGTCCTCTGTATTGAAATTAGCGCCGAATCAGCGAAAGGATCAGTAGACACATACCTTGATCGAGATCCACGCCTTCTAGACCGCCAAGCAGCGAGTCGTCGAGATACCATCCACTGTACTCAGATAGCCACCAAGCCTTGACCGC